TCTTCGAGCCTCAAAAAAAGGCAGTGTTATACCTTCCTTTTTTACCAAAAATCGACTACACCAAAATTTCTCGGAAAAACACTTTTTCTTATTAATTTTGGTGCGTAGAATCCAAAACAATTCGTCCTTTTTCGAACAGACTTCTCAAAAAAAAGTTATAGACTAGAAACCAATTTCGAAAGAAAATTCAAAGGGCTGTAACTTTTGTAACCTTTTCCATAAGTTTGTCGACAAGTAACAGGTGTAGTATTAGGAGAAGAAACACCTCCTCGCACTCCTATGATCCTGATACAGAATTGGCAAATTTTTAAATCGAAATTAAGCTTTGAAATAACTCTCATAGTGATAGAAAAAGACCTCTTCGTGAATTCTGTTCTCCTAGTAGCAAGAAACCTTTTACGTAAGTTTGTCTACAAAGAACAGGTGTATTTGGGACTGAAAGACCTCCTTTCACGTTATATCTTCCTGATACCTACCTACCAAATTTGAAAGTGTTTTCGGCAAAGTGCGAAGGACCAGGTACGTGCTTATTGTACTGTAATCTTCAGTTTTGTTATTGGGGAGGAAAATAAAGTACAACTTCTGTAAATAATTTTTATATTGAAAACTGTACAAACAAAATAAACGCATATTCTGTTCCGAGTGAATCTTGAGAGTCAATGCAGCCCATGGTTAGCTCAGAAATCTGGTATCAGGGGAATATAATGTGCGAGGAGACCGAAGGTTAAAATAAAATGTTAGTGAGGTTAGGTTAGCGTGCTAGTTAGGTTAGCTCAGAACTCTGGTATCAGGAGAATATAATGTGCGAGGAGATCGAAGGTTAAAATAAAATTTAAGTGAGGTTAGGTTAGCGTGCTAGTTAGGTTAGCTCAGAAATCTGGTATCAGGAGAATATAATGTGCGAGGAGATCGAAGGTTAAAATAAAATTTAAGTGAGGTTAGGTTAGCGTGCTAGTTAGGTTAGCTCAGAAATCTGGTATCAGGAGAATATAATGTGCGAGGAGATCGAAGGTTAAAATAAAATTTAAGTGAGGTTAGGTTAGCGTGCTAGTTAGGTTAGCTCAGAAATCTGGTATCAGGAGAATATAATGTGCGAGGAGATCGAAGGTTAAAATAAAATTTAAGTGAGGTTAGGTTAGCGTGCTAGTTAGGTTAGCTCAGAAATCTGGTATCAGGAGAATATAATGTGCGAGGAGATCGAAGGTTTAAAATAAAATTTAAGTGAGGTTAGGTTAGCGTGCTAGTTAGGTTAGCTCAGAGATCTGGTATCAGGAGAATATAATGTGCGAGGAGATCGAAGGTTAATATAATGTGCGAGGAGATCGAAGGTTAAAATAAAATTTAAGTGAGGTTAGGTTAGCGTGCTAGTTAGGTTAGCTTAGAAATCTGGTATCAGGAGAATATAATGTGCGAGGAGATCGAAGGTTAAAATAAAATTTAAGTGAGGTTAGGTTAGCGTGCTAGTTAGGTTAGCTCAGGAATCTGGTATCAGGAGAATATAATGTGCGAGGAGATCGAAGGTTAAAATAAAATTTAAGTGAGGTTAGGTTAGCGTGCTAGTTAGGTTAGCTCAGAACTCTGGTATCAGGAGAATATAATGTGCGAGGAGATCGAAGGTTAAAATAAAATTTAAGTGAGGTTAGATTAGCGTGCTAGTTAGGTTAGCTCGGAAGTCTGGTATCAGGAGAATATAATGTGCGAGGAGATCGAAGGTTAAAATAAAATTTTAGTGAGGTTAGGTTAGAGTCGTAGTTAGGTTAGGTCAGATTAGTTTGGGCGTTTTAAATTTTTACAAATCTTGTATCTAACCTAACTCACATGAAACTTAACTCTCAAGTCTTTAAAATGATCACCGATTTAAAATTCTTATTTATTGCGGCGTACTCTTATGGCGATTTAACTCGTGTATTGCGAACAGATAGTCAAAAATCTAGGTATAGGTATACCAAAGAGATATACGGACGGCCGTCCGTTTACCCGCCCTGTCCTTTGGCAATAGTATTATAATACAGGAGCGAAATGTTTAATTTCCGAGTTTCGTGGTTTACTCCTTTGACAGCGAAAGGCACAAATCCCAAAATGTTTATAGCCTTGCTTGAATTTTAAAATAATCAAAGCAGAATACATTGTGCTGACATCTGTCTTTATTATTGGGGACTAACATTTTATCGCTAAATGCAGGACACTTTATTACCACCATTATTTTAGTTGGAACTTACACCTCAAAGATGTCGCCACACTAATTTTGTAATGTACTTTATGAAACTAACGTTAGATGTCGGAGCGCTGTTTGTAAAAACCATAGATATATGAAGTTTTAACCTCAAATGCATAATTAATGTTTGTTTATTTTATAGTCAAAAATTAAACTTTGTTATCATTCCTTTCTCGCTTACAGGTTTAAATTAGGGAACTGGCTACTGGGAGTGACAGGAAAGCGGCAGACTCAACCTTTGCGGAATATGATACTGTTCGCTCTGGGTCGTGCAATCGAAGACATGTAGTTCTCGATGGATGAGAAACGTTAGCATTGAATTCAGACAACACAAATTGAAAAGGGAAATGCTTTGTAACCAAAACAGGAGGACACCGTGGAGAACTCGCAGAAAACCCATTCTAATGCAATTCAAATTTCTCAAGGTTAAAATCGGAACGATTACATGATTGCAGCAGCTGGCGATGGTGCGAAGCTATTCTTTAAAGAATTGAGCCTAGAGTTTATTTGATAGAACTACGGTTATAGAAACGGTAGTGAAATTGGCAGCGAAATAAGGCAAAAGTGTTACGCAGTTTGCAATCACGAAAAAATGTGTTGTTTGTGCGATCTTTGTGTGAAAGTTGTTGTAAAACGGTTCAGTTTAATGTACCTGTTATTGAAATTGTTCTTCCAAGGGCTTTAAATAAACTCCTATGCATAAGAAGTTACGAATTGCAAAAATAAATGTTTTCTGTTCATTAAGCATGATGTGTTGCCTACAAACCAGGCTACACAAATATCGAGTGCCCATATTCAAATTAGGGATTTGCTTGAATCTCCCCAATCTGTTTTTATTGAGAGTAAGGAGGGCCTCCACGAACGAATGGCCCAGGGCCCCGAAAAACTTAAAAACGGCACTGCATTTAAGGAATAATAAGTGCGACGTTGCTATTAATCGCATAAATTCAAATGAAATTTTAAAGGAAGTTGCGTACGTGGCGACATCTCAACTAGACTTCTACAACTATAATTGATAGAAAGTGTATCGATTGCCATGGAGATGGCGCACTAGTACTTATTGTATTTAATCAATCTATTCAAAAACCGGGCCTTTAAACTACAAAATTGCTCTACAGATCTTGCGATTGCCATGGAGATGGCGCACTAGTACCGGGCCTTTAAACTATTGCTCTACAGATCTTGCACTCCGTACATTTTGAACTGCCATTTATTCAGACTTCTCAATCAAAAGTTATAGACTAGAAACCAATTTCGAAATAAAATTCAAAGGGCTGTAACTTTTGAACTAGTAGCCCAATCTTGGAACTGTTTGAAATTATGGATTCTACAGGTCACATTCTATTAGAAAAATTGTTTTCCGGGTCGATCTGAGACAATTTTTTTTCGGGGCAAAAAAAAGGCAGTGTTATACCTTCCTTTTTTTACCAAAAATCGACTACACCAAAATTTCTCGGGAAAACACTTTTCTTTAATTTTGGTGCGTAGAATCCAAAACAATTCGTACTTTTTTACTTCTCCAAAATGCCTTTCTGCTTGAAAAAGCGCTCCAAGCGGAAAAAGCATTTCACTTTTCTGAGCGGCCGCTTCGTTTACTTAAAGTGCTCGGCGCTCGAGTGCTTTTTTCTCTCCGCGAGCGGTTTTTTCGCTCCTGGGCGTTTTTTTTCGCTCGCTCGCCCTCAAGCGCTATAGGATTAAACGCCGCTCGCGAGTGTTTTTTTCCGCTCCCGAGTACTTTTTTCACTCACGAGCGGTTTTTTAGAACGCTCAACCCAGCTCTGCATAAGATGTACTTCGCCATTGGTTCGAATATCTAGATCTAGAAGTTTCCGAACCTTGTAATGGTTTCCGAATGAAACCTTGACCTTGCTTGGTAAAGGTTAGGGACCAATTTTGGGTTTAGAAAGCACAGGAGATGGGGTGCCCTGTATTTCACCTCTACAAAGCTATGGTCATAAATGAGACAATAAACTGTTTGAAAAAAACTCAAACCCTTGCAATCATACATTCATATTTTTTAAGTTAACAATATCAAAATAAATATATTAAATGTAACAGAACTGAACTTAATACACTAACCTAGAAGGTAGAAAATCACATAATTGTCACTTAGCTTGCCTGTAAACGAATTAGCTACGGAATACTTGTAAGCAGGTACTTATTATCACAAATACAAAATGGACATCCGACTTCAATCTAAATAGGTCAAACAAACATTCATCGGGAAACTGAGATTTCCGACAAGAACCAAAAATAAGTAGACATACTAGATTAGTGTAAATGTAAATGATATACATAAAGATTATTGTGATAAATCAACATCAATTAGATTATATAGCTACACTAAACATTGCACGATAGAATCACTGAATATTGTTGTAATTTTGATTATCATAAAAATAGTATCTATATTTATAATTTTCGTTTGGGTTGTACATCCAAGAGGATTTCCGTTAAGTATAGGTAGTAATTTAATCCAACTTAAGTAAAATATATACCTTTTTCTCTTTAAGAACACAATTTTTAATATAGGAAAAATAAATTTCTCATAATTAAACCCACGGGAAAGTGGTCAGATTTTTGCAATCGTAAGTGTAGTTTCACTCACACTGTACCATTGCAAATTGCCAAAACAAAGATAGCAAAAACAATCAATTGGATAATAATCATTGCCCGTATATTGGAATGAAATAAAAAAATCCACCTTTACTTTGAACTATAAAAAAATATAGTAATTTCTAAAACAGAAGAAACAAATTGTACAATATAAATAATCGAGTTAATATTGATGCTAATTTACGTTTATTGTTAATTTTCATCATCGGAACTAAGTAACATAGTCTTCTCGGTATAATTTTGAGAAATAGTCGATACTCTCCCTACACTTTGAGATCTAGATGCGTTTTCTACACTATTATACGATTGAGTAACCGTGCCACCGCTGGGACTCATCGGATCGTCGGGATCATACGAAGAGATCCTCATACCTCGTCCGTTCTTCCCACCTTAAACATCGTCAATTTTAATATTGCAAGCGCGCGCATGCAGGCTATTTTCGTTATCAGAACACATACATACCAAGCCATTTATTAAGAAAAAATTAAGTACATTAAAATAATACAAAAAATGTTAAGCGATTATCATCTAAAGTGTGTTATATATACAATATAAAGTGTAGCTTTTAAGGTACATCGTTTAGCTACATTTAAGAAATCTCAAAAATACAAAGATTTGATCGTTCATTACAATAAAAACTAATCCTTTTTTTTTGACAACGGTCAAATGTAGAATTTCTACACCTAATGTGTTAATACTAAAAATAAATTAATAAAAAAATACACGTAAATATGCATCATCCATACAAATGCGTATAAGTGGTGCACGCGACCACCACCCATAGCAAGTGCATGCAAAGCATGCAAGAAGGCACTAACTGCATCACAACTTCTCATACGGAAGAGTCGAGGTTACATCTGCAAAAAGCGTCCTAATTACATGCAGCACATCGAAAAAGTTGTCTTAATTGCAAAGATGATTTCGCCATGCAGAATACCCTCGTTTTGTTAGTTTAAAACGCTTGGTAATGTATAGCAAGGAAGTTTGACTCTGCGAATTTTTGGGATTCTTAGTTAACCTATACATAGTTTTCGATTTTTCGGGTGGGTGATGTTCGCTTGCACCCCGTACCGTCATTTTTCCAAAAACATCTGCTTTAGCGAAGAATGTCTTTGGGAACACATACAATTCTAGGTACTGGGATAACATTGGAATCATATCAGAATCTATTGGAAGAAGTGGTAGATTTCTGGTTGTCAGTCAAGTGGACGAAGAAAATTTAAACTTTCACCAAGATGGGGCTCCTACGCACAAGTAGAAAAATGCTGATGCGACAATTATACGACCCCATACTTACGAAAATTGATTGATCGATCAAAATTAAGGAGGGCATACCATTCATGAGGACCAATAGAGGTCGCCACTGCACAAATTGCCCAAGCAATACTATTCCAAAATCTTCATTTGTTTTAAGAAGTTATTTTGGTTGCATAAAATTAGGCATCCTTCAGAAGAGTTTTGGACATTTAAAACTAGACATCGGAAATCCCTATGTCTACTTGTAAATGAATATGATTGCATTTGAAAAGCCGGAAAAATCGCTTAGAAATTATTACTTGGAAGTTTTCGTGGGCGCAGAGTCCAGAGCTACTCTCGAAATTCCCCGGGTATGCTCAGGGGTAGCGATCATGGGAGGCGGGGGTGACTTTTCAGTAAAAAAATATTAATTGCCCCGAGTAACGGGGATTCTCGGCACGGTTAATTTTTTACTGCACCCCCGTAGCGCCGCCGCTGGGCATCCTCTGTCAATTTCGAGGGCAGATATGGACTCCGCGCCCCCGATAAGTGTCGTATTACTGAAAATGATGATTACAAAATGGAACGAAAACAACATTATGTATGTATTAGTGTGTAACCGTCATGTAGACGTTTTTTCAGAATAAAAACTAAAAATAATAAGGAGACATCCTGTATATGAGAATTATTTCGATTTATTGAGTAAATCTGGGGGATTATTTACGAATAAACACAACGTTGGTTTATTTTACTTGAATTTGTACCTTAGTGTTGGTCTTTCCTCTCAGAAATTTGTTGGACGCGTAATTTTCCGTTTTAATTTTTTCTTATTTTAATTGTCGATCGCCTGCGTGCGGGGTAATATGTCCAAACAAGCTTTGTGAGCTTTTCTTTCTTTCAGGGATTTTAATTAAATTTGTTTGTTGTGTTTCGGAATAAATTTTTTGTCATTGTAAATCAATTAATTGTGTGTCTATTCGAATCCATTGTTCAACCCGGATAATTTCATGTCAGATATTTCTTTTCATGCCCAAAAAGTAGGTATGTCAGGTGTTAATGAGAAAATTTGTGAATTTCGCAAATTGTTATATTGCGTAAAATCAAAAACAAAATGTGACCTTGGTATCGGTCTATCACTCAATTTTGGAGCAAAAATATCACATAATAATGTCCTTTTTGCTCAAGAGAAGACGGGATGAATACATGAAATTAAATAATTTATAGGGTGATAAACGAGACAACTTCCTTGCAACTGGACTTACCTTTGCTCCTAAATAAATATCTCCTCCCCCCCCAAGTTCACAAATTAAATAGCTCTACTCATTCACCTAAACATTACCAAGCGCTGTATAATTCATCATCTTTGCCCAATTCTACTGATTACCACTTTGCAACGTATAAACAGTGCAGTCACATGTTCTTACCTGAGCTGTACTGCGTATACTGTTGGTACTGCGGATGGAAATTGTGAATCGCATCCGTCATGATATCTTTAGGATTCATGGTCTCCTGAAAGCGACAAACTTTGTTAATCGCCGCGACGGTCGACCGCTCGCTTACCTTCAGGCTGCTCGAAATGCTCTGCATGGTGACAGAACGGCCGCGCGAGTCCGTCACGCAGCCCTGCGCGTAGACGCGATGCGGAAACGCGTAGCGCAACGCGATCGCCGCGCAAAACATCTCGATGCAGATTAAGAAGTTCTGGTAGCCGGCCGATACCGTTCCGGTCGACGTCCTCGTACCGTTACTGTCGATAATCGGCGATATTATGTCGGCCTTCTCCAGGATGGCCAAAGCGACACCTGCAAGTACACTCGATCAGTTGGCGTTTCGTCTTGCGAGTCGTTTACCTTGCCAAAATGACAGGAAAATCACAGACTTGACGGTGCAGAATTTAAGGACCGGCTCGAATGGGGTCAGCAAATCGCGAGTTGCAAAGTAAAATAGGAATAAACCGTATAAGGCAAGAGATATGGAGATGTTGTAAATGATCGTTATGTACAGGTATCCGCGGTCTGGGCTGTAACAGAAATGGTGTCAGGTCAAAATTATTGTATACAGGGTGAAATTTTTATCTTAAAAATCTTTCCAAAATTCTTCCTAAAAAAATTATTGAATTTGGTCTGGAATTTTTAAAGATTTCTTAGAAACCGTAGAAATCTTAAAAAACAACTTAGAAATCTCTTCAAAAACAAATAATTTGAAACTATTTTCTAGTAAAGCATTTTAGGGATTTTTCATTTTCAAAAATCGAAATTTTATTAATATTCTATTTCATAAATTTTCAAAACTCCGAAAGGTATCCTTTTAGAGTCTTATTTAAAATCTTAAAATTCTTCCTAAAAAGCTCAAGGAATTTAGTCCTCAATTTTGCAAAAAATTTCTTAGAACCGTAAGAACGTTTAAAAATATTTTTAAGGAAAGCTTTTTAGGAATCTTTAATACCTTGAAATTTTCATTTTCAAAAATCTAATTTTTTCATTTTCCATTTTGCATTCTCAAAATTCTCAAAAAAACAAATTTCTTCAAAAATCTCAACCAAAACAATTCCAGGCAACTTCTTAGAATAATTTTTTAGAAAGCTTTACAAGTGTCTTTAAACTTTAAAAATTTGCAAAAATCTAAATTTTTTAATTTTCCTTTTTGCAAATTGAAAAACCAACAAAAAACGCTTAGTGCTGCCACCACGCGAATAACTTACCTCCAATCGCCATCACGATAGTGATCGAAAGCTTGCAAAAAGATGGTAATAAAAGCCATAAGCGGCTTCACAAAGCAAAACTGGAGGGTGGCCTGCTTGCAAAACCGCAAAAATCCAATAGTGTAGGTCTTCCCGTTCAGACAGCACGTGCCGTACATGCAACTCGACCTGATCGGCTTGCCGCGAATCTCCGACATGATGTTCCCCTCGCCTCCCAAGTACTCGTAGCAGAGCGACAGGAAGTTATAAATTACAAACGCTAAAAACTTCTGAGATTAGCCGGCGTTCGATCGAGAATCCGTCTCACTTACCTTCGTAGCAATCGCGGACCGTAAAAAAATAGACGTAGTAGCTTTCCGAATTGAAAAACAACAGGCTGACCCAGGAGTAGGTGGCGTATATGGGGACGATGAACAGAATTCGAACGATCCAGCGTTGCTCCGCGGGGTTCGTGTACCATCGCAGGTGATGATAGATCTGCAATTCGTTTCATTCGGCACATTAATTAATCAGGTCGACTAATTACGCGTTAGCAATTTACATAAGCGAGATAACTTTGCGCGCTCCAAAAAATTCGTACGCACGTGAAATTCCTAACCTTTTGCTCTCTAGTAACAATTTCTCAAGCTTTCTATTTCTGTAGATCATTTCTTTAGATCTTGAGAATTAGAGACCTTTGGTTCAAAAAATTATGTTGTAGGTACTTCTAAAATCTTGAGGGAAATTACAGTACTTGACCTCCTTCGCCAGTAGATGAAGCCCTAAGCTGGAAACCTCATCGTCTGTCTATATTACCTTTAGCCTGCGTCTACATTTTTGAAATTTTGAAGTTCATTTACCAAAATAAAATAAATCTAGTCAAAAATAGCAACATTCACCATCATCAGACTAGAATATGTGAACAATATAGAATACCTTTCGGCAGAATAAACATAAATAAAAGCAATGTCTGCATTCTTGGAGTAAAAATATTAAACAATTTCCATTTGAAATATAAAACCCTATAACATTCTCTATTGCAAAAATTAAAAAGGTATCTTCTTCCTGGACATTTTTATGAAATTAGTGAATACTTATCCAAATTGTGTCAAATAAAAAAAAAAAAATTTATACATATACTTACTGTGATAATTTTATCATTACTTGTTTGTCGTTAATCTTATTGTTTGTTTGTTATATGTATACACTGTGACTTATCTTATCCATGTAAATGGCTAAAAGATCAAATATATATTATTATTATTATTATTAATGTGTCATCTTCCTGACTTATGTAAATAAGTATGAAAAAAACAATTGTTTCCGCCTTTTCATTTTTTTACATGCTGTTTCACTCCATGTAACATAGTTCAATGTACAGGAGTGAGAGAAGAAATAAATTGAAAAGATGTCATCTCCAAATGTGGAACCAAGGATGTGATTGGTTAGTGATTAACCACGTGCTTTCCATATCAGTCAAGCTCCTCCTTATCTTGCATTATTTTATATTAGATAATACATGTACTTAAGATACGTACCTACTTGACATTAGCATCTTTATCATTAATCGTAAGACGCAAAAATGAATCTACTGTAATTTTAGGAAGTATACAGGGCGATTGAAAAAATACAATAGAGGAAAAAATGCCACAAATTCTTGTGCTTGTGAAGATGGTTGTATTGAATTGTACTTTGGTTGTCGATCACCCTGTATTTTCAAATATTATATTGCCCTGGCAAAAACTCCACAAACCAATAAATATATATTTTTAATTCCGTTAATTGGCAGTTAAACGGAATACAACCAATACTTAATGTACAAGATGTTTCACAATATTTCACCTTTAAAGCAGTAAGTGACGGATGGGCCTCTACCTATCTCAAGCCTCATTAAGTATTATAAACAATGTAATTAGAGAGACATTGGAATGATACTCCCAAAATAGAAATGAAACAATTAACACAGTTAACTTAATGAATTGGTATCAATTGACGTCGTTAAACCTTAAACACAACATTGCCTAGATATCAATCACGAACCTGCTGGCACGTAAGGAAGAGCGCGGCCCACACGAAGGTCCCCGCGATCGCCTTGGCCAGCGTCGTCTGCAAGAAGATCGGATCGGAATCGGTGGCGGTCTTGACCGGTGACACTGCGTCGCTTGCGATATTCGTAGTCGCATTTCCAATCATACTGGCGGCGGTCAACGCCAGCGGTGTCGATGACAAGGAAGTCATCCCTTTAAAAGCAGAACTCAATGACCAAAATAAACACATGAAATCAAGGTCGGCGATGATATAAATTTAAAAGTGGCGTTTTTTTTAAAGGCCACTTGCCCAAGGATGTCAGCATATGTCACTTACCTTTTCCAGGTATCCAAAAATCACCAGTTAGCAAACTTCAATTAACTTTACGGAGCCTAACACTTTGACGTGAAGAAGCACTATAATTAACCAGATTCCGCGTGCATTTTGAATCGCTTTGACCCTTATCTAGGGCTTTTTTCTATGCGAAAACTGATAATAATATTACGAACAGATCTACCATACTTGTTAATCACAATGCAAAGCGCATGCGCACTTTATATGTCAATATTAAATTTGTCAGATATAAGCCAGTGGCGTATCTAACAGTGGCGTATCTTGATCTTAGTAATTTACTGTCTCATCATTGAATAAGCACTTTAGCTACCCAGGATTCTCTCGTCCCTCTGTAATGGGGGAAAATGAACTACAGATTTGAAATTAGTTACCCACTTATTAGGTTTCTTATCTCTTTAAAATTCCAACGTTGCCATATCATTCAATTTCAATGTTATGTATTATTATAATACAACCAACTAAATAAATGATGCAAATTTCCAGTTAGTATCGCTTCTATATAACGGATTTATTACTGAAATATTCGGCGCAAAAGCATAAAATAAAATGGGTAATTGATCAAAGAGCTGACATCAGTTTTTCTCCCTTGGTCAGCATAGCCATCATGACCTGTGACAGGAGAACATCCGTAGAGGTGCAGTGACAGTCAGGCGGCCGCGCTGAGAACCCTGTCAGCAGTCAGGCTAAGGCGCTTGATTGCAGGCGAGTCTAATAGAGTAAACTTGATCTAGATGCCAGCATTACTCCCCCTCTTTGTCAGGGTCACGATTAAAGACTGGGTGACCAGTCAATTCCAAGCTCAGTGGCAACAAGAAACCAGACTTAAACAATCCAGAGCCTCTTAGCAAATTTGGATCTTCTAAAACTGAATAGAAGCTATAAATTATTAGGATAATCACCTGATGTTCTTATACAGGACACTAAATGGCCAACTATCATCTGCACAATATTATGGGCTTGTAGGAGAACCCACGTACAGATTCTGTCTACCAGAGGTCTGTCACTGAAACGCCTCAATCAAAGGCAGTTATCTGGAACCAGAGAGGGTGAAAGTCTAAACAGGGGTTTTATTGAGACGAATGGGTTCTGTACCTGGTTTCGAAAGAAAGGGGGCCTTTGGTGTGCCTAAGTCCTGCATGGACGGACTCGACCCCTCTGTGAATAGATGGCACAATAAACATTTGTGCAGAGGTTGAAACAACCCTGTTATGGAGTTTCAAACGATGCGTCTTTTAACGCCCAGTCCACTCTACACTTTGTCAGGACATTTAACTCCCCAGCTGTTTAATTAATAACTACCTTGGAAGGCCTCAGACCTTAGAGCACTAGCTTCACAAAACCCACACAAATCACTAATTGTGTTTATATCAATCTATGAAATATTTGGTACTGAATTAAACATGATATCAATTTGTTCAACAAAAATAAATAAAATACAGTGCATTAGTGCACAGATTTTTCCTTGTAAAACTTTGTACATTAGTTTATTTAATAAAAATATTATGAATAAAAATAAACTTATATTAATAACAATTAATTTTGTAAATATAAAAAGCCTTGTTGAACTAAATTGTCGCTAAGCAAAGTATTGCTATAAATAATAATACAATAATAACCCAATATATTGTCGTTTTGTCCTTCCTCATAATGGTTGATATTGAAGTTGTCTCATTTGCAACTCTGGTATCCGTTCTGTCAATGTGATCGCCTAAATCGTCTATGATTTCTACAACAGGAGTAAGATTAAATACCTTTGCTGGCTACCCAGAGTATTTCGGTACCGTTGTGTAAGTCAACTTCTGTGGCAATATTTTGACTAATGTTCTTCTGCTTTGATACGATCTTTAATAGATTTTCTAAGCCTTTGTCTTGGTCTATAATGACAATGTGAACGGTGAGCGAGCATGTGAGGGGTGTCATACCTTCCAGCATTTGTTGCTGTTGTGATTTTAGTTCCTGCACAGTGTACTGTGTGCCCGTGTCCAAAGGCTGTTCGTCGTCAGACTCCCAACCGGATGTCGCGCCTAGTAAACGTGAGCGATCTCTGTCAATATTTAAGTTATGGTCGTCGAACATCTTTTGCATTTGTACACCTTCGGATTGTAGCAATTCTATTTGTCTTAGTCGCCTTTCAGTTTCATCAAGAGTACTGAAACAACGTAATTAACAAAGGGTGGACAATTTTCAGAAATACATCGATCTCGATCTGGACGCCTGATTAGTCTTTTCCCTAAGCTGGTTCACTTCGTCGGCGTACTGTCTTAAACGAAATCTAATCCCGCTAGATATGCGGGCGTACTTCTCGGTCGTTCTTGGCTCTTGCTGTCGTAAGGACAGTTGCTCCATAATGTCTCTACGCAACTTTTCACATGAATCATGCTCGTGCAACCTGCATTACAATTGTTTATAATCGTTCAAAGTAATTTGTTTATTACCAGGGATCGCCCCCAAAGTTTAATAGTGCCATGACTACTTACTGTAATGTTAATTAATTAAATAATAAAAAGAATAACAAAATTACATATGAACTACTGTATTAGCGGAAGAACTACGCCTCATTATTTTTGAACTACCCTGAGTGTCGTTGTAGAACTACCAAGTGATTAAGGTGAACTACGAATTTAGATTAGAACTATTACTTCAAAACGCGTTTCTAAAGAATAATCCCCGGTTTCTCTAATATTTATTTAAAACTTAAGTAAGGCTTAAGATACAGAGACGAGTTGTTGGTCGAAATTAGTTAGTTGCTTAGTAACGTTATTAATTGGACTTAAGTAGTAGATGAATGGGATATGGTGTGATGAAACTCAAAATGGGGTAAGACTTAGTCTTTAAAGAATGTCTTCAAGACCCTTTAAGACTTTTCAAGATCAATGAAGCTCTTATAGGCTTTCAAAGGAAGGGAAGAATCTCTCATTGCCTTTGCAACAACAAATTTAAGCTTGGCTTAAATCCATGGTAACTGTGGCGCCGCTTGCATATCCGGCAGCAAACTAAAACGTGGTGCACCCTCATTGCTCAAAACAACATTATCTTTTACCAAAACAATGCTTTTACCCAAAACCTAAAGCCATCACCACCAGCCACGTTAGCAATAAGGGAGGTGTTGCATTGGGGTAAAAAATGACCCTCCACTTGGAACCAAATTTGGTCAACATATTCTTAGACATAAAAGGGGGGGGGGGGGGAATTTTTTAAGAAGGGAAAATTAGTGTTTTTTAATACAAACATTTTTCATGCAAGAATGTGTCCTTATAAAACAAAGCCAGAAAAGAGATGGGAAGTTAGAGAAACAGTGTTATACATTATTAATTTTCATAATAGACATGAAATCACCTATAAATATTACACATGATAAAAATATTAACAAGAAACTTCATCTAAGAAGGGTACACAGGACAAATTTCCTACTGAGGCAATCGAAAGCTTGCTTTTAGCGACCTTTGTGGCAGCCTAAAAACAAATTGATATTACATGCAAAATAAAATGAAGTGAAACTTACGGAAGAAACATCACTCTGAGTGATGCCATCTAAAACCTTTAATAATTCGCAAAGATTAGTCGGACATCCTGCCAAAACGGCACTGTTACCCAACTCGACAATTCCATTGCAACCACTTTCGTACGCTAAGGTGATGGCAGTCTTTGTTTGCCGCTTACCTGCAATAGGCAAACGTGAGTTATAACATACAAAAATTCAAAATCCAAACCTCTCTCAAAGTCCTCATTGGACACCTGCCCTCCCTTGAGGATTTTTATAACTCCTTCAGCAAGCGCTCCTGCTTTATTACTTTCTGCGGAAATTAGAGCGCCAAATAAGCCTGAGTCGGAGTAGCTAACATTAAAAGCATTGATCGTGTTCGCGGCAATCGAGTTTGGAAGCAATTTAGCGAATGGAGAGTTGTTTTCGTTCGCGTACTTGATGTAAGTTCCTGCACCTAGCGCCCTCTGCAAGACGGAGAAGGCGAGCGCCTCCTTTAGGGTCTTCATGGAACCTCCTTCGCCCGCAATGGCAATGTGGGCAAAATGGCCTCCCTTGTCTGACCTGTAATCAGTATCACTTTAATTGTGAATTTCCTCTTAACACCTTTAAAAAACCCACCTGATTTCACCCCCCTTGTACTGTGAAGCTTTGTCGGCCCCTCCTGTTCCGCTCAAATGTAAACAGTCCGCGAAACCTACCAGATCCTTGTGATTCACACCGAGACCTACAACCGCACAGCGGCCGGCGACAAAGTTCTCCTGCACGTGATACTGCAAAGTTTCAGGCGAAATCTTCCCCAAATTGTATTTGGCGATGTAAATCGAATGTCCCAACCCGCGACTGTGATAGGCTGCCTTGTGTAGAAGATCGATGGCGCGTAACTGTCGGAAATTTAATTATCGCGATCGCCAATTTTAACAAATCATACTTGCGGCGGGCGAGTCGCCAACTCCAAACGAAGCCTCGGCACATTGTCTGCGACCTCCCAAGGTTTAAAGCACTGTTCAAGTGCGACGCTTTTCAAAATTGGTAGAGTAGCTTCCACCGCGGACCTGGTACCCTCTAATGTATACGAGATCGTCTCACGATCCACCGAACACGTTAGGCTAGCACCGACTTCTTGCACATTACGGATTATGGCAAATTGCGACGCGTTTTTCGTGCTTAAGCCGGCGGAAATGCGTAAAACGTGCGCAGCCCCCAAACTGTCGCTAGTCTCATATCGGGAACCGGCTCTATGAATCGAACGATCAGCTAAACGCAGTGGGAAAATTATACGAACCGGAATACAATAGAGACACGCGAAATTAACGATTCGTTCTCGCCAGACGCTACTACCACCTTGTTCGGAAGTACGGTGGTATCCACTTGATAGTCCGAATAGCCACCAACGGGAGCCGCTTGACTAGCGCAGGCGTTTGCGAGTCCTCGTACCTTGAAAGGTTTACATAATAGGCCAAATTTGGTTAGTTCAAAATCACTTACGGCAAGTGTCTTTATTAGGGACGCCTTTGTTAAATTGGAGGTCATTGTTAGATTGGAGCACTCTCGAAATTAACGAGAAAGGGGCTTTTTAATAATAAATAATCTGAAAGAAACACTGGGAATACGATTAGGCTGTGTTCAATACATTACACTTACGTAAGGTGACATAACCTATTCACTGGCTACATTCCATTACATCATGTACAGTGTGATACTTATTTTGGTGTAACATCAATTCCAAATATTGTTGTTTAGCCGATGGTGACGAGTGCCGACCGTATGCCCCAGGCCAGTTTAGCCGCGGCGCCGATTCGATTAGCAACGTATTTCGCCTTTGCCGTAACTTGATCGAAGTCCTCGTTTATACAGCGGCTTTATAGAGAAAGTAGACAGTAGGATTTCAAAACAAGGGATAGAGTCGTCTGGAAAAGATACCTGAAATTGTATAATAAGCACGTCATCCGAAGACTTGCCAGAAAGCTCAATGGCGTCTTAGAAATTTGTTAGTTACGTATACATACGCGCAATGTAAATTTCAGTGAAATGCCATGGTTTAGTCCCCTTCTCTATTTACTATATACAACTCTGTGGCAAAAAGTAACAACTGACGCGTGTGTTGCCCAAACACACAGTGACAAAAACCTATGTGATGTGTCACCCTGTATATTTCTTATTAGAACATTTTTATAATAATAATAATTTATTGGCTTTCATATTCTCAGGAGGCATTTTAATTTGCCATTGATCAGATCCCTTTTGCAATTTAAATGCATTAATAAACAATAAAATTGCATAAACATTGGCAGGCATTCTTATGTATTAGTATAAATATTGACAACACAAATCTCGCATTCAAATCAAAAATGTGTATTTAATAACAAAGGGATCAGATTATTTATAGATAAAGTGATCTTAATTGCTAGCATTTACATTCAATTGCGAGCCGTGAGCACAGTGCTCGTACCGGGCGCAACAGTTACCTCACCGCTCTGCCCCGACGTTTCCCTTTGAGGACTCTGCAATAAAACGCAATTAAATCTGTAAAACAAAAGCGATTTATGACAACCTTAACGTGAATTTTATTCTTTAAAACCGCAGCACGTAGTATCAGCATACGCGTTCTCCTCTGATACTCCTTACCCATCTGTAGACTCTTTTCGAAAGTCGTGCTCCGTTGATCGACGTCCTTCGCAAATAAGATCTTATTGTGCGAATCGATTCTTGCCTGAATCTGCCCCTCGAGTATCAGTTGCATTAGTTCGTCTTCCAAGGCGATAACGGTCCGATTAAACGCGGCAGCCATCTTGTGCATGTCGGCCGATAAGTAAGGGCTAAAGTATTGAATTAAGGCCCTATTCCGAATCTGGGTGTAAAGGGTGTTGACGTGAGGTGCGATGTACATATCCAGCAGGAGATTGTCTTTAATTTCGTCCAATAACTTTAAGCAGGATGCGTATTTCGACTCGTAAAATTTAAAGATGATGTCGCGTAATTGCGGTTCAAGCTCTAGGAATAGCTTAAAGGAACTACTGAAGATGACGTTCTTTTGGAGTTCATGCCGGTCGAACGTCGCCAAAGCGCAAAGACCGCCGTACATCGCGACGTTGCTGGGGGAGAGCAGCTCGGGAAAGTCACAGTGGTCCAAGTTTGCCTGTAGGAAATGTTTGGCGGCCGATTTATATTTCTTCGTGGCCAGTTCTGCTAATCCCGCCGCACACTTAAGTTTAGTTAATATCACTTGGAAAGAGTCTTTGGTCGATGATTCTGAGTGATCGGGAGTACTTTCGGCTTTCGAAACGTAACTAAGCACATGAGACCAATTCTGAAGATAAACGGATACTTTTATAACGTTTAGACACATATTAACGACGTGCTTGCTGCTAGTGCAGTAGTCTCTAGCTCTCGAATAGCATTTCAGGGCGTTCGACAGATCCCCACAATCCAAGTAGTGATCACCAAGATCATCGTGTCCCCTTCTCACACTCTCCTTAATCGCGTTTGATTTGTAATTCTTTAAGTCATTATCTAGTTTTTCCAATTTTAAGGCGGCCTTTTTAGATCTAGTTTCCATCCATGAGCTATCGATGGTGGGTACGTCTTGATTTGTCGACTGAGCGGCTACATCTGGTAGAAGAGGGACGGTCACAACCTCGGCTAACTTCTGATGCAGCACCTGTTAAAATGTCACATTATAATCTCTCAACTCCACTACGACCAGTACCTGGTATAAATTTACGTTGTACGTCGTCATAACATACGAGATTGCGGTCTTCAGGGCCTCCAAGCGTAGAGAAGGGCAATGATCGACGATGTAGATTAGCCGATATAACTTGGCCAAACCCGAGTAGCTATTCGCATACGATTCTAAATCTAAAGTGGGGTTCTCGACTACATAACTCTCCTCTTCGTTATTCTCGTTGTCTTCGGGAGGCGCATCGACTTGCATTGGTTCAACAGCATTCTGTAAGTAACGCATCGCGAGCAAATTTATACAATCATTTTTCGTATTGAAAATCAACAAATAAAATGCAAATGACAACTGACAGTGGCGGAGAAATTTGAAAAACTCGTCAGGGGCAAAAAGTGCAAGGGGTAGGTACATTAAATTGAGATTATTTACCTCGTATAGATAGTTCTGGATAGGTAAAGGCATTCTATTACTTCTATTAATAAATAAACTACGTTTGCTGTTGTTTAAATCAAACTTGCACTAAAACTTAACCTAGCTTTTCGTTATAGTGCCAACTGAAGTTAGCCATCGTTAGTGAATCGTGAAAAGACAAAGCTCTGTCAACACACGCTTTGGCCAAATGGAATTGTTTACACGGTCGTCACAATTTTATTAATTATTAATTAAAAAAGTAAAGAATTCCAGAAATGCACTTCGTTTCAGTTTGAATAGGCAGCACACAATTTTTAGGATGTCCAATTCACAATGAATTTTCGATTCTTTTTTTAGTTATTAATTTTTACAAACAAACCTATTTATCGAAGTTCAAAGAAATCTCGAGGTCCCGAATATATCTCGCCACTCCCAGAGGAGGAAGCATCCAAACGCCGTGGTCCTTGCCAGAATTGCATTCAACTCCCTCAATGGGATGCTCAGCAGTCAAACATTGCTACGTCTTCTGAAAATACTTCTGCCTCTGTGACATATGCATAAAAAAATGAAAGATTAAGAAAAGTTTCAGACCTATTGAAGCCCCAGGACCACCAGAACTCTATACAGTTTTATTCGTTTCCAGCCAAAACCTTATTAGGGAAATTGTGACGAATCTTGTTGGACTCAAATATTCTAGCCAAAAACAGCCCCGAACATACATAGCGATCAAAAATGAGTGACCGTCGAGTCACCTTTGGAATTTTTGTTTACATGGGAAAACGTACTTTATAGCTTCCAAAGGTGACTCGACAGTCACTCATTTTTGATGGCCCGATCCCTTTAACACTTGCAATACAAAAGCCCCTCTTAATTTTTGATATTATAATGTTTGCCATAAAACTCCATTACGGAAAGTTTTAAGACTGATGGGGAACTGTCCAGACTAATGCACAAAAAACACAGATGAAAGAACGAAGAATTAGAAAGCTAACGTGAGGGTGGTTTATTTTCCAGCTGCAAACAATTGTTGATAAAATCAGAAGAATCGATGTGTTGTCATAGATACGTGGCGCATACCGATCTATATATAGGTTTCCTTGTCTTTGCATTGTAAAAGTAGTTACCCCCAGACTAAATATATACAGTTTCTTGACATGTTACTAAAAATACACATACAGACAGGAAACGGCATTTTCTGAAGCATTCCCAAAAGCTATATAGGATGCGTGATTGTTTTTCGTTCATAATTATTGTTCCTACCCGTTCCAGCCACTAACTATTTACAAAGTATTGATTGAACGTGATACGAATTCAAGTGGCGCTAGAAAAATGGACAAAAATAGACTAATCAATAAAACAATGGGTACATGAAACACACAAATTTATACCTCGTTTATGGACTAGGACTATAGATACTGTTCAATTGGGTAGGTAAGTAAAAGGTACGTGGCCAATTCAAATCCAGATCAGTAGCTACCGAAAATGCGTTTCAATGTGAAAGAGACAAGGGCAGTGGCAGTGGCGTAGCATGCCCAAATGTGACTTTTAATCCGGCTCATAATTCAATTGCACTGTTCCTTGAACTCACAGAAATCGATTGACGACGGTTTTGACATCGCTGTCTCTTTACGTTCTCGAGTTAGACGAGGAACAGATGGACAGACGGACTAAGCCATCATATAAAAGAAACATTCCCTTAAAAAGATCCACTTTTGGCGGTTGTTTAACTATAGGTGACGCTTCTGGTAATGTGTAGGACCTACCACAATGGACCAGGATGAGGAGTGCGTGCCCCTTTCCATATAAGTAGGTAATTAATGCTCCTACACTCAACAATTTACGTCATTTCGCCGCGGATTACCTTAATGCTCCTACACTCAACAATTTACGTCATTTCGCCGCGGATTACCTTACGATACCTCCTATGTTGACCATATGCGAGAGGATGTACTGTACATTGTAAAAGTAAAGTGAGTCACCCTACTTCCTTACCTGTAAAATGGAACATCTGCTAACAGTCAAAGAAAGTATTTGTAATTTTCTCTCGGAATGCTCTTCGCGACACACTTTTCGTTAATATAATTAATTTGAAATTTCCATTCAAAGTAAAAGCAAATGAGAATATGACTTTTTAAAAGTAGATATGACACATTTCCCAATTTACCTTTAATCTGGCCATTTATGTAACCATCAATAAGTATAACACCTAAACAAGTTTGATGAATTAATTCATAAAATTACCATAATATTCCTAAATAGATTCTTACGTCACCCCGACAACCACATGGCATTCATCCATAAAAGGAAGCAAACCGGCCGGCTCTCCTTGTGCCAGATTTTTCATTTTCGTTTGCAATCTAGGTACCGATGGCGGAATTTTCAAAAATTAAATAAAGCGGATTTTAGATATGCTATCCTCTTTAATTTTAAACGGTCTATTGAATGCGGCATGCAGGGTTATTGCCCCGAGTACGCCACTGTCAAGTTCAATCCACATGATAAATTTAAGCAGAAATACCACACTTTTATCAAATATTAATAGGGCAGGTCACATTCGAGTTCAGGGGGCTAATTCCCATTTCAAAAAAAGGTAAAAAAAAACAGATTCCCCCGAGTGCACACCTGCAAATCATTTACACAATTTCTCCAATAGGGATTTGTTAAATTAGTGCGAATTTGTACAAAATCGCTAAGCGGAAAGCAAATTTAATAGTTTCACGATAAGATGTTAGCGTAAAATAACGGCCTTTTTAATGATTAATTTGAAGAATAACGGAAAATGACATCATGCGGACCAATCACGTTCGAGACGCTTAGGCGTTGGTTCTGACGTCAGCGAAGCTATAAATACAGTTTGCCGCAGAAAATTCAGCAGTTCGTTTGGAAAGTTGCTTAGCTAACTATTCTAAACTACTTATTATCGATTGTTCTCAAATTGTTGTAATTCTTTTACAAATCATACAAAATGGTAAGTCCTGTTCAAGTAGTTATTGAAATAACGGGCGTTAATGCGCTGATAGAGTTGATTTCTTAAAAAATGAGTGTATTGTAATGACTCATCATCGCGTTGGCCGTGACGCCATTTGCAATTTTTACCGGCATTTGTTCTTTTTATGCGAATTTACCAGAATTTACTAACTCTTTTTTTGGTTTAGCGTGAATGTATCTCAGTCCATGTTGGCCAAGCCGGCGTACAAATTGGTAACGCCTGCTGGGAGCTGTACTGCTTGGAACATGGCATTCAGCCCGATGGGCAAATGCCATCCGACAAGACCGTTGGAGGTGGAGATGACAGCTTCAACACCTTCTTCAGCGAGACCGGCGCCGGCAAACACGTACCCAGGGCAGTTTTCGTCGATTTGGAACCAACAGTAGTCGATGAAGTACGCACGGGCACCTACAGACAGCTTTTCCACCCCGAACAGTTGATCACCGGCAAAGAAGATGCAGCAAACAACTACGCTCGCGGACATTACACTATTGGCAAGGAAATCGTCGACCTGGTTCTCGATCGCATTCGTAAATTAGCCGACCAATGCACAGGACTACAAGGCTTCTTAATCTTCCACTCTTTCGGCGGCGGTACCGGCTCTGGCTTCACCTCTCTCTTAATGGAACGTCTCTCAGTTGACTACGGCAAAAAATCAAAATTGGAATTCGCCATCTACCCAGCACCCCAAGTTTCAACGGCAGTAGTCGAACCTTACAACTCCATTCTGACCACCCACACCACCTTGGAACATTCCGACTGCGCGTTCATGGTCGACAACGAAGCCATCTACGACATCTGCAGACGTAACTTGGACATCGAACGCCCCACCTACACCAACCTGAACAGACTCATCGGCCAAATTGTCTCCTCCATCACTGCCTCCCTCCGGTTTGACGGCGCTCTCAATGTCGATCTGACTGAATTCCAAACCAACTTGGTACCATACCCGCGTATCCACTTCCCGCTCGTCACCTACGCACCGGTCATCTCCGCAGAAAAGGCCTACCATGAACAGCTCTCCGTTGCCGAAATCACCAACGCCTGCTTCGAGCCCGCTAACCAGATGGTCAAATGCGATCCTCGTCACGGCAAGTACATGGCCTGCTGCATGTTGTACCGTGGTGACGTCGTCCCCAAGGATGTCAACGCCGCAATTGCCACCATCAAGACGAAACGTACCATCCAATTCGTCGACTGGTGTCCCACCGGTTTCAAGGTCGGCATCAACTACCAACCACCGACCGTCGTGCCCGGCGGTGACTTGGCCAAGGTTCAACGTGCGGTCTGCATGTTGTCCAACACAACTGCCATCGCAGAAGCCTGGGCTCGTTTGGATCATAAGTTCGATCTTATGTACGCCAAGCGTGCCTTCGTTCACTGGTATGTGGGTGAGGGTATGGAAGAAGGTGAATTCTCAGAGGCCCGTGAGGATCTTGCCGCTTTGGAGAAGGATTACGAAGAAGTTGGTATGGATTCCGGCGAGGGAGAAGGAGAAGGAGCTGAAGAATATTAAATGCAAACGTTCACGACAAGAGTACATTTTTGAATTTTTGTAAAAGATTGATTTTCGTATTTTTTAAATTATAAATTCCCTTTTTTTTACCATTGATTTGGAAGTTCTTTTTTAATCCTAAACCTCTATAGTGTTTGTATAAATTACTAGCTGACCTGACGGGCGTTGTCCTCTTTCTTAGCTATGAATACCTATTCAATCCGAACTGGAATAAATAGCAACACAAAAATTTTTCAAAAAATTCGCTGTGGCTAGCACAGGTACCACCTGCGCATGCGCGATTCTGCCCTTTTATATCTAAGAATATGTGTAGCAAATCCGTTTAGCCGGAAATGAGACCTTGACACACATGCGCGATTCTCCCCAAAATAATAAAAAATAAACGCACTCACGTTTAGTTGCTTTTGGCGATTCAGAGCTAGCGACGTACTTACTTTATAGTTTCTCAACTGAAAGCTATTAACGTATTTTGCACCCGCCATGTGAATAAGAATGCCCTTTGGGAGGGGGGGAGTTAATGTACGTACTTTCCATGCTACATCAAGTAGGCATACTACTTGGCCGGTGCCATCTGAAAATATACAAGCATCTATTTAGGGCAAAGCTCTACTGTGAAAATACCCAAGTTCATTCTAGAAAATTCTTAAGAGCTTGACGAGCTTAGTAAAATTAACAAGATTTACAAGGATCTTTGGATCCGAAGATAAATGCTCTAGAAGACTGGAGAGCTTTCGATGGTTAGAAGAGCTTTAAATCCTTGATAGAACCTCATATGCCCTTCTTAGAACTAGATGCGCCCAAGGCTCTATAGAGTCTAGAAATAGAATAAGCTGGGGGAAGTCGCTAGAAACCCAGACATCGTACTCTAAAGAACATTATAGGTACATACATAAATCACAAGATGCCTTTTTTTATTTTAAATGCGTATTTCAAGTACATAGATTTAGCGATTCCCTTTTGCACCGCCCTGTAACTAATAAATACTGCACCATTTTATCTACACAAGAATGGTTTTATTTATACTTTATTGAATTGTTTATACACGCAATTGACTACTTGGTAGTTCAAGTGTACAAATTATAGTTCACTTGTCATGGTCCATTTGACCTCCTGAAACGTCAAAAATTGTAAATAAGATGCTCTAATTATTAATAATTTCTGTAAATACCCAAAAAAGACAGGAATATTTAACCAGAATAATCACAGTATTTACCGGCGGTATTTATTAATGTGTAAATAAAATGAGTTGGTTCGATGCAACTGGTTTCGCTAGCATTGCGAAGTCTGCCTTGAAGGGGGCTCAGCGTCACATCGACAAAGCCTTGGACATTAGGGACGATGCGGTTACGACGGCACCGTTAAATACGCCCGTAGACACCAATTCGGACGACTTTTTTACATCGTGGGGCATATCACAGTCGGGGAACATTCAGGAGAAGGAGGAGGACGCGGAGATTGTAACTAAGAGTCCTAGCAAATCGAAGGTGGGAAGCAGTATTTGGGGGTCGTTTACCGGATCGTTCTTCGATCAAGGGAGGGAGAGTAAACTGTACGGATCGGTCGAGAGTCTGGACGACCTGGCGGATTACAGCAACGACGGTTTCAGTCAAAGTAAATTGGTCGTGCAACACAGCGACGATGGCGAGGGGGGCGGTTATTCGCACGATGAAACGAAAACCGGAATATTGGTCGAGCTAAGTATGGATTAAAGTAATTAATGCCCATATTGACGTATGACTGTGTTTATTAGGTGCCGTATCGGATGAGCGACGAGCTTCCGTGGGGTCGAAAGTACAACCTTCCAATCGGCTGTCGTTCATAAGCGAGAGTGGCAAGACCAGTTCCGAAAGTGTCGAAATTGTGAGCGGGGGGACCGGCTGTACGACATCGCCCGAGTCCGATTTGCAGTCGGTAGGCAAGTCAGTTTCGGCATCGAGTTCCGGGTTAAAATTTTCCGATTCGGTCGAGGTGATCGGGGACAGTTTGACTAGTCCAAGCTCCGTGGAGGTTATTCCTACGGAGAGCGAGTTTAATTATACGGACGAATTCGTGTCGCCTCTAGCATCGCCGATCGGCGACAATAAATTAACACCGGATAGCGTCGAAGTTATTCCGGATGTAGACGATAATAGCCTAGCCGAGGACTCGATTTCGTACGCGTCTTTCTCAGAGAGTACCTCGAATACTTTACTAGAGCCTTCAGCTTTAAGTGTCAAATTACCGAAAGTATTAAATGAGCCGATAACGAGAGGACCGAGTAGGAGCGCGATGCACCTCTCATTGGTGCAGATTAATTCGCAATTAATTGACACGCAACCGGCAGTCGAAAGCTCTAACATCATCGATATTCCTCAAGATCGGGTGTTATACGAGATACCGGCAGATGACGAAGGCTCACAATCGGACCGAACCATAATTGCGAGCGACAATGTCATGGAAAGCAGTAGCGATACCAGTACAACGGAGGGTAACGCAAACTCCTTCTACCTAAAAAATATGTTGGCCGACGCGATGACCGAAAAAATACCCGATCCCACCATCAAACCCGAAGAGATTCCGGTTCCCCAACCCGAAGCGCTTCCCCGCGAGAATTCCCCGTTGAGTTCCGAAAGCAGATCCGACCTTGTCAAGATCGGCTCAGATCAGGCATCCGGCCACACTTCCGGCGACGAGAACGAAACGACCACATCTTCGGACATCGAGATCATTTCCAGTCCGAACGGCGACTCGAGCAGCACGCAGAGCAGACACAGTCCCGCCAAACTGTCATCGGTCCGACACAAAATGGGCGACGCCAACGTCGACGTTCTGCTCGGGAAAATGACGTATAAAAAGATTAAGGGGCACAATCGAGAGTTATCGGAGGCGTCGAGCGTTAGCGATGATTCGCATTCGTCAGAGATCGACAGGTTGATCAAACGGATTTCGGAGATGACCGAAATTTTGGAATTGCGAGAGGCGAAATTGATCGATTTTAACAGGTTGGTATATTCTAGGGGTCGCTTTTTAAAACAATGGCGCTTCCGTAAATACCGGAAGTTGGCGCCATCTTGGTTTTTTGAAATTCAACATTTTTCTACTCCTATATATTGATATGTGAAACATTTGCTACCTGTACTGCAATGGTAGTCATTTCGATACAGATTTTCATTAAGGTACAATTTTACAACCAATAGAAATGCAGCATCACGGAATGGCGACGCATAATTTATTAAAATCAAAGTTGCCATAACAATGACAGATCTAAAATTTATTATTTTGACAACTGTTGAGCATAGCGAATTGGTGTTTCCTCTCATTTCCCATACAAACGTATTAATAAGATTCTAATCGGCAGTCATCTTGAATAAATTTGAGAGTGACACTCCTCTGAAACGCGTTACCATGACTGCACATGCTTTGACTTCACTATCTGCACACAATAAAAATCTGAAATTTTTGAAGCCAGCTCTTTTATAGCATAGCTCATCATCGTCTTAGAACAAATAGTGTATGAAATTCACATTTAATGGCTATTAAGAGTCTCATATCTCATCCTAGTGTTTTAATAGCCATAATTAAATGCTCGTAGCATAATATACTAATTTCTATTATTTTCTAAATACGCATTTAAGATTTGCATACGTATCTATCATAGTCAAAAAAGTAAAAATTTGGAGATGCAAGAGCATTGGAATTTGTTCAAAGAATATTCCTATTGTTTCATAAGGTGTGCTGTTTTGGAAGCAATTGTTTCACTTGAAATGTCAAACAGTGTTATCTTAGAGCCCCTTCTCACGAGGCGTTCATGAAGCATTACAGAATGGACCCCTTCACACAATCGTGTACCCTCCTACTTCGCCGCGCCACTCCGTAACGCCTCATGAGAAGGGGCTCTAAAGCGGTTCCTAGATGTTCAAAATTATTGTGCAATTTGGGCGTCCCCTAGACGGTCAATATGGAGGTCAATAATATTGTACTGGGTGACCCAATAAGACTGTTCCTCGGCCATATCTCGGGAGCCATTCGTCATATGACTTAGGGGTAAAAAAATTATTAGGTAAATCGGTTATGAAGAATCACTGGAAAATATTTTCAAGTTCTAAAAGTTTAAAGAAAATGCAATTTTAAAATTGAAGATAACAGTTACGCCCTCTGTTGGTCATTTTTGGAACTTGAAAATATTTTCCAGTGAATCTGCATGACCGATTTACCCAATAATTTTTTTACCCCTAAGTCATATGACGAACGGTTCTCGAAATATGGCCGAGGAACAGTCTTATTGGGTCACCCGGTACAATATTTTGGTTTGTGCAAAAAAATTGTACCGTATGGACGCGATATTGAAGGTTGTGCAATATATTGCGCAATTGCGAGCACAGACATACAACCACATATTGATAAGGAGATAGAGATAATCTATCCGTACGGGGTGTCCGTTTTTCAAACTCCAACATGGGGATCTCCGTTATTTGAAGAGATGCAATGCAGTTTAAATTGAGGCAAATTTGCGTATTTTGGTGCCCAATAATATGCCGTTACGTCTTCAGAGATTGACGAGATTTTTGAAAAAATACCGAAATTTTCAATTTTTGATTTTCATTTTGGGAAGGACAAAAAGTGGCTGACGAAAGAAACCAAACTCGCCCACATTTCTATGTAAAGATAAAAAATAATTTTGAGCAGGATACCGCTAAGTGCAGTAAAACTACTTGACACGAAAAGCATATTACCTACTCAATGCAGGACTGTGTACGTGAAGGATTTGACTCTATTAATTTAAATACATTATAGTGTAAAAATATCATATAGCTGTATGGTAGGATTTTAGATAGATTTTTATGACGAGTGTAAGTGCTAGTATGCAATAACAGGAAATTTATTATTATTAATATGCCATTTCAGTAACAAATCTCGTTTTTCTTCATTTGAAAACGGCATTTTATCGAGTAACTTGTAATAAATAGTCTAGAAAAACAACAACTACTGAATTTTTAACGAACTGCCGAAGATGTGTTCTTTGTTAAACAAAAGAAAGTATGTTCTTTCTAAAAAAGGTTTTTCTATATTTTAACGGAATCTTAAAGTGGATACATTATTGTAATCAGAAAAACGAGCTTTATTTAAAAATTCTAAAATCCAATATGGCAGCCATAAGAAATAAAAAAGTTGTTTACAGTCTAGACGAGAGTCTAGAGTGCCTTGAATTTTTCGATAACATATTTGAATTCCTCCTAAACAAGTGCTTTAATAATGTTTTCGTTTAAAACGTCCACTTTTTGTCGTTTTCGAAATAAGAGGAAATTTGAAAATTGAAAATTTCGGTCTTTTTTCAAAAATCTCGGCAACCTATGAAGACATCCAAATTTTCGTAATGGCGTAGTATTGGGTATCAAAATACGCAAATTTGCCCCAATTTAAACTACCTTGCATCTCTTCAAATAACCGAGTTGCCGATGTTGGAGCTCGAAAAACGGGTACCCTGTATAGTAACCACGAATAGTTTAGAAGTCCTGGATACTGTTTCAAGACTTTCGGGGCCACTCAAAAATTCCTTATACTTTAAGGATTTGATTATAAAAAAGAGAAATCTTCTATGCGTCGAATTCAGAATAAAATGGCGCATTTAGCAATAGAAAATGGGATGCAGGCGCCAGCTTCCTGTTTTTACGGAAGCGGCGCAATCTTGAAATTATTTTAATTCAATTCACAATGTCCGATTATGGCTGTAAATCAAATTTAAAGTATTTCTGTTTCAATTGCAAGTTTAAAAACTTCTAATGAATCTCCCTGTATACTATGAAAAAGGCCACTGTATAGTAAAAATGTTGTATTTTTAAAAACCAAAGTTTTTGACATTTTTTTATTGTTAATTCTGAAAAATCACAGCAGTCCTAGAAACGTTTTCTTTCAGGGTCACACAAAAAATTCCTTAGACCTTAAGGATTCGGTTATAAAAAAGATCACTCTTTTATATTGAACAGTTTAAGAGATATGAATTTTTAAATGGCCCTTTGAATCTCCAAATGTTTAGAGAAAAATTGACATATGTCAAAAACTGACAGATATGTACGCAAATCTTAAATGGCAAATCTTCAATGACATACTTATATTTTGGATGTCTTGCAGCAGATGAACCGAATGTTATCCTCTGGATGGCCAGTATCTCAAACCGAGGTTAAGCATAGCCTCTTTGTCTCCTTCCCTGCTATTTGTCTGGAGGCGACGACAGTTGCCACGGTTGACGCTTGTTTTTTCCATCAAAAAACAATCAGCCGAAACAAAAACAGTGGCAACCTAGGTGGCAACAATTGAGGGACTAATTTTTTGATTGGTTGTTGAGATCGGCGGCCATGTTGCATCTTTATCTTTATCTTTATTTGTTTTAAGAACTTATTTTGCTTGCGTAAAATTGGGCGCCCCTCAGAAGTATTTTGTCATTTAAAAGTAGACATAGACAAAAACAATATGCGTAAATCCCTATGTCTACTGCTTAATAAATGTAGAAGTAGACGTAGGGATTTTCTAGGTCCACTTTCAAATCATAAAAAGTCTTCTGCAGGACGCCTAATTTTATGCAACCAAAATAACTTCTTGAAACAAATAGAGATCTGGCTGTCATATTAATTGTTAATTTGAATATTGTTGCTTTGGCTTCACAGAAAATAAATCTCTTAAGCTCCTTTAACTGTTACCAGCACTATACGAATTGGAAAGATCAACTTTTTCTTTAGTTGAATACATCGCACACGAATGAAAATTAGAATATAAAAGTCAAAGCGATAATATTCAAATTAATTAATATGACACGCAGGTCTTCATTTGTTGTAGGTAGTTATTTTGGTTGCATAAAGATTGGTGTCTTTCAGAAGACTTTTTATCATTTAAAAGTATACATAGGAAATTCATAAATATCACTATATAATATTGTATTGTAGTGTACGCAACATATGTCATACGTGTATTGTGTGTTGCCTACTTCTAATTTAAATTTTCGATGCAACATGGCGGCTGGGCGCCTATTGTCGTCACTGTCTATTGGTATTGGTTCTTTCTAAATCTTTAAAAGCGTAAAACTGACGGCCTGTAAAACGCGACTTTCACTCCAAGGACACTTAAAATTCTCGGTTTAGCAAAAACTCGAACTCGAATTAGGCATATCACCGCAAAAAACCCAAATAAAACAATATTTACTTTGGACCACGCTATTGGCCCCAATCTTGTTCATTGACATCCGTAAAATGGGACTCCTAGCAGGATACACAAAGTCATAGCTCACCTTTAAACGTGCAGCCTTGCTTTTTATTTACTGTTTTCTGTGAACTCTATTGAGTTTTTCACAATTACCACTTTTTTGTCATAAAATAGTATTCTTTGAAAAATTAATTTGAAATTGAAAGTGTTTATATTTCAGACGAAACGCGGAACTGCAAGAGATTAATAACGACCTGCAACATCAATTAGACATAATTTTGACCAAGCAAGTAGATTCCGTCGACATTTCGCAAGTAACGGAAGAGTATACTCAGAGACTGTCCGCGCTTGAAAAGAAATTCCAGCAGGCGATTAGAGACAAGGATATCCTGAGGAAGCAATTGGAGGAGAGCAAACAGGAAGCGGCCACGCGAATGAGCAAGGCCGAGCTGGAATCGTTACTGCTCGACAAAGACGAGGTAATCAAAGAGCTGCGAGGGGAAGGGGAGAAGTTATCCAAGCAACAGCTGCACCACTCCAATATTATTAAGAAGCTAAGAGCCAAAGAAAAGGAGCAGGAAACGACGATCAAGAATTTAAGGTAGTACGGGTTTTCGGTTGAGATAGATCTATGCTGCTAAATTGTAATGCTAGGGACAATGTGGAGGATTTAACGTCGGAAACCGATCGGCTGAAGCGCTCGCTCGTCGCGAAGGAGGAGGTGGAACGTTCGCAAATTGAGGCGGTCCATCAGCTCACCTCCAAGAACAAGAAGTTGGAGTACGAGGTCGCCCAACTCCAAGGTCAGCACGACGACATCTCGCAAAAGTTCGACACGGTCAAGACATCGCTGGACGCCGCGAAAAAGGAGCTAATCGATAAGAATAAGGCGACCTCCGAGCTGTACGCGCGCGAGCAGATGCTTCAGAGTTTGGAGAACGAGAAGCGCATGACCGAATCGCAAAACGAAGAGGTGAGCTTGAGCAATCTTGAGCACAGACCCTTACTCGACATTTCAGATTATTAATCAACTGGAGGACTTGCGGGGCAAACTCAGACAAGCCGACGATGAGTACCTGAAGAAGGAGCAGGTTTTGAGGCGGGAAAACGGCGAACTCCTCCGCCGGCTCGAAGACGCCGAAAGGCGCAACGAGGAACTAACCCACTCGGGCTTGGACGTTACGAAACCGATCATTCGGCAGTTGGAGGCGCTGCAGGCGACTCACAATTCCAAGCTGATGGCCTTCGAGAAAGTGGAACAGTCGCTCTGTTTAAAAATCAGTAAGTTTCGTGTTCACTTTCGATTTGACTCACTGAGCGTTGCAGATGAAATGCAGAGCAAGCTTCAGTCGACTGCAGACGCGGAGCGGGCGGCGCGCGAGGAGTGTTTGAATACGCGATCGAAGCTGTCGAGTCTCGAGACCCAACTTAACGCGGTCGTGCGGCAGAGCGAGATGTTGAAGATTGACGTCGAGCAGGAGAGGACGGTGAAAATGATGCTCGAGCAGGATTATAGGGGGCAAGTGAGCGCGTTACAGGAACGAGTAACCGAAGGGATGACTGCGATCGAGTCATTGCGAAAGGAAGTTACGGGGTTAGAGCAACAGCTGTCGATAGAACGGGCGGCGAACGAGGCTGAGAAACGAAAAAATATGAGTTTACAGGTGTGAATTTATTGTTGGTTTTTCTTCTGGGCGTGCGCAAAGTGTGATGCGCATGCGCCATAATTGTTTTGCGTATTTTTAGTCGGAACGGGTTGCGCATGCGCAGAACAAATTTATTTAATTTGGCATTAATTTTACCTTCATTCGAGGTGCCTACTTACAAAATTTCATTTAAATATCTTCACAAATAAAAAAAATCGGATTGCGCATGCGCAAAACAAATTTTTTGATTTTTGATGGTAGTTACGCCCTCTGGTGGTCATTTTTAGAACTTGAAAATATTTCAGCGATTCTTCATAACCGATTTACCCAATAATTTTTTGTACCCATAAAACTACCCAGTTAAGGCACTGCCTACTACAATTTAACATATTTTTTCAGGATCAACTGCGTGATCGACCAGAACCGTCGCCCGGTTACAGCAAATCATCACCTAACACAACGCGGAACACCTCGCCTACGATGAGCGTCGGTCGTCTATCGCTCTCGGAATCGTTAGGCAGCGTCGTCTGGCCAGGGGTAAGCGAAAGTCGCGCGCAGTGCCCGATCATTAAACAAAGTCTTCACAGGAGGATCTTCCCGATCTATCGCCCGCCCCCCGATTCACGAACATGTTCGAGCTCCAAATGCTCCAGACAAATCTGAAGCAAAAGGAGGGCGAGGTCCAGCAACTGCAGTGGGAACTGAACAGGCGAGAGCAGGAGAAGAATTTGTTAAGCGGCGAGTTGAGCAAGGTGCTGGGACGCGTCGAGCAATTGGAGGAGATGTCCGGCAAGTACGAGCATCTCAAGACCGAATTCGTCGAGGTGCAACAGCAGTACGATACACTGTGCCAATTGTACGGCGAGAAGGTGGAGGAAACGGAGGAGTTAAAATTGGATTTGTTAGACGTTAAAGAATTGTACAAGGCGCAGTTAGACGAACTACTCGAGCAACAAAAGAATAGCGCCAGTTAATGATTTTATTGGTAACGCCGAAGTACTTCAAACAATTGGTAGAGTGCTGTATATAAAAACCTTTCTGCTGTGATATATTGAACGTTATTGCTGTATAAAATTATTTCACGTCTAATGTATAGGGTCAATCTGTAGATGTAGGGCTATTTGTTGATTTTATAACTTCTGCATAAACTTTTATTGTTTATTTATTGTTATTATTTTAATATCCTACCGCAAAAAGATGAAGACCGTTCACAATTTGTACATACTTCTATTAATAAACGGAAAAGTGGAATGAATAATTAAGCTTAGTGGTGCAACAGACCTACTTCCACTTCCTTCCGCGTATTTTTTCACATCCGCCATTTTATAATAGATCTAGAGGCTTTAGGCCCCTAAGGGCTTTAAGAATGCGTAAGAGACATGTCTTAAAAAGCTTTTAAAATGTTTTTTATGAGCCCTTAAAAGTAGCAAAGACTTAAAGAGTACTCAAGGTTTTTAAAAATCTTATAGGTCCTTCAGATTTTTTCTTAACAAATAGACGTAAAGAAAAAAAAATGGAATCTCAAAATGTTTTTATTGTGGTATAAAAACATTTTGAGTGTCAATTTTCTTCTTTTTATTACGTCTATAATAGCCCTTTGAATTTTCTTTCGAAATTGGTTTCTAGTCTATAACTTTTGATTGAGAAGTCTGATCGAAAAAGTACGAATTGTTTTGGATTCTACGCACCAAAAATAATAAGAAAAAGTGTTTTCACGAGAAATTTTGGTGCAGTCGATTTTTGGTAAAAAAGGAAGGTTATACACTGCCTTTTTTTGAGGCCCTCCAAAAAAATTGTCTCAGATCGACCCGGAAAAAAATTTTTCTTATAGAATATGGCCTGTAGAATCCATAATTTCAAACAGTTCCAAGATTGGGCTACTAGTTCAAAAGTTATATATAATTACTTACTCACACATATTATGGAGTTCTTCGTCACCTAAAGTTTTTCTTAACAACTTTTAAGCGCTACTAATAAGAGCATAGACATATGAGTAAGAGTCGCCTACAGTGTTTAAACGTGTGAGTCTTAAAGAGCTTTTATATAGAAGTCGAAGTTTTTCTTTGATAGTCCCCCCCTGTAAGCAAGCTATTTAAAACCGTTTATATGTCCTTACAAAAGTGTTTAAGAACTTTAAAAAACCGCCCCGGAGATTTATGCAATTCCAAAATACCATATTAATATAGGTTTCCCCAAGAGTCAGTATGTTAGGGTTTTTTTTTGGAGTTCATTGGAATTTTAAAAACCTTCAAGGTTCAGACCCTCAACTTTGTGATGTTCCCTTGGCAAAATATGTGTAAAATGCACTGGAAGGAACTAACGTCACTTCGTGGGACTTTTTGAATCAAAGAAACGCGCGAAATACAAACTATTACTTAGTAAATCATTTTAAAATATTATACAAGATGTTTTTTGCAAATAAAACTAAGGTCCCAAAGGTCTAGGTGACGTTATTAGTTCTATCCTTCTATTGTTGGTAAAAAAGAAATACAACTTTTGGAAACATATGTGATGGGTGCCCTACTTTAAAGCCTCACTGTTGGGCCACAATTTGTCATGGTCCCTCTCATTTCTCAAATTCGTGGTGTGGTTTGATGTAAACTTCGTCTCCCTTTCTCCCTTCGTGTTTAGTACTTGCCCTTTGTACTTTACTTCTCATACCAGTTCAGATAAAAACGGGAATAAGAATAGGAAAGAATTCGATTGATTTTTCCATCATTGATAATTTTTCATTAATAATTAAAATTTCATACCCATACATTTGGAAAAATTCAAACTTAGTAGCAGAATAATTCTTACTCCACTCCTACAATAGTAAAAGAACCAATTCCTAGCTAAACTCAAAAAATAGCCCTGCTGGCCAGGTAATTAAATTGATTTTAGTGAACAATATGTAACTAGTAATAATAAATAAGCAAATTTAAATTATTAAATAAAGCTACTTACGAAAGTATAGGCCAATTAGAAACAACAATAAATAAATATGCTTTGCCTGCAGTAGATGTTATTCTTCCTGCATCTACATACAGGGATGAGAAAATACTAAAAGTGTAATCTGCCCCTGCTCACCTTATTTTACGTTTACCTCACAAAATCTCAGTTGAAAAATACAAAGTATGCTAAAAGTACATCTAAAAATTGTTGCAATTCTAATGCTCTTTCACATTTTTCAAGGTCTGCGCGGTAGGGTGGAGTCACCTTTTGTTCTTGAGGGGGAAGAGTGGGTAATGAAAATTCAGTACCTACCTAATTATCCCTTATTATTGATAAGTAAAATAGCCTAGCGCCAAACAATCTAAGAAGAATAAAAAAACAGTCAGATATTTCACCCGCATCCATTAGAGACCTATATTAAAAAAATTGAATAAAGGACGCGCGAACTTTGCGTAACAGCACAGATTTAAATCTGTGGTAACAGAATTCAATGGGTAACAGGCACGTCATCATTGAATTTACCTATTTATAGTTACAAATTCAATGACGTCACTTAAAAAAAATTAGAGCGTTGAATGTAGATTTTATGCAGAGTGTTTAAGTATGTAAAATTTTGCAAAATCGGAAAGGGCATACCCGCAAACCTATTCAAAGACGTGCCACCCATCTTTGTAACTCTTATGGTTGCTGAGAAAAAATTAAAGAAGAAATCGGTTTATTTGCAAAAATGCTTGCTTTGATCCCCTCTATCACCCAGTTTGGTTTTTACATACCTACTTATATATGTAACACTGTATTTATCAACACGTAATTACTAACGGGGAAGGGGAATTCATAATATACATACGAATCTCTGTAAACCCAATTCATGGGGAGGTTTATGCAAACGGATTTCAAATTGTGTTACATTTTGGAGTATATAACCATACACGTAAAAATCGAAAATAGTTAATAAGGGTAGCTATACTTACACCATTGAATTATCTCAATGGGGTACACTCAGTCATGACTACTAGGTATGTTATAATTGGGCTTACCCCGACACCGCTTTTGAACAAATTCCCTCCTAGGGGTGGAATTCCATGCCAACCCGGCCGCACTACCATCCCGTTTAGAATCGCACAACCAACTAATATCAAAATAAATTTAAATATGAAATGAAATTACTTTTATTTCATACTGTCCGGTAGATGTTCGATTACACTATCATTTTGAGTCCGGTAGGTGAGTTATTACAGCATCAGAGCCGGTAAGTGTCGCTAAGCAACACTTACCGGACTGTTATTTGTATACATCAAATTTGACATCTTCACACAATTAATTAAAAACCCCAACATAAATTTGGCTGTAATTCTTTATTTCAAACATTAACATTGATTGTAATGAAACAATTTGTATTGCCCTTAACACTACGCCTGGGTTATTACTGTATGTCGAGTTAGTAATGTTTGATTCCTTCTGCTGTAGAACTTCAATGAAATTTTCGCCGCCTTGTATCAGTTGTATCATACGGGCAATCTTAACTTTTCCTTCTACCGAGCCTTCGATGTATTTTTCTGCCGTCGATGAGCTTTTCCATGCTCCATGACGCTTTAACACCGAAACCCAGGCAAAAAAATCTCAATTCAAAAACTTACTGCGTCCAAAAAGTATGCCAACATGACTTTTTCCTCTACTTGTTTCGCCCCATGTTCGTTCCTCAATTGGCAAAACACTTAGTACTCTTTTTCATACCTTGCGGCCGACTTCTTAGGAACCAACTTTTCGGTTGCTTCATGAGATTTCGACAGGATTGTATCGGGAACAGTGGAACATCCCACAACGTTTATAACGTCAATTTTTCAGTGAAAAAAATTCAATTGTCAACAAACTACAAACTATAGCAACGGCCGTTGCCACAGAAAAAAAGGTAATGCGATTTTTACAATATGATGAAATTTTGTAATCTTTGAAATGAAATAATGATACAAAACAGACTTACAGTATGAAATAAAATACGTTACGATATACGTCCGGTAGTACTTGTAACAGTACTCGTTTAAGACATTCTTGACTCGGCTCCTGACGTCGCCTCGTCCATAATGTCTAACTCGTACTGTTACAAGTAACCTACCGGACTTATAACGTAAATAACTATCTTATCAGACTTGCAACAGGTTGAATCACTGTATTCAAATCAATGACTTATTGGTTGACCTTCTAAAAGTGGACGAGTAGGTATTAGGTATCGAGATTGTACAATAAATTAAAATGTTCCAAAATGCTTCCTGCAATTTTTTTTTGTTCCCAAGGATATCCTTGGCTATCCAACGTGGAAATAGCGCATGTATCCTGGACACTCTCCCAATTGAAAAACAGTTCAACGAAATTTATTTGTTATAGTTAATTATTGTTTTCTTTGTTACACAATCTTAAACATTTCGTTTGAATAAAGTTTTATATTATCAAAAAAAAAGAATTATTTTGAAAAAAATGCGAAACTCAAGTACAAGCCGTTTATATTTGATTATTTCTGATTTTCCTTTTTAATTTTTTCATACTCCTACTAGACATTTCTAATTAACACATTATTCAGACACTTTTTAATGGAGATTTCGAATATGACATCCCTTAAGGTGAGAAAACGTGGCAACTTTAGTTTTTCTTATGGGAGCCATTTTGACATTACGTTTTTTTTCTCTTTACAACGATATATCACACAATGGTGGTTCAGTATCACATTTTTGCTAAAAATACAATTTTTAGTTTTTTGGGAAGAGTGCTTTGGAAAAACAAAACGTTCATTTATTGTGAACAAAGGTTTGACAGTTTGATCCATTTGTCTGGTTGCAGTGCTGACAGGGAACTAGTTGTGTTGAGAAAATTCGATTTTCATCTGAACAGAATTGAACCATCGTTTTGCAATTATAATTCAAATTAGAACAAAATGCATAAGTATAAATACTATTTGCGCAATAAAACTAGCACAAACGTTAATGACACTACTTGAAATCAGTCAACCTTTTGTTCACAACAAGGGAACGTTTTGTTTTTGCAAAGCACTCTTCGCAGAAAATGAAAATTGTATCTTTAGGAAAAATGTGATGGGTACTGAACCACCATGTGTGATATACCGTTGTAAAGAGAAAAAAGGTAATCTCAAAATGTCAAAATCCAAGAGGCGCCCATAAGAAAAACTAAAGTTGCACGTGCTTCTCCGTCATCTTAAAAGTTATTAAAAACGGAATGCCATATTCGAAATCTCCATTAAAAAGTCTCTGAATAATGTGTTATTTAGAAATGTCTAGTACGATTAGTTTACCATGAAAAAATTCAAAACGAAAATCAAAAATTTTCGTTTTTTTTTGTGATATATATTTTCAAAACTATTGCGAAAATGTGCAACTTTGCCCTAATTTAACTAAATTTCTATCTCTTAAGATCGAGATCCCCATAGTGGCACTCGAAAAATGGACACCGTGTATATTCCAGTTAATTAATATGACAGCAAAATGTTCATTTGTTTTAAGAAGCTATTTTGGTTGTATAAAATTAGGCGCCCTTCAGAAGAATGTTGTTATTTAAAAACAACACATGTAAATCCCTATACCGGGTGGTGCACGGTATAAGTAGGAACAGGGATTTAACATGGGAAATTAGTTTTATGCAATATCCTGCCCTCCTGTACATTTTACAGAAAAATCTGTAGTGTAAAGTTGTTTAGAATTAAAAGGTGCATACAAAACTGTTTTTACATGTTTTATTAAGCTTTTGGTATACCATACCCGCAAATTTAAAAATAAATTTCAACATTTCTGTTATTAGTAGCAATAGTTTTATGAATTTGCCAATATAGGTAGCAAAGAATACTTTCTGGAAAGTAAATGTCATACCTCTTCGCTTTCATCCCTTATCGCCTAGAGGGCCAAGAATAAAATCTTGCCTTCTAAATTACGTTCAAAGTTGTAGAATTTGTCACTTTTACCAAAGAGTATATAACGTATACTCTTTGCTTTTACTTGAAAATAAATCAAAAATAGTAAGAGGGTTGAAGAGTGTATGAGGAAAACCATACTTGAAAACACACATGCTTGTTACAAGTCTACCTCTGTAAACCCACCCAATTCGTGGGGAGGTTTATGAAAACGGATTTCAATTGTGTTTTTGCGTGTAACCATAAACGTAAAAGTCGAAAATAGGTAATAAGGGTACACAAGTCAATCTAGATTTTGCGATACTACTATAGGTATACGTTGTTTGGGCTTACCCCGACACCGCTTTTGAACAAATTCCCTCTTAGGGGTGGAATTCCATGCCAACCCGCACTACGTACCATCCCGTTTAGAATCGCACAACCAACTAATATCAAAATAAATTTAAATATGAAAAGAAATTACTTTCTTATCAGACTTGCAGGTTGAATCACTGTATTCAAATCAATGCTTATTGGTTGACCTTCTAAAAGTGGATGAGTAGGTATTAGGTATTGACGTTGTGCAATTAATTAAAATGTTCCAAAATGCTTCCTGCCGTGTCTTAAATAAGAATTATTTTGAAAAAACTCAAGTACAAGCCGTTTATATCATTTTGATTTGTTGGAAAACCACTTTACTTTCTACGGTTTTGAACTCACTTCTTCACTACCTATATCTGTGTACCTTAAAAAAATATCAAAACAGTCCTAATACAGATGTTAAGGGCAAAGAATTGAGTTGTCCATGTGGTTCAAATCTAAAAATCTGATATGCACAGCAGACTAGAAAGAGCTATCTACCTATTTGAACGAGAGGGCCTAGAAAGGCATGTAGAGACAGTGGTGACAAAATAGCGTCTAATTGTTGATTGGTTGTTGAGATCGGCGGCCATGTTGCATCAAGTATAATTTAGTCACAGATTATTTTATCTGTGATTTAGTCTTGTAATGTTACGCAAACCCATGTCATACGTGTAATGTGTGTTGCCTATCTCTAATTTGAATTTTCGATGCAACATGGTGGATAGGTTCCTATTGTCGTCATATACGCTACAAAGTAACTTTAGGAACATTCGCATCTGTTTAATAAACCCAAAACTACAATTCTCAAATTTAAGGTGAAGAATAAGCAGTAGGTACCTGTTTATAAGAGCTTAAACCTATGTAAGAAGCCGTGGGACTTTCAAAAATGCCTTCTAGCACCTTCTCACGTTGGTAATTAAGAGCCTTTATTGACTTTCAAGCGCATTATTTAAGAACCGTCATAAGCTTCCAAATGTTCTCCCTCCAAGAATTTCCAATGCTATCAACAGCCGTTTAGTAGCCTTTAAAACCTGTCCCAATAAGCGTTTAAAAGTCCTCAGGAGCTTTGTAAGCGTATTTAATACTAGGCGATCAAAAATGAGTTGCTGTCGAGTTACCTTTAGAATTTTTGTTTACATGGCAAATGGTACTTAACTTGAACTTACAAAGGCAACTCATTTTTGATCGCCCGTTATCCAAACATATCTCCAAAGGTTTTCAAGAATCTCATAAGGATTTTCTAGGTCTAGACTTTGAAAACCTACAGTTGACTTTAAAGGCTATTCAACATTCATACTTGCCTTGAAGGCTTTTTACAAGTTTTAAGTGTTGTCAACAGTTTCCAAACACGATTCAAATACAGACCTTGGGATTCTCTTTACAAGAGACTTTGAGAACATTTAAGAGTGTTAGTTTTACGAACCCCGGGTGCTTGAGAAACAAACCTTGAACGGAACTTATGAATCTGGAAGCGTCTCTAAGCGCTTTTTTACAACACTGACATTTTAAACCCTTTCTAAGATTTATTTAAATTCGTTTTTTAAGTTATCTATAAAATTCAGGGCACATTTTTTTCTGGTGTTAGTTCATTAACAATTTAAAAATCAACATGAAATTTGTTAACATAAAAGTTAAAATTTACACACTGTATAATAGTAGGAAAATGTAAATAAAACACAATACTTCAGAGAAATGATTATTATTTATGCTATACAAGAAGAGGAATAGAAAACAGACAAAACTTGTTAGTACGTCTAAATGTAGATCAGACCAAGAGCTAGCAAAATGTCGCTAAGTTTCTAGTTTGGAATTTCGACGAAATTGAAGAATTTAAAATTTTGACCTGTCAAGTTTAAAAGATGAAGGTTGATTTCTATTCCTCAAAAGTCAAAAAGGACTACACTGAAGTGAGTACAGCAAAAAATAACCCTTAAAAATATCCTAGAGTAAATTAATCAAGAAAACATCCTATTCTACATTTACGTTAGTAAATTACACACCTACAAATTTTAGTAAATATTAAGAGAAAACAAAAGACATCTGAGCATAATATGCGAAAATTTGAATTTAACAATAATGATAAAGCTAGTTGATTACACCATTTTTAGGCGCAACGCGTGAGATGGCCGTTTTAAAAAATGGCAGGTACCGCTGATTTTTTTGGGTACGCTTAAGAAAAAAAAAACTTTTTTCAAACACCATTGGTCTTCAAAGTGATAAGAAATAATTTTTTTCAATAATTTAACTGCGAACGCAGCTCATGTCAATTCTGACAACATAGGATTACCGTCGACAATTAAAATACAGCAGCGCTTACTTCAACATGTACATCACGATGCAGTTGCCTATGTTTTACTGATATTGCAAAAACTATTAAGCCTCCCTACTTGTGTTTATTTTTTGGTTCGGCCGCTGCTTTTTACTCACCGAAACCTTTTACACGATTGATACCAATTTCATTTTTTTTTATACAAACTAAGAATTTGTAGGCTAACAGCGTTTGTTTTCTTGCAAGAGCAATAAAACTAAGCGACTTGGGACTCGTAGCTTTATTTAAAGATAGAGATGACGCCTATGCTGCTGACGGACGGCCGCCCTAGCGTGCAGTAGCTCTCTACCGTTATTGAAGGGAGATCCAGGCAGGATTACTGCCACGCATAACCTCTCAAACCCATGGTGTCCAGCCCTCGTACATTAGGGCTAAGTTGTCTAGGCTACTCGCCTCGCGTATTATGTAATCCACCTACAAATGAAATAAGCAATTAATCAATCACATTACATCCTATACTGCCTTTGAACTCTGTTTCCTTTTAAACAAATAGTCATGGTCATTGATAAGAGAGAGAGAATCTTGAAATTCGTCACCTGATTATATTATTACACAATTTGAAATGTCTTACGATTTTCTTTTGCTTTTGTTTATTTTTTGTTAATTTGCGTGGGCTATGGCAGGGTTTTTGTCCCAAAGAAGGTTTCCCCGACATTGCCCGATTATGTGCGTATTATATTTTATATGTTCTCGGCTTTTCTTACGCACAAAATTATGTATTTTTATTCAATTCCCTTTCCCATTTTTGTATAAAAAATACCGCCAGTTTTAAGACCGATTGTTATCCAAATTTTGAAAGTGGCGGAAAACGTCAGGCATTTTGACATGACATGAAATTTTTCCTTTACGTCCAAATAATGTTCACCTTGTTAGTTTTATTTAGAAGCCATATAGTCTTTCGTTCCAAACATTATATGTATATTTGGGAAATGGGTTAAGTGGAAGAGCGAATGCAGTTTCTGTTGATACTGCAGTCGAACTTCGCCCGATTAGCTACCTAGCATACAGAATTTGTTTTTTTTGTATCGTATGCATGTATTCATTTGTAAGTAGCTAATAAAAGTCATTATTATTATTATTATTATTATTATTAGTAAAAGATCCCCACAAATCCGAAACATTTTTTTTAGTAATAGATCAATAGAAGTCGTTGATGTAATGCAGGCATGTCAAACTCATTTATCATCAAGGGCTAAAGTTTCGACTTATAGCTGCGGGCCACATCATAAAAAAACAAATTTTGATTTTTTATTATTAACAAAATAATACAAAAAAACGAAAAAACGCAAATAATCATAAAATCATTAGTACGCGCTCAAGAAAATGTACAGTGTGTCCTAAACACAGGATAGTGTAGTCCACCAATCTCAACTTCTTTACAACAGCCTTCCTAATAATATAAGACCTCTGCCCATTGGAGCTCTTAAGCTCAAAATATTTCTTTCAAAACATGCTTTTTATTGTTAGGAAAGAGTTTATGCAAAACTGTTATGCGATTTAATATGTAAAATTGTACTCTGTTATCCTCCTTTGTTATTAGTCTCTACATGTACCTTTGTATTTTGTTTGTAATATTTTTTTCTTTTGACCGTAAGTGTACCCACACGGTATAATAAATATTATTATTATTATTTTGGTTGAGACTGCAGTGTATTCCAACTGTTTTTAAAGATAAGAGACTTGTGGTTTTGGCGACCCTGTGCCACAATGCCACAAACAGAATCAATCCAGCTACGTTTGTTTCTGAGGTTTGAGATATAGGGTGAATATGAAAAATTGGACTTTAATTTTGTTGCATTCTTTTTCGTGATTACATTAATGTATTATCCTATCTTTATTTACCATTTTTCACCATTTTGAAATGACATGTACCGTCAGCCATTTTTGTCGATTGGCATCGACTGCTTTAGTTACAATGGAGACAATAAACAAAACAAAAATCTCTATGAATCCATGGCCTACTATTTAAAGAAGTAAAAAAGGTTTTTATTGTTTATTGTTTTATCGCTAAAATAAAAAAAATAGGTTGTGATACATCAATGTAATCACGAAAAGTAATGATAAGAAATTGACATTAAGATATACAGAGTGTTGCATTTACTAAATACCAACTTTGGGTCAAACCTCAGAAATTTTTCGTTTGTGGTATTATACGTTTCACAGAATTGCAAGTCCAACAGCTGAGATACACTGCAGTCTCAACCAAAATAGGACACACAGTACAATTAAATTTTATAATTTAGAAAAATCGTGATGGGCCGCAGATTTCAGCGGGGGGCCGCATCGGCCCGCGAGTTTGACATGCCTAATGTAATGGGTATCCTACCCACAATGCAGCACTGTCTGTATGGCTGCCTACATACGCATTCTCTTCCATTGATTGCATGTTGCTATGTAAACATACTTCATTATGACGTCATTATACACCAATGACGTGCGCGCAAGTTAAGGAAAATTCTACTATATTAGAACAGCATATACAATGGTTTTGCTGAAAAAATTCATCATTTTTGTATGCTCCTTATACAATTTCGTTAAGACCTGTTTTAGTACCAGGAGTACATAATGCCTGAATTTGTATTTAATCATTACATACATATTAGGACTTAATTTAATACTATCCCCCCGGCTCCTGTAATACGTTGAGCAAAACATTTAAAACCATCAACACTTGTGATCATTTTCTAGAGCAAACAATCGAATCTCCTTTCCCTGGTGAGCATTCCAAATTCTCCAGGAAGAGTTTCAATGGCTCCTCCTCTAAATGATTACAAGTACTGAGGACTGTAAGCATTTTGGGGGCAGAATGCGTCATTGGGGATCTCGGGCCATGGAGTACCCTCCAGAGAGGATTTATGAGAAGGGGTTTGGGCGAGGAGGGGGGGGAGATAAAAAAAAGGATCAATTTAATTAATTGACCAATTCAAAAATTGCGTTTAAATTCAGAATTTTTGACTATGATCTCGCAACGCCATCTGTTATAGGACAGAACAAACACCTCAAAGCTCAGTAATGGAAGAACTTGGCTCCAAAGGGGCCTCGCACTTCAATATTTCCTCGCCCGCTATGCGTCATTTTTTTAAAATGTAAATAACTATTGTATGAGGTGCTTGTTAATGGAAATAAAAAATACCCTAACCCCAAAAATTACAAAACCCGGGTTTTTGTTACGAAATGTTTTAAACCCACCCGGTTTTTGAATTTTGGAACAGTTCCAAAAAAAACCCAACTAGTGAAACAATCAGGTGAGGGTAATGAGAAAAAAACCGTAAAAAACAAACCTGCTCTTGGTTGGTATATTTTCTTCCTGGATCTGGATCTCGGCCCTCCAATTTCAATCGGACCCTGCGCCACACGCCCATCGCGTAAGCGTTGCGTTGTTGACCTTTGGCGACGCTATCCTGTTTCGCCGGCATAATTCTCGAAGGGCTCAACGATATCCCCTCCTGTCTCACGAGCAACGGTCTACCGCCTCTCGTCTCCTCGTACTCTAAATTGACCATACTGTCGTACATCGGTTCCGTATTCTCCTTCAGGTATTCCAATTTGTTTAAAATCTCGGACACCTCGTCCAAGTTGATCTCCTTCTTAAAGCAATGCAGTATCGGTAGGATGTGTTCGGTGTACTGTCGGTAATTCACAGTAAAGTCCTGGACGTTGGCGGAACACTGCTCGATTTTCGCCATCGACTTTATGAGGCTTTTCACTTCGAGCATCAATTTGTTGTGTCTACTAAACGACGAGCGCAATTTCTCCAGGCTTGTATGTACCTTATCGCTACAGACGAAGAGATTTTCTTTTCGCTCACTTAGCTTCTTCTGCGTGCTCGTAATAACCTCCGATAATTTCTCGGATATGTCCGCAACCCAGTTGAGATTGGTCTTCATTTGAGGTGAATATAAAGTCATGATGTTCTCTTCGGTTGACGTGACCTCGGCAATATCCAGCGTGAAAATGTGGCACGCGTTTTGCCACTTGGAGAAGTTTTCTACGAATTTCTCCTCGAATTTGATCGCCTCGGGTAGTTCGCATCTCAGCGCTTCGTATTTAAAAACGCTGTTGCCAGTTTGGTAAACGACGCGCGCGATTTCGTGCTCGACCTGTAGCCGCTCGTCTCGCTTGGCGACGGCGTCTTCGAACGCCTCTAGCACCTTCGTGACGTCGGGATTGACGCCGGCCGCCCAGTTCAGGCGCGAGGTGACGCTAGACACTAGGGATTTTTGCTGCTCGTTAATTTCGTCCATTCTCAAAAGCGCCCCCTTTAGGTTCGCCGTTTCGGCGCGTAAATCTTGGATGAATTTCGCCCGCGTTACCGACGGATTCATCGAGACGCCGCTCTGCGCGAAGCAATGCTCGTACATCCACGCGTACGCAGTGGCTTGACCTTGGAGTCTCACTAACGACGACTGCAACAAGGCCAGACGTTGCTCCTTTTGTTTGATCTCCTGAATTACGTTCCACGACGACTTTAGATTCGACTGCAGACTGGAGGCCTGCGCCAGCACGTTCTGCGAAAATATACCTTCCTTCACGAAAAGATTGCCGGCTTTCTTCGTCAGCTCGTCCAGTGACACCTTGTGCTCGGCTCCGATGTCGCGCTGCTCAATTTCGCTGGAAAGGTTCAGTCCTAAACTTTGCAGCAAAGTGCACGTGATATACGCGACGGTCTCCGTGGAGATTCCGAGTAAATGCCGGGTTACGAAATCGGATATGAACCTCTTGATCGGCTTGTCGAGATGCTCATCATTATGAATCACGTACATTGTCGGTACCTTAAACGAGGTGCACATCTCCAAGCACGTCTTGAAGAAGTCGTGCATCGTCTGTAAACGTTTCAATAAAAATATGTCGTCGAGCACGGCTTTAAACTTCGAGTTAAAAATGGGCGGGGCTAAGCTTCTCGCTTGCTGCACTTGGTCGATTTTGCGCCAACACGGCGGTATCTCTAACAGGCTTAGATTGTTTATGCAGTTTTGGCATTCGAGGTTGACTTTGTCGAATAAACCGTTGAATCCCATCAGGAGCATTTTTCCTTGGGTGAGGTGTTCGGAATGGTTATGCACCAGGGGCAAGTATCTAGTTCGGAGTTCTCTCATTTTTTCTAAGGCGAAGTTATATGACGGCTGGAACATAAGTACGAAAAATTTTAATTGACGCCATTTGGCTACAATGCAACCCCTAATTTTTTGCTTTTGCGCAAGTTCATGGTACAAACAAGAAAAATGACTTTGCATCCGAATTCGAGTAACCTTGGCGCATTTTCCATGCCCAGGCCAGTACTTCCCGAAAGGTTATGTGGGCACAAGCTTTTTTGTGGTTAAATAGTTAATATCCCAAAGGAATATCTGCATTAATAGAAAAGTTTCCATTGCAGAATCTGCACATGCGCATACAGTAAACTACCTATTTAGGGTTGCCACATTGATTGCGTTGAATTCCGGGACACCATCCCTCTGTGAGCCAACATTATGACCGGGTAAAAATAAACCACATTCGAAAATTTAATGGGTACTACCCGAGGTACTACCTCGATTGTCATTTTCATTATTTTTGTTTTTTTGTTTCTAGTTTTTTAATTGTTGTTATATTTAATTTTTTTAATGTTATACCTATTAATCCAATTACATGTTTTTAACTCACAAAATAAAAAGAACCAACAGAAAAATATTTTAATAAAAAACAAAATAAAATAAAAAAACATGTGACAATCAAATTTAACAAAAGCATGTTTTTTTGGAACAAAAACCAAAATTTTAAACAAATAACTGGAGAGCGCGACGTGATTGGTTGAATTAGTTCACTATAACCTCAGACAACACACACAGTATGTCACCATCCCGCGATCGAGGTTTGTGGCTATTTCTTTTGGTTCATGCAGTGTCGCCACTAGGTATTTGGGTTTGGGTGTAAATTTTGAATTTTTATTCAAGGAGTTCCTTTATTTTTTTCCGGGATTTATATATGAAAAACCGGGATCCGGGACAGTGCAGCTAATTCCTGGAGAATCCCGGCCATGTGGCAACCCTATCCCTATTATCAGCGGAATTGACTTGCGCGGATAGGCAACAAAATTGCCGATAGCGGTTAAACGATGGCTGAAGGTATTAAAAACCGCACGTGCAGCTCCACGCTCTTTAAAGATATACTGACTATTGACAGCTGATGTAGTACAGTTCTTAGTGCTCTTTAACAAACTACGTAATTTGCACTTATACAGGATGTTACGAAATTCGCGCTCACGGACAATGGGGGGCTGAATTCTGAGACAAAACTGAATAGAAAATCCTATTCGCAATTCCAATTATTTATTTATTTATTTATTTACGTTTATTGATCTCATACACGAAAACAAAAGTAAGAGATACGTCGATTAAATTATTGGAAAAAGCTAGCTATTGATACAGAAAATCAGATATATTATAGTAACAATTAAGTATGAGACCTCTAGCGGTAATAAAAAGAACTTAATTGTAATACTTATAATTAACAATGAACGCAAATTGTACAAAAACGACGGCCATCTTGAAATTGTGCGCTTAGTCGAAATCGCGAATTACACTTTTGCAATCAAATACCTTTCAACATATCAAAACATGTGCAGAAACATGTTTAATAATAATAATAATAGTATATTAAATAAATAAATAAAATAACAACACAAATACAACCTCAAGAACAAAGAAACACCATAAATACAAGTAACGCAACTTGCACTACAAAGACAGGTCCACCCAATAAAGTTACACGTCCTAGCACAGTTAAAAAACACAAAACTCCTTCTTCTCAGAAACAACCCACTTGTATACAACCGAAGCGCAGGAATTATTATAATGATTTTTTATTGTTTTGTTTTGTTTTCCTCTTTCCTCAATAGCTATGTTGGTAAGTATGAATTACATACTATCTCTAGCTTTCCAATGTGAGTGTGTGTTTTTAATTTTTTTTTTTTTTTAGGACCCTACATAACTTCACCAGACACAGACACTAATCGTTACTTGATTTTAATCCGTGCGATTAGTTAACCAGGCTAGACCTGAGTTCACACAAGATACACTGACCATAATAATATATAATTCGTGTTGTTATACATATTGTACTTACACATGTCAAGGTTGTACTGGAGTGAAGTTAAAACAGGTTACAATTCACATTAAAGTTTACAATTTAAAAACTCATCGTAAGAATAAAAGGAGTGAGATATCAACAGTTGCTTGATGACTAGTTTAAATTGGTGTAGTGGTAAAGACAGTATTTTTGGGGGCAGTTTATTATAAAATTTGTGAGACAAATAGTTTGGGCCATTTTGTGATAACTTTAACCTAAAATGATCTGTTATGAGATTATTGTTGTCTCTTGTTTCATAATGGTGTAGATCTTTATGTTTTGTATACTGAGCTGTTTCTTTTTATATGTATTAGACATTGGTAAATAAATTGACAAGGTAATGTCAGAATTCTTAATTTTATAAAACTGTCTTTGCATTCTTCGCGATACCCTATGTTGGCAATTGTTCTTATAGCTTTCCTCTGCAATCGGAAAATTCTATGTCGCCCAGCTGAATGTGTTTAGTGTTTAGCAACAAATGGTGGACATTTTGAACAGATATTATTGATTAATTAAAATGAAAAAAGTTCTTTGGTGCATTTTCCATAAATTGATCCATACTTCCCTAAAGGTCATACAACAGACTATGTGTATAATGGAAAATAAGACAAATATTCTTATAAATACAAACATACTGCGCATGCGCAACACCTGATGTTTAAAATATGTGATATGTTTGCCTTTACTAAAAGCATCTGTGTTTACAATTTAAAAAAATATATCTCTATAAAAGTGGCGCTAAAAATAATTCTTTCTTATTTTTTTTGCAACCTCATATCTTGCCTGGTCACAAAAGTGTAATAAGGTTTTCTATTCAGTTTTGCCTTAGAATTAAGCCACCATTGTCCGTGGGCGCAAATTTCGTGACACTCTGTATACTTACATATCGTGTGGTGTGGCCACCACTAGTAGCTCGAACTTCCATGCGATGTTTTATTTTTCCTGTAATTCGAACTATCTTTACCAGCGTTTCCGGTCCAGCCACCCTGTAACCACCTTAATTAAAATTATTTTTGACCTTTGTAAGTTTATCTCAGGTCATAGATAAGAATTTTCTTATTGCTGAGTTAGTTTCAAGATAAGCACGTGTGATCGCCGCATTAATAAATTAATTTGGAAGGAAAGTGACAAGGTTTTCAATAAGCGAACCAGACGTTAATGAGGGCTTTTTTGTTGGTGGACGTTGAAACATATCCTATTGTTTTGGTGTATTGGCGTATTGGAACGTATTTAAAAAGACAGTCTGTCTTGTTTGATTGTAAAGTTGTGTGTGTTTCTTTAAGGTCTTCAAGTTATAAGTTTTAAAGGGAGTTTTTCCACCATCAAAAGGCCTATACTATAATTGCAATTACACTGAATTTCTCAAATTAATAAAATCAAGATTTTTGTCGTGGCCTAGAAAAAAAAAAGGTTTGTTCTCTGACCTGATCTCCATGCTGCTCAGGGAATACCACACAAAACTGGAAGAAATAGTCAGGCGCAATCGTGTTACGTTAGTATGGATGTCAAGCCATGAGGAGGCATCCCTAAATTGGACCAGAACCCTATTGTGGGGTAAGTCTAGCTGGAGGAGTGACAGTAACCTAAATCAAAGACCTCATTTTTGTAATGACCACGATTTTATTTTGTTCAATGACCTCCGTTTAATCAATTTTATTTTCAAGGTCAATGGCCCCATTCTTTGTAATGTCACATTTAACTTTCAAGGTCACCTATGGGCGAGCAACCTCAAAATGAACTAAATTTTAACGTGAACGCGAACCCAAACGTCAACGTGAGGCCAAACGTGAACCACCCCCACCACCTTTGACCTTGAAAATAAATTTACAATTACAAAATTGGACTCATTATCCTTGGGAGTAAAATTGCCACCACAAAAATGGGGTCGTAGACCTTTGGTAACCCTGAAAGTGAAATATGACAACAAAAGACGAGACTAAGCAGTGTCAACTGAATTGTCAAAAATAAATATTATTATTATAAATGGGGTCATGAGTTACTTTCCAAGGTCACCGTCGCCTGGCACGCGACTTTCACCCCGGTCATCTCAAGCTGGCGAGCGACCTTGAACTGATCCATTGTCTCTATCTCTGTCTACTATCACCTTAACAAAATCAGGGTAGCTGAGGATAACACATGTCGCCTCTGATTCAAGGACGAAGAGACAGCAGAACACATCATCTGCTGGTGTGAGGTTGTCTCGGTACAGCTATCACAAGAACTGAGCAAAGCTGTAATGGCACCTCAGCAGATCAAGGAGAGAATCCTCAGAAATCTGTGTTTAAATGAGCTGCTTGTGGGTGGTTTTAGTGACCGATAGTCTTTTTTTTTTGGCGCCCAACGTGGAGGAACACAGCAGTACCAAACATTCAGTCATTTTCAACCTACCTCCATGCAAGCTGTGGCTCTTGAGGGAATTACCTTCTTTTTTGTACCATGATACTTTACAATCGCACTTTACTTACATTAATTTCCATCTCCATAACGATACAGGTCAAGTGTTTCTCCAACTGGGCGACGAGTTCGTTGAGCGGCATTCCGACGCTGTGAATCAAGCTCTCAATCTCGCCAACCATAAGCATAACGCTGGCCTCCTCGCTCATGATCTTCTTCATACTTTCGGGTAGAATGATGGTGTGGAAACTAAAGTAGAGTTCCTGGAGGCTCTTGTAGACGTTATTCACCGCCTGCACGCCGTTCACGGCCTGGACGAGCAGCGAGTCTTCGATGTACGAGTTGTTCTGTATGATCAGGTAGCCGATGGACTCCAAAGTGTTGTTGCTGTGCCAGATTAGATCGTCCAAGAACCAGTCGCCCCCCTTTTGGCTTTGCAGTTTGAGAATGACGTTGCCGTTTCGCGACACGGTCGTCTCGAGATTAAGAAAGTCCTTGTTCTGCTTGCAGAGCTCGTTGAGTATGATGTACTTGAGCGATCTCACGCCGTCGTTTTCGCATCGTATAAAAGTCGACAGCGCCAACTTCGCGTTGGCGTGGATTTTCTCGACGAGCTTGTTCGATTCTTTGGCCGAGGAGAAATCGTCGTACACCTTCGCGACAATCGTCGCGATGTCGTTACATTGTAAATTCAGGTGGTAGGCGCACTCGACTGCCGCTTTGATGAAGTGCGCGCCTTTGTTCGTTTCGTTGAAAATCAGAAATTGGCGGTAAACGTCGTCGCATGCGTTCTTGTTTTTGCCCTCGAGCAGGTATTTGCTCCACGTTGTGAAACATAAAATGGGATGGCCCTCTTGGTACGATACAGGACAGGATGACAGCACGATGCTGTACTCTTGCAGCAAGTGTAGGCACTTGGTTGTTATGACGGTTTGCTGGTGCTTCACTTGCTCAAGGTCGGCTTCCGATTGTTCGCATTGCTCGACCAAACTCGATTTTCCGGCGTTCTGCAAGAATTTCTTGACAAGATCGAAAATGTGACAAGACTCCTGCTCGATGCTAATATTCAGCTCTACGATCCACTGTGAATAGTTGTGGCCTTCTAGGACAATCTTCGCTTCGTTATACGCGTCAATCAGTAAATTTGCATTGTTAATGAATAATTCTAAATCTGCCTGTGCCTCAGAGATGGCGTCTTGGCGTTTGCGGTACGATTCGTAACGCGACGGTAAAGAGTAAAATGAATGCTTATTCAAACCATTCGCCTCGGCCTCCTTTACTAGCGCCATCTGCTGGTGCAAATCCTGCAATAAATCTTCAGTTGCCGACAGGTTTTTCTGCTCCTCTAGCCAAAGCGCCAACTTTTCTTCCACTTGCGGAATATCGTCCAATATCTCAGTCCTGTAAATGACAATGTAACTGTCAGCCACTTTAATTTAATTTATTTATTTATTTATTCATATTCATGTTAGGGTGTAAAGCACTTACAATTGTCAAAAAAGGTTTACATGTAAACGTGTATATAACACACGAACTTATAAATTAAGCTGGACTGCTAATGCTGAATTAACAAATGACGCCTACATGGGGGCAGCCATGATGTGCACTCACTTGGCGCGAAATTCAAATCAACTAATAAAAAAACATTAACCTCGCGTTTTCTAAATAAATTACTGTGACACATGTCGTTTTCCAAGGCTGCAATAGTCTCAAAACTTGACCACTAGAAAAATTCCCCTAGAAAATAACTAAAACGTGTACATCATTGCCATTTCTACCTCTATGCAACTGTTTGATCAGCAGTCCATCTTAATTTATAAGTTCGTGCTATAACATAACATAACAAGCCAAAAATAGAACCAACAAACAATAATTACACAATACGTACTTGTTGTCGTTCCAGTCAATCTTGATTTCGGTGCACCTCACCCGGTACATGGATAAGGTGACCTCGCGCTCTAAATCCTTGCGACTTTGACGAGTGAGCGAATTTCCGGCAACCCCTCTGAACGCCGTCCCCGCCAGACCTTCCCCTCCGACGGTCCAGTCCACCAAGGGGTCGTAGACGAACGCCTCCAAGAGCGTGAGGAGCGTCTCGCGACCCTTCTTCATCGTTTTCAGCACGTTCTCGCAGGCCAAACGAAATATTCCCTGCGAATTAATTCAATTTTGAAGTACTTTTATCATTATGTTAACAGATAGTGCACATGATCATCAAACGGGGAATGTTTTTGTACACTAGGTACTTGAAATGTATTTGTTTTGGTATAGGATACACAAAATAATTTCGGCGAGTTAAATAGATGAAACACTGACCTGCTTAAATTACTATCTAATCTGAAGCTTTACCGATTTTGGTGCGAAATGAGACAAACACATCAATTGAAAAATAATAAGCAGGGGTACACATTTGCGCCTTTTCGATCAACTGAATAATTAAAGAAGGTAAAATGGTTTCTATTGTACAGTCAATGCCAAAGTACCCATCTTTAAGTACCTTTTTTTCCACCCAAGATACTGACCCCACAATCCTGGCGTGGTTAGATTTTCGGATGCTAAGAAGCGGGTCGAACCAAAATTTAAAAGGGAGGAAAACGCCATCAGGGAAAATAGCGGCCGATTTTCAGTTGGCCATATTTCACTAACTAATTCGCCGTTTGCAACCGTTCCCCTCAAGATATTTCAATTATATTTGTTGCGTCCGAAAGCTCTTCTCACTTAGAAGACGAGGGCAAATTAATATTTTAGAATTTGAGCTCCGTTAAGCTAGCAGGTTTTGTTTCCTATATTAAAACAGCAAGGTGATACAGGTTTACGCCGATATCAGTTTTGATAAGCGACCTTTATGCCGGCCTGAGGAATTCCAATTAACAATGAGCCTTACTGGACAATCGACTTTAAAAATTTCAATCCGGTCAATTAAGTGCAATTAATTAAATAAAAGTGTCGCAGTAAACAACATCCGATTAAGTCGTGTGGGGTCTCAAAAAGCGCTCCAATTAATTTAAATGTTAAGACCAATTACATATTTTTAGGACGTTGAATACGCTGTGTAGGCTGGAAAAACTGTCGATCCCTCCATGAAATAGCCAAATTAGGTAGTGTTTTTTAGAGTGAATCTTTTTTTTGGGTGTAACCGAAAAGAAAGATCTTTCTGCATTTTGCACTTTCGCAAGCTACGTTTTGTACGTCCAGTAATTTTTAGCTGTTACCATTCCTACCCCAACCTTGACCAGAAGCATCCCTAGGTATTTTTATTAATTTTCCGTTTAATTTTAAGGCTAACCGTTGGTGTGCGAACTACCCAAGTTCGTCGCCGCAAAATGTTTATTATAAAAGTTTCTTTATGATTGTTTAATAATCTGCTGTTTTTAAAATAAGTATACGGGGTCAGGTAAAAAAGTTATTGGACCTTTAGCCACATTTTTTAAATGGGACACCCTATATATTTAAGTCTGAAAACATATGAATATTAAATTCTCTTTTTAAAAAGATAACACCGGGAAGGGTATTCAACAAGAATTAAAAATAGGTCCAATGTTTCCAAAAAAGACACAAAAATCTTTTAATCTAAAAAGATAGGATATTAAATTCTCTTTTCAAAAAGAATTATCCAAAAATTTTTTACCATTTTTTGATTAAAATATATGGGATGTTTCAGTCAAAATTGAGGTTAGGCCCGATATACTTTTTACTTGACCTGACTTATTTCGAAAACAGATTATTTAACGATTATTATAGAGAAACTGATAAACATTTTTTGTATCTCTTTTAACTAAGAAAATATAGGGTCATTCTTAAATTGACAGTTTTTTTAAATATTCTCCTATATCTTTTAAGCAAGCCAATATTTTCAAATTTTGAATTTACCATTTTATGTTTGACCCAAAAACAGCATATGACGCCTATGCTACTTTTTTGGTAGCACATAATTACAGAGATAGTCTATAAAACTGTCGAAAATGGGACAGCCTGTATATCGAAAGCTAAATCTCAGCCTGGTGTTAAGACACGACGTGATTGGTTAATGCCATTGTCGCTATATAATCAGGGTACAAACACTACCACTATGGAACTTACCAAAAGCCTTAATGCTTGCATTAAAAAACAAATGAAGAACTGCCTCCTTTATTAAGCGGCGGAGCAAAGCCATGTAAGCTTTTTAGGGGAGTTGATCATGTGCATCTGTTTGTGAACCCGATAACTTGGACCGATTCAGTTCAAACTTTGCACAGTTGACCTATACATACAGGGTGGCACAACGAAAACGAAACAGACTGAATCTTGTACAGAAATAGTTTTTTGGTTACAGCTAAAACTGGACGATTTTGTTTTACTTAAAAATTTACACCCCTAAGCAGGGTTGCCACCTCTTCAATGATTGAACGTTGGGTCGAGTGACAGGGTCTGACAGGGCTCTTAATTTCCTACACATTCTGGGGAGAATATTAAAAAGATTCAAAAAGACCTGAAACAATTAAAAAAAATTCAAAAGATTCCAAAAAATACACAAAAAGCATTTTTCTAATTTTTAAAAAAACCTTTTTTCCTTTTTTAGATTACAATATACGGGATATTCGATTAAAAAAATTGAGATTAGGTCCGATATACTGTCCGATACTTGCATACTCGTTTCAAAAACGGCAGTTTATTCAATGATCATTATAAAGAAAGTAATAAACATTTTTTGTATCTCTTTGAACTAATAAAATATAGTGAAATTGACAACTTTTTGATTTTCCCTGTATCTCCTAGGCGGGCGAATATTTTTAAATTTGATTTTACCATTTTAAGTTTGACCCCAAAAACAGAACATGACGCCTATATTACTTTTTTATACTAATCCTAGAAGTGTCAAAAATGAGACACCCTATACTCAAATTTTAGTCAGAAGAAATTTCTGCCGTTGCCTATTTTAAAGAAAAACGAAAACCACAGCCAACTACTGGCAGAACAATTATGAATCATCTGTTCTTACAAACTGAAAATTTGGAAGTCTATTAAAAGACAATTTTGTTTCTTGAAGAGGGGTGTGACCAAAGAAGTACAGCATAACACCAACACCAAATGGCTATTAAAAGTTTAAGGTCAAGGTTGAATTGTTTTGTCTTGTCTCTCACTTTCCATTGAATTTAAAATGAAATCAATTTTACGGTACTTCACACATTCCCAGGACTTTTCTCACTCCTAGTAACTAAAAGGACGCATTAGAATTATTCAAATACAACCTTGCAGTTATGTTTTACATATGTTGGCAAAATGATAGGGGAAACAAACGCTTATCTGGGCCATGCTGTTCTATCGGAAAATAGTAGTTCACACCAAGAATTCGGTGACGCGTATCGGCAAATTGCGAGTACAACACTCCATGAGATATCACTTGTCTGATAGATAAGCTATCAGATGACCAGGACACTAAAAAATCTGAACGCACAAAATGTATCAAAATTTCACGTCGGCTTTAAAAGGCGCCCCGCCAATGATGCTCGAAACATTTCTTTAGCGCGACTAAAAAGGGGGAGGATTCGCAAATTGTACTCAAATTTCGAGGCAGTAGGGGAAGAGATAAAAATCGAACATAGTTCACCTGCAATTAATCAGTCGAAAGTGTTTAGTGCCGATTCGGGCAGGTGTAAGGTAAACAATGCGTCGACTAGACACCTGCAATAGGAGATGAGTGCAACGCTCCCCCTTTACGTACTAATTTTAGCGGGAGTCGTCGACGGTCTGCTAATGCTGTTCGTCTTGTGCGGGAATGTTTTAACGATTTGTGCGGTGAAATTAAGTCGAAAACTATCGGCGGTGCTTTCGAATCAGTTCATCCTCAGTTTGGCGCTGAGCGACATTATGGTGGCGATCAGCCTGCCGTACCACTTCGTGTTTTTCATGGAGGGAGGCCTACATGCAAACTCCGTCTTCTGTGTGCTTCGAATAGTGTTGACGATACTCGGCTGCGCATCTTCGATCGGTAACCTCATCGGGATTGCGTTGGATCGGTACGTCGCCATAGTTTACCCGTTACACTACGGTCGCTTTATGACTAAGAAAGTTGCCGTCGCGATTATTATAACCGGGTGGGCCGTTTCAATTGTGATATCCCTACTGCCGAGCTTTTGGAATCAGTGGAACGAGACGGACAGATGTGTTTCGATAAATAAAGTCCTGCCCAATGAATATATTAATTTTGTACTCATACCGATGTTTTTAATGGTTTTGATCGGGATGTTCGTGGTCTACACGCGAATTTGGAAGGAGGCGACCGGGCACGCGAGAAGACTGCGAAATTCGACCAGTTACCAATACGGGAAAATGTGGAACGACTCGAAATCTGTCCAGGTATTATACAAAAATAACAACACAATTTGTTTATACAATGTACAGATACCTTATCTCAAAAGTTCAATGCCAATGCTATTTTTCAACTTATCAAGCAATAATCAAAGCAGGAATTTAATCGGCTTTTTCCAGGTGGTGCTTTTAATTATCGGCTGTTTCTCCGTCTGCTGGTTACCCTTCTTCATATCAATTTTAATAATGAAACTCGAATCGAGATTAATCTACGAAATAACGCTGCGACTCGCCATCGCGAACTCGGGAATAAATCCCATTATATACGCGTGGAAGAATTCGAATTTTCGCCAAATTTTCGCCTGCCTACTGAGATGTCGACTGCCAACCGGACTGTATTACAACGCCAGTTTTATTACGAACTATACGACGGCAAAGAGAACGGGCAATGTGAGATTTGTGAGAGAGGAACAATGCGTGCAAATTGAAAGGGATGGTATCGCGACTGTTAGTGCAAGTATTGAAACGTTACCAGAATGTAAAGTATAGTTGTGTGCGAGCAGCACAGCGTGTCTAGTCAATTTTTTACACAAATTATATGAACGTTGTTTTTTAATCATGTTGTTATCCATTCAATTAAAGATGTCCCGACTGTTCAGCTATCACGAATCCAGGATTTTCAATAGGCACTCCACTTTCAGTTCATCTCTTATCATAGTACTTGGCATTTTTTATCTTTATCTCAGTGGCTTGTGATTAAATTTTCTGTAATATCGCACAATCATATGTGAAAATTAATATACAGAAGTGATCGTGAGTTAGAACTTTGAGAAAACCAAAAATTGCAAAAACGCGTCCGTTTGGATAGCTAGAAAGAAGATTTACCTTACTTTTAGCATTCACCCCGTACCCCCAGATTAAAATGCACTCCTATTCGCGATTCAGATTAAGGTTGAGACCTCTGGTGGCAGCACATTGTACTTAATATTGGTGGGATATGGCCGCCATTTTGTTTATTTACAACGGCCAAAAGTAAATACACTCGCAATCAATGTAATTATACCTTAAAGAGCAAGGATAGTTTAAACCTTCACATTCTATCACGAATTTTAAATGTGATCAGTGCAATTATGCAACCAACAATAAGGATAAGTTAAAGAATCTGCGTATAACGCATAATATTTCCAAAGTCTTTAATTGTGAACAGTGCAATTACACAACAAACAAGTATAAGTTGTGCACAACTCCTGTGCAGATAAAGCGCATTTTTTTAAACCGAAATAGCTTTTGTTTTGACATCACCAATGGATCTCAATCGTCATTTGGGAGTACCCTCTTCCGACAATCCGTTCTTGAGGTATACAGGAATATACCCGAGCACGATAAGAGGTCAAGGAGGAGGGCTATGGTTGATAGAAATTAATTCCTTGCGTTGAGACCTTTCATTAGAGTACAGTGAAGGATAAAATTAGTTCCACCCCCCTTCCCGTACTTTGATAAGAGGACAGAAAGAAGCGCAGTAGTTGGTAGAAAACGGTTCCTTTCGTTGAGACCTTTAATTAGAATACAATGAAAGATAAAATTAATTTTTAACCACCCACTCCCCCTCAGGCCCCGTCGCTCACTGATGTCGAAAACGAGTCGCACGGGAAAGTTATAATTTGTACAAACCAATTTATTTCGGTGAGATCTTTCATTAGAATACCATGATAGGTAAAACATGTGTTTACCCCCCCCCCCCCCATTTTCTAAAGTTTAACTTAGCATCACTAAAGGCATGCGTATGCAAAATCTGAGACCAATTGGTGGTCGTATGTAAAAGCTATGCATGTTTTACTTTCAAAAACAGCATTTCAGGAAATAATTCGTAGGAGGGGGGGGGCGAAATTTGATGGCCGTCTGGCACATCTTCAAGGTATAGGCTACCGCAAAAAATTCCAGAAATTTAGTACCATTCCCCTAGAAGTAGTTCAAAACGGTAGAAGTGACGTTTAAACATTATCATAATAAAAATAAAAGAATAACATCAAGCGACTTAATTTTTTTATCAATTTGCCACAAGAAGTAAGTAAAACATGGAATATCTCGGAAACCGTTTGAAACAGCTTTTGACATTTTGTATCAAATTAAAGGTCTGGGAAAAAGGAAAACAAGGGTGAAGAACAAAATGGGGGGTGCCATTTGAAAAAATGGAGTTACGGATGTTTAAAAGTTGAGAGCTTTGAAAAAGTGACGTAGTCTCACTTTTTTAGACTGTTACGCATACCATAAGAAAATTCGATCTTTCTTTAATAAATCAGTGAAAATAGTTTTGCAATATCTCTCACCGTTTTCGAATAATAAATTTTTAAAATTACCCCTGCAAATTCAATTTTTGATATAAAAACTTGAATATCGGTGAAGCCCTTGGAGTAAAGGGTCAACTATGGGGTATCGTTGTACTCCAAATTCGACGAAGAATCCGAAAATATAGAAAAAATATGGGGTCCCTATTTAAAATAACAAAGTTGATGGCTACTTCCGGTATTTCCGGAAGTGGCGCCATCTTGAAAATATTTTAGTTCAATTCATCTTGTGCCAAAACCCTTAAATGACTTATCAGTTTAACTTAATTTTCAAACGTTTTCCATATCTTTCTAACTGACGCTCGTCAAGAATTACCCTGTATAGTGAGTGCTGAGCGGACCATCTTTAGACTCGCTTCACGTCAACCCTAGGGATAAATCATTACTTGAATATCTGACAAGTACTAATCTAGAGATCTAGAGGTTGACCTGAGCGGTGAAATTGTTCTCAGCATACTACGGGTACCAAAAGTTTCCAGAATGACGCTGCTGCGCGCGCCGTTTTCGTAGTACGCGGTTCTGCCGCTAGTGGTTTGTTCGGCCGCGCCTTCTCAGTCAGGATGCTAAGCGGCATTGATGTGGAAGGTTGAATCTACCCACAAGAGGTGTTTTGTCCAGCCATGGTTCAACACTTCATGGAGAAGTTTTGTGAGCAGCGCTTCTTACCCGGAAAAAAAACCTCGGTAACCGTTCAAATGTTGAAGACCGCTTACAAAGATGACGCTATGTTTACACGTGGTTCACCCGCTTTAAAAATTGTGAAATGTCAACTGATGATCAACCGCGTTCTGGACGTCCGAACGGACAGTGTTCAACAAATCAATATGTAAGTAGGTATGTGGTGCTCTCTAGTGCAATAAACTAAAAACTATAATTAAGTGCAGTGCGAGAGCGGGCTATCCGCAGATCATCAATTTCGAGTCTACAGCAGGAGTCAACTGGCACACTAGGTGCAATTTATAGAATATGAATAGTGGGAATGGGTCATCTTTCGTCTTCTTACATGCCGCTACCAGTACGTTATATCAGTTACACGTATCTCCTAGTTTGGATCGATTATGTTCGGGTTTTCAGATGTGGAAAGGTGGCAACTCTAGGATTGTGTCAACAAATAACTTTTAAATGAGTTTTTGAAGTATTTGAAATATTAAAAAGAACCACGACTGTGTTCTTTTTTAATATTTCAAATACTTCAAAATCTCAACGGAACCAGAAATGGTGAACTTCATCACATATATTTTAAATGAGTATTTATTATTGGTTGCGTAATCACACTGAGCACATTTTAAATCCTTGGAAGGATCGTGCTTTAACACATACCTTGTAAAAATGCATTTATTGTAGGTCTCATAATCACACTGTATACATTTAAAATTCATGAAAGGATGTGTCAACAAATGATTTATAAATGAATTTTTATTATTGGTTGCCATAATCACACTGGCCACATTTGAAATCTGGTAAGTCCTGTGATTTATTTCGACGCTTATTTGTATTATACAAATAGAAAATGAGTACAATTTTAATTATTGTGCCTTATTTATACCGGGTGAATATTCTAAAACTGAGCATAGGGAATTAACATGGGAAAAAGGTGTTTTGCAGATCGTTCTAGAAGCAGATCTAATGAAGCTTGTGATTTATGACTTTTGAAATTTATTGCAAATTTTACAACTCTGAACGTAAATCACAAAGATTTTATTGTTGGGCAATAAAATAATCTACATGATTTTTTAAATTGTATTTTATAGTAGCGAATTTTCATAAGCGATATCAAGGCGCCATCACGTCGCCATTAAGTTGATAAAGGATTACTAAGGAGCAATAAAGAATGAAAGCAGACTCGAAAATTGTTTAGCATTTCGTTTGCTATATAAGCATATTGTGTTTAATAGAAGTTCCAATATTTAATAACCGATATAAATTCATTAATAATTGTAAATAAATTCTAAAATATGAGTACTACTTCATTTTTCAATCTATAAAAATGTACTAATTCCTCATCGTTACAATCTGGCTTACGAGGCCACCCTCTTACTACTGTGTTCTTGATATAGTGTTGACATTTTGTTTACATACTAAGCTTATTTTGCATTGCCCTTTAATTTGTTGGTAAATTGAGTTGATTATTATTATTATTTACTATCCGCATTTGCCTATGTGCGGACCAAGTATCACAATAGCATCTCAGAAAATAATTTGGGAGGTCGTACAACACAAATTTGAAGACCGTCTCGTATACCTTCAACGTAAAATAATGTATGAATAAATAAACATACATTTTTTTGTTTATAAAAAATAGGCTAAAAATTAAACTGCCGAACAAACCCTTCTTTTGTTAGACAAAAAGGTGTCAATTTTTCAGGGTGTCAAAATTGAAACGGAATTATTCACATCTAACAAAATATCTTTTGCGCAATCTATGTGCACTTTTGGCATTGGAAGATTGGCCGGGAAGACAGCGGAAGTGGTTGCACCCACCTTTGTTCAAAAATGTGGTAAAAAAGAGCACTAGACAACAAAAAATTGCTGAAACAATGAAAAATTCATGAAATGAACGACAGTCTTTTATTTTTATTTTACTTTACCATGCCTACTCACCATACACGCAGAAAAATCTATAGCTCGCATTTGAACCAGGGACTTACCAAGCTCACCTAACCACGCCAGAATAAACGCATATATTATATTATATTTTTTGGCGCTATGAGCACCACGTCCTTTTTTATTTCATTCAAAAACACGAAATGCGAGATTTCAATAATATTTTGACTCACCTCTACGCCTGTGACTCCGAGAGCCTCGACGATATTCGGCGTGAGCCTAAACGGCACCTTCTCCGGCACCCTCAGGGTCTTCCCCTTCTCGAAGCACACATTATAATCGATGTGCACCACCTCGCCGCTTGTCAAATCGACGAGAACATTGTCCAGATGCCTATCGCCCAGTCCGATAATGTACCCGAGCGTGCTCATCACGGCGACCGAGTACGAGTAATTTCGAATCATCTGCCACCACTCGCCCGCGCTCACCGCGTGGCACCAGAGCTCTTTGGCGAGCAGATCGTTCGGCGTCTCGGCCATTAGCTCGGTGAGGACCTGCTTGAGTATGGCGAGCGGCCACTCCTTGCGACTTTCGGGATTTTTCACGCCGTGCTCCTGCAGTAGCGGGTTCAGTTTGTTGTAGAAGAGCTCGGAGGGTCGCAGTACGCCGACGTTCGGATTCGAGTTGCTTCTCTGGCTCTGAAACGAATCGTCAGTACCTACGACAGAGATGAAAAGTCTCACCTGTCCCACTTTGATATTCGACTTGGCACCCTCTCGCTGCTGCCATCTCTTGTACAACGCAAACACCGGCGTTGTACCATCCACCCAGCTGATTAATCCGCTTCGAGGTCCCAGAGGTATGACGGAATAGTGGCGGGCTCGGTAAAGATTGTGGGAGCTCTCGTCCGAGCCCTGAGCCATCATGGTATTGGCAATGCTGAGGAATTGCATGATGCGCTCGTCCAGGTGAAGATCTTCCAAACCTTTGAAGAGGTAGGTGTACGTTTGACCGTCCGAACCGTAAAACACCAACTTTTTCGGTTTGGTTTTCGTCGGTAAAATCGAGACGTGATTCGACACGTTGGATATCGTCACCTGTGTTCGGATGGAAGTCGTCAGTCCGGGCATCGCGATCACTGTATCCTTTAATCCGGCTAACAGAGGACTGATGTCTTGCATTTTGAGGGAGTATGCCGTCCGTTTATGGGCCTTCTGTTGGAATTTGCTTTGAAGCATTTTTAACGGTTGCCAAGACTCTTGCGGTTTTTCAGGATGGTCGGGGTTCTTCAGCTTCTCCAGCACTTGTTTTATAATTGGCGCGTAGCGCTCTTGGAACTGCTTTTCGTGGGGCGTCTCCGGTTCGACGCTCGTCACCAACTGCAGCTGTTCTAAGATGAATATAATCGGCTTCATTATGATTCTGTACTTTTCGGTGATTAACGAGATCTTCTCGTCCTTGTCCAGGTGGGCGTTGTCGTTTACTTTTTCTATCTCGACCTCGAGCTGATGCTGGCGTTGAATTATTTCGCTGTTGTACTGCACTAGTGTACCCAGCCAGAGCTCGTCCCAGAGCAACGTGATGCGGCGCAATTCCTTCACGAGCATCTGCACCTGGGTAATGGTTTCGGGTGCCTGCTTGCTAAGGGTCTCCACCATCGACTTGAAGCAGGATTGCAAGACGTTCTTGGTTTCTTCAGTGTCGCTATCGTAGGCGTCTTCGATTTCGTTGAGCTCGTTGTCTTCGTTGTTCTCGTTGCTTTGCGAAAAGCAATCTTTGGGCATCGATATTTCGGAGAAGTCGAACTTGACCCCGCCCTCGACCGCGCCCACCACCGCGGGAAATGTGATCAGATGCGGCGCGTCCTCGGCGACTCGACAGAGAAATTCGGAAACCCTCTCGCGCACGTACGCCTCTGGATGATTCAAGCGGGAGAACAGTTGCGGTATTATCACCTTCCACGGGTGAGTCGGTGTATTGGCGAGTCCGTTTTCGATTACATTCTGCAAAACCAGCGCGTGCTTCACGATTAGCCGCAGTAAACGCAGCGTTGCCGTGATCGTGCTGCACTCGTTGTTTCGGTTGATGTTTTCCGCGTTAACCGCCAGATGGAGGTACTTAAAGTAGGAGTCGACGCTCATTTCGTAATAACCGTAAATTCGCTTCTGGGAATTTTTCCAAATCTGAATGAGACTCTGGAGCTGCTGTTCGTGAACGTTGTAGAAAACCGGCACGGAGAGCAACTGCTCTCTGATCGCTTCGACGGTGCTGGTTTCGTTCAAATCAATGTCGTCCTCGTTAGTGGTGGGTCTTTGCGAGAGTATACTCAGAATTCGAGCGAAATCGTCCTCGGACACGTCGACGGGGAGACACCTTCGAACTGCCATGTTATCCTCTTCGGTTAGCAAGTTCGTTATGTCGGAGTTGTGGTCGATGATCTTACGACCCCATCGATAGCACCACGTGCCGAAAGCAAACCAATTTTTGCCCATAGTTATACACTGCTGGACGCTGAATTGAAGAAGTTTTCCTATTGCCATTTCGTTCGTCGGTATTATGTTCGTACCGACGTTTATTCCTATTTCGGGCAAGACCAGTAGAAGTTTCACCAATGGGCTTGTCATATCCGTTACTGTAAACTAAAAGAAACGCATTATTGAATGTTATTGATTTTTAACATTCAAAAGCAGGAAATGAAAACACCCTTCATTTTAAGAGATAGAAAAAATCGTTTGGCCGCTAGGGGGCGTGTCTTGGATTTAGTAGATTTCCATAACCCTTCAACTTTCTTATTAAAGATTGATTTAGGCCTTTTTTCAACTCATATGTTAACCGCATGACATTTCAATTGGCCAATTTTCAAGTATTAATGTACAACTGAAATTTAAGGGGGGGGGGGGGGGCTCAAGCAACCTTGACATGTGTAAGTACAATGTGTAACAACACGAATCATATATTATTATTATTATTATGCAATGTGTGTTTTAAGAGAAGAATACAACTTACCAAATTAGATTCTGTGCCTTAATGCTATTGATTGCCTTTTTTTTTGCATGGCCACCCCGTTATTATGTAGGATTAGAATATAAAAACCAGAAAAACTAAGATATTTTGAACAATAGCAGAGATAGGTATAGGGCATTATTATCAAAAGTTGAAGGTTTTTGGAAGAGCTAAAAGACGACAGAAAAATATACAGGGTGTTCCATTTAAAAAGTCTGATTTTTTAATATGAAGTTTGGTAACTTTGGATCTAAAAAAAACACCCTGTAAGCTATTTTTTTAATGTTTCATAGAAGATGTATTTATTTGACTTTTACTTAACTCAGGATAAAAGATATAAAACCTGGAATCAAAATTTAAGTAATAATTTTGACAATATACAGGGTGGTGACTTGCGTAACGCATCATAGGGATTTCAATGTAAAATTCAAAACATGCGATTATTGGCTCCCCACATTATTTTAGAGCAAAAATGTATTAAGGTTTTTTGTAGAAAAATGTTTTTTACACCAATCAGCGGTATTCGTTTTCAATTTTTTTCACATAGACGGAAAATTGAAATAATAATAATAATAATAATTGCACTTTATTGACTGAATATATGTAGAATACAAAAAAAAGATGTATATATAATGTGTAAGTAAACAATCTCAGTCAAAAAGATCAATTCGCCTAAATGCAGGAAGGTCTGCATCAAGCGTTCTACCATTGACCTTGACAAACGAAAAAAAAAAATAAAAAAACGAAAAAAAAAAAACAATACACTCGAAAGTAAAGATAAAGAAACAAGAACAAAAAAAAAAAAAGAAACTGTTGACAGTAATTCATACTCGTCGTGTAGCCAACATGTGCGCTTTTATCGTTCTTTTCAGTGATGCCACTGAGCCTTGAAGTATGCCTGGATCTGTTAAAATAAAGTTGACAGTTTTCACCATATTGTAACTAAATGATCTTTTGAAGATTTCTTTGCGGTGCTTGGGTATCACTAGCAACTGACGATATCTACCACACAGTTGTTTTTTAGAACGGGAGGTAACTTTTGTGGCGAGATACTCTGGCGTTTTCATTTCAAAAATTCGCCAGTAGAATACAGCTGAATGAACAGATCGTCTCTCTTCCATGCATAAAATATTATTGTTGCGTAGAGTTTCTGTAATGCCACGTCTACCCCTCAGGCCATAGGCGAACCTTATGCAGGCATTTTGGACGCGTTGAATTTTCGCCGAATCTGCTTTGGTGATACAGGATGAGTAGATAACATCGTCCGCGTTTTTTTTACAAAAAACCTTAGTACATTGTTGCTCTAAAATAATTTGGGGAGCCAATAATCGCATGTTATGAATTTTACATTGAAATCCCTATGATGCGTTACGCAAGTCACTACCCTGTATACTGACCCTGACGCTTGCAAATGTCCAATTTTTCTTAAAAATCGAATTATCTTTAAAACTACTAGCTTTCCGGATATTAACCATATAATAAGAAAGACGTACAATTACACGTAGAATTCAAAAATGCGTTCAAATACAGGGGGTTCTATTTTAAAAAAATGTACCATTTTGGCGCCCTACTTTGTAAGCGCTCCCTGTATAATTCCAAATATTTTTAAAATGTGGAGAATATTCAACCATATCATAATACAAAAGCACTATCTATCTAGCTTTCTATGTTAACAGTAGATAGGGGGCCTGTTTTTTTAACAGGTCCGGTTTTTTAAACATACCTGCAGTTTAGACAACAACCACGATGACGTGTGTTTAAACCACGCTTGAACCTCACGTCTGGCGCGTCACGTGACTGTCTAAATGTAGGGCAACTTACCGCTGATTTTGTTATCAAATCTTCGTTTTGTTAAATTATTTATGTGCCAGTTCTGATTTAATTTATGGGCGCTTTGATTATTTTTATAAAAAGTTGAATAATTTAGTAGCAATAAGAATGGCCTTAATCGGGAAAAATTTTTTTTCATAAATCAATATTTAAAAAAAAATTCCCTCTTGTATACCCCATCGCTTTACACACTGTACATTTGTTTATTTAAAAATAAAAATAATAAATTTAATAAAACTGCTGCAACTACCGAGTGGTCCCTAGGGACCGCAGTGCCCCTATCAGATATGTTACGAGCGGCCCCCACGGACCGCTGCCGCGCTAAACGTGTTAATATCTCTCAGCGTTTTAGAATAATAAATTTTTAAAATTACCCCTGCAAATTCCATTTTTGACATAAAAACTTGATTTAAACCTTAGCCATAGAGGGCTACTAACTATACCTCAACATAAAACAGCACTATTTGAGAATTGTTTGACCTTTTATTTCACTCTTTAATTTGATTTCGTGTTACTGTTGATTATTCCTGTTCGTATTGTCTTTTATCTTTCAATCTGTTCATTCATCATTTCACTATACTTAGTAAGTAGTTATTCTAAAATAATTTTGTTTTCTTTCGCTGTTTTGCTCTGTACAAATATTCTCTGTTTTGTCATGGCGTTTTGCTGAATCTATGCCATGAGGTTCTAAACATTTTTTTTTTTAATAAATATGATTATTATTATTATTATCGACGAAGTCCTTAGAGCAAAGGGTATAGGGTATCGTTGTACTCCAAATGCGACGTAGAATCCGAAAATGTATAAAAAATAGGGTGTCCCTATTTAAAATAACAAAGTTGATGGCTACTTCCGGTATTTGTGGAAGTGGCGCCATCTTGAAAATATGTTAGTTCAATTCATCATGTGCTTAAACCCTTGAAGGATTTATCAGTTTAGTGTCATTTTCAAAGGTTCTCCATATCTTTGTAACTGACGCTCGTCAAGAATGACCCTGCATAAAACAGTCGGAGTGCCGCCACCGTTATGCATCCACCTTGCTCCTGGTGTGTAATAGACCATCATGACCTTGCTCGAGCACATTATTTACGATTGCACGACATGAACGAATGTTAAAACACTTTCTTTGCATAATTTTCACGAAATGAAAGCGCCAGGTATGCATTTATCTTTATATTTACAAATCATTGATACTCGCAATGATATGTCATATTTAATAAACAGTTACTACATTTCTTAAACATTTGCTACACTATTTACTACATTTCCTCAACATTTACTACATTTGCCCAACATTTGCTCATCATTTCCTCGGAACTGTACACCACATTTGCCCAGCGGTCAACCCCTTGAGAGGGAAGATACATTAAATACTGGAGTTGGCGTATGAAAGGGGCCTTTTGTCAAATTTCGAGGCCGAGTTGCTGTTCGTTAAAAGCCAAGAAGACGTGCGTCCTGCGTTAAGTTCAAGTAAAAGTTCTTAAAAGACGTATGTAAAAGTTTGGGTGTAGCAGTTTTTCATTGAAGTTGTTCTCTTCCGTTTTCGGACCTTGTTATTCTCCGTTTTGATTGTTGGACTCTTATGATAAATTTAATTTGTGTTTGAATTAAATTTTGTTTGCGTCATGTAACTCGTGTGTTTATTCGAACCCTTAACGACCCAGATAAATGTCTCATGTTTAATTCATGACGGTTAATTTTGTTGATTAGTACCCAAAGTTTGTTTCGGATGTCTACAAAATTTGCGTACATAATCCTTCTGGAATTTGACGAATTTGGTCGCGGCCATTAGGGCTTCAATTCACTCAATTTTGTTTTTGGTAGGTTGGTAACAAAGGGTTTTGAAATTCTGAACTAAAACTATACAGGGTGGTCTATACTGGGCACTTTCAGCACAATTTTAAAGAAAAAATCACTGACATAAAAACAAAGAGAGGACCAGGAAGACCAAGGGAGACATGGGGCAATGAGGTGAATAAAATAATAATAAGAAGAGGACAAACAGTCAAAAATGCGAAGGAAGTGGCCAAAGACAGAAGTGAATGGAAGAGTTTTGTGAATTAGAGCATATGTTATTTTTGTTTCCTATTGTTAACCTAACAGTAAGTAGACAATATGTTAATGTTAACAACCTGTAATCCCAACACCGAAAGGTATAAGGGAATTTTCGATTATATATATATAAAATCACTGACGCAAACATAATTCAGCTATCTCTAATCGTTTGGCCGCTAGGGGGCGTATCTTATATTTAGTAGATTTCCTTAACCCTTCAACTTTCTCATTATTAAAGATAATTGATTTTGGCAAAATCTTTCTTAGGCCTTTTTTCAACTCATATTTTAACAGTGTGTCACGAAATTTCAATTGGCCTATTTCTAAGTATGAATGTACAACTGAAATTAAGGGGGGGGAGGGGGGGGCGCTCAAACAAAGTATGAAAAGTGTGCTTCAAGAGAAAAATGCAACTTACCAAATTAGACTCTGTGCCTTGAAGCCAAGTGGCCAACCTGAGCAAAATCTTACTGCTAATCTGCTTCATATCGTGCCTGCCCAGTCGATCGGCATTCTTCGAAATAGCTGTCGAAGCGTTCGCGCACAAATTGAAAACGAGCTGCTTATTCTCCTCGGTGGCGTAAAGCAACTTGATCGCCTCCTTCATCGACTTGGCGAAATCGAACGTGCACGTACTAAACTCGGCGGTCTTCTGCAGCAACAGCAGCCCGATATCTTCGAGCGGCAGCCGCTCGTTCAGCGCGAACATGCCCTCCTGCGCCATGAAGCGATTTAAGTGCAGGCACGCCAGCTCGTAGTTCTTCTCCTTGCGCGCCCTGCGTATGATGTGCAGGCGGAGACTGCTGCAGAACGTGTTGAAGCCCGGGTTCTGCTGGTCGCGCGAGAAGTACTCCGACCACCAGAGGATTTTGGTCAGGATGGTCGAGTCGATTTTTTCGATGTCGTTTTCGAAATTCTCCGACACCAAGAAAACGTTACTCGCCAGCGAGTTGTTCAGAATGGTCTTCAGGCCGTTTGCGACGTAGTGCATCAACAAGAAAGTCTGCAGAAACTCCGAGGGTAGAGATAGCAGATTGTCTTGCATGATTTCTTGTATTGTGGCGAGACTGGTGTCGGTTTTGGCTAGTAGGTACGCGCACTTGGGCGCGTTTATGTTTGACGCAACGTTGTAGAGGTCGCTTTCGGTATTGCGCAAGATTTCGTAGGTACTCCACGAGTTGGTCTCTTCAATGTTCCATTGGTTCAGCTTGTTGGCGCATCGTATGGTGTCTCCATTCGACAGTGTGTTAATGCAGTCATAGTTGACAGTCGTGAAGAAGTGCTTTAAGCCGTTATCGCCGTGCCCTAAACTGGTCTCGTAATTCTTCCACTCGTTAATCTCGCTCCAGCTATTCAACTCTTTGTAGCAATTAACTATTTGACTCGACATAAAGTATTGCACCTGAGTGTCGGTGTCCTTCTCGTCTTTGTTACGTTCAATTAACGTTTTGTAATTTTTCACGGCGCTTTCGTATTTTTTATTCGCCTGGTCCGACGCGAACTTCACCCACTCCAGCTTTCGGTCGGCGATCTTTTTACACCAAGTGTACAGACCGTAGATGGCTTCGTTTTCTCTCAAATTTAGAAGGGCGAGCGTGACGTACATGACCGCCCTTTCAAAGTCGACCGTGTTCGTTTTGTTACCGGCGACCAGATTCGCCAATAGAGCGTGCCCGTGCCGAAGGGCGACTGTCGATTGGCCCGCGTGTAGGGCGACAATAACGATGACGACTCGAATGCGAGACAGCCACTCCTTGCAGGTGCTCGCGTTCGTATAGAAAAAGGTACGGACGGGTTTGGGCGCGGGGGGCATGGCTATGGCGCAGCCCTCGGCCGCGTTGTAGATTGCCTTTTCGAGGTGTTCCATAAATTGTAGTAGCATCCGAACGCGCTTCTGATCGACCTTTCCACTTTCGCTTGGTTCCTGCAAACAGAGAAGAATTTGAAAAAATAAAATAAAAGTTGCTTTTGCATATAAAATTTCTGAAAAAACTGGACCAAATATAGGAAAGTTGTTCTGCGCATGCGCAAACGGTTTTTTAAACATATTTTTTACATAGTTAATTTTTATTTCAATAAAAAAACTTCGCGGGAATACGCCCAACCATTCTTCAAAGTTTCATTGCAATCGAATAAACGGTTCAGGCAAAAATAAGAGACATACAGACAGACAAACATTCATTTTTATTTATATAGCTGAAGTAATAACCGTGGCTGGCAGGAGAGTCAATTTTATCCATCAATACATTTCACTGTTTCCCGAATCAAACTTATTACTACCCTCGTATCTTCTCAATTTTATACGGGAAGAGTTAAGATAGAAATTGAGTGGCGTTCAACCCCATTGGTAAGCCCCAGAACGAAAATCCGCTGTGGAAGATCTCGAGCTTGTATTTTTTTTCCAACTGTGAGCTAGTTGATTGATTGATTGATTTATTGTGCTGAGAGACTGTACAGTCTTTACACTTGTTAGGGCCGTTTATGCGGTGGGTGTGAGGTAACACAGCGCTAACTCTGCTCCTGTTATCTGTTCCAATCGACAAAAGTACTAATGAAAATTACCGACTAATATCGATTCTTCCGATATCATCGAAGATTTTCAGAACCGTAAAAGAATTGAAAGATACCATTTAACTATCCTGAAAAAACAAGGGTACTTACAGCAGTATGGTTTTCTGAGATTTGACTCAAAGTAGGTATTTTTTTAAGTTCAACACCCTGTATATCTTAACGTCAATTTTTTGAATTCTTTTTCTTGAACACATTGATGTATCACAACATATTTTTTTAAACTTTAGCCATGAACCAAAAGTAAAAATCTTATTTTTTATAGTGTTTAAATAGTAGGCCATGGAATCAAGGGTTTTTCTTTTTTAACTGTAATTTGTATTCATGGCAACAGATACCCATCAATAAAACAGTACAAACATGTCATTTCAATATTTTGAAAAATATGATATAATATACAGGGTCCATTGGTGTGTGGGTGGAAGATTGTGGGTTTATTAAAATTCATAGTGGGGAATATTGAAGAACCCTTAAGGCTACAACTTAAAAATATTTTCAAAAAAATTGCAATTGTTATACAGGGTGATTTATATCAAAGTTGCATTTTTTAAATGGACCCCCCTGTATATTATTACATATTTCGTTTTTTTGGTAAATTTTAGTGTGACTTTATGTATTACACATGATATCTAAAATAAGTCGTTTAGCCGCAATTCGTCGTTTTTTCAAAAAGTAGATGTCCAGTAAAAATTGAATATCGCAGTTATCATAAAACTTAGAAGGCCGTGGCTTTGCAGCGGCACTAACCATGCAAATAAAAAGTTTAAATAAAAATAAGAGAAAAATGTTTATTTCAATAGATGTTCAAGACCACACATTTGTCAATGGGTTTAGAAAATCATTCTTTGGCACCTTAAAGTATTATTTTTCATGCAGTCTTAGATTTCTAGAACACAATGCAATATTTTTCTTTTCTGGGTAGTTGCGGGTATTTTTACCTGTTCAGGAATGAAGCCTAAAACCTCCATTATAAGCTAAATGCATAGTTGGAACGTGCTTAAGTCATCCGCAAAAGAATGACCACTAACGGATTAAATTTCTTTGGAATACGATAAGTGAGTCAGTAACTTACATACCTGCTTTCTACACTGGCCTGCAGAGGGTGGAAATGAACCAAAAATAAAATTCCTGTGTTATCTTCCCTAATTGCTTCTTAAAATAATTTTGCGGTCTTATTCAGTTTCATCAATAAATTTATTTGGTATTTAACATGTCATCTTTTTAAATTTTTATGTCATTTTTGTGAAATTTTTAAGTCATAATTGTTTTTATTTTTCATTTTCGCTGATTTTTATCGTCATTAAAATCCTAGGCCTACTAATCAACAACAGAATTGTAAATGTCAATGAACTAAACTGACAGATGTCATTTTATTTTGTTTTAATATTTTCCAAAATGGCTTTCGTGGCTTACTATTCAAATTGATTTATTTAATTTCACGCATTCGTTTAAATGCAAAATTCAATATTATTTTTATCTTTTAAAATAGGCTACGTCAAACAATAGTTTTTGTTTTGTTCTGGTTAAATGGGTAAATGTTTTATCATTTGGATTGGTATTTATAATTTTAAACGGCCTACTGACTAGTGAGAGGCTTTGAAAATCGAATTATTAGAAATTGTTGAATTACAAAAAATAGGTAAGAGATATATACCGACATGCTTATATCGTTAGAAAGGTAAGAAAATTTTATATTTCATGCAATAAAAAAAATTTAGTAGTTCCATTTAAAAATCAAGTTACCTTTGATTGAAATTTTGAAAATTGCCGGAGTGATTTCTTTTAACACAAAAGAAGTTAGAATAGAGATTGACCTTCTTTAAAAGTGAGACGTGTAAATTGCTCCGTAAATACGTTCAATTTTGTGGGCCTTGACGAGTGAATTTATACGTATAGAGTGATAAGAAGAGGCAGATAAAACGGAGGGAGGACAGCAAGGATTTTCAACAACCCCAAGCACATGCCTAAGTGACAATTAAACAATATAAAACGTGTAAGTAAATAAATATAAATTAAATATCTCCGATAAAGGTCAAGCAGGTCTGATAAGAAAGAAGGCAAATTTCCCCTTAATTTTATCATTTTATATTCTGTAAGCACTGCATATAGGCCACACACAACATCGCAACCTACTCAACTCAAAAATGAGTTCCGGTGGCGAAGGGTATACTACTGAAGCGTAAACGAGCAGAAGATCCAAATATAGAGGTATTCCACAGAAGTAAGAAAACTGTACGATCGCCGAGGAAACCCGAAAGGGTCGATACAAAGGAGAACCAAGACATGGAAGTAAAGGGATTTATGAAGGACATTCTAAACGAACTAAGAGAAATAAGAAAAGAACAACGAGAGTATCGAGAAGAGATAAAAGAAATAAGGGAGGAGAAAGTTGAACGTGAAAGGTGACTTTACGCCAACTCTTCAGTTACCTATCTCGTATGAAATTGCACGAAGAGCATTTTCAGCTAAATATATTTCATCTAGCCCTAAAGGTCACGATATATTTGCCCAAAGCCACGAAAATTGATGATTTTCGCCGCTTTTATGAATTTCCTAGGCTAAGAGGTACACACCTAGGCTAACTTCTGAGTATCTCCCTTGCATAAAATTTCCCGAGAAATATTTTCAGCTAAAAATATTTCATACAGACCTCATAGATCGCGAGATATCAGCCAAAAAGAGCGAAAACACGGTTTTTGGGGGATGGTGGGGTGGCTGGAGCCTTTAGCACAGGGTCTGGGGGGTGGGATTTTTAATATGTCTCAACAATGTTTCTGACACCCAACTGAACATATTCCACCATTTTTTTTTTCCATCTCAAAATGTCCAGTTTGCCAATTTTACAGTCTCTATCTCCTAGACTATATATACAAAAGAAGTTTAACTTTGTATGATTAGTGCCACTGCAAAATCACGGCCTTCTAAGTTTTATGATAATTGCGATATTCAATTTTTACTGGACATCTACTTTTTGAAAAAACGACGAATCGCGGCTAAAAAACTCATTTTAGATATCATGTGTAATACATAAAGTCACTAAAATTGACCAAGGAATAGAAACATGTAATAATATACAGGGAGTTTCATTTAAAAAAATACAACTTTGATATAAAACATCCTGTATAAGAATAAGATATCGCGTTAATAAATAAAAATACCAATTAGGACTCAAATCTCAGAAATAGTGGGCCAAAAATTTTTTTGACTACGCCACTGGATTCTACGTAAATACATCTAAAAGAAACAGTTTTTGTCTTTTTTTCTATCTTACATAGGTAGTAAGATATAATAACATCCCAGATCCCAAAAAGTCAAAGTTTTCGTTTTCACCCTGTATCTCAGAAACAAGTGTAGCTAGACTGATTCTGTTTGTGGTATTAAAAACAGCTGAGATACATCACAGTCTCAACCAAAATAGGACACACAGTACACCAAATACCATTAGTGAATAACCCCTCGATCGAAGTATTACATCTTTTGCTGTTCCTAAGCCCAAAGATTAAAAAAAATTACATTAATTTTATAAAGCTCTGATACCTATTCAGAAAAATTACACTAATTTTCATTAGATTCCACCAAAATATGTCAGGGTCAAGCTGTAGACTGATGAATTGGTACGAAATGACCCATATGTATTAAATTATAAATACTCAAAGTCAACGACAGATGAATAAACTAAGGATTTTAACGCCATCTTTTAGAACTTAACAGTAACCATTTATGCTGCACATTTTTATTAGGGAGTGTCTATTGCACTGTCCAGTCATGCACATTTATGTTAATTTTTGTATAACTTTGCAGGGGTTGGCAACCTATTGAAACGGAAGAGCCAAAAATTACAATTTACAAAATTTCCCAGTTTTTAAAGAGCCACAACAAATTTTTGATTCAATATTATAGTATTTGGCTATATACAGGGTCCTGCAACAGTGCGTCGGTTTTTCCTACATAGCTGATAGATACCTGGTAAAAATATTGGTGGTTGCGGATCTACAGAAATTATTTTGAATGTACAGGGTGTTCCATTTTTACGATGTCAATAAATAACTGATCTTTTTAAATAGAACATCCTGCATATTTTTACTTGTTTCAATGCCATTTGTTCAAAGTGCTATAACTATTCTCTTTCAAAAGGAACTACCGTTATTTTATTTCGCTATTCGATTGTCTTTTGTGTTCTCTTCAATGTTCATAAGGGGTGCCCTGCGCTTAAATCCCTCAGTTTTTATGTTATTCGATATTTTTCACAAAAGTACCTACTCATTAATTAATTACGTGTTTATACATCGGAGTAGGCTGCTATAATAAAAAAACAAAAGAATAGCAGAAAGTAAACAAGTGTCAAAAATTAGATAATTATTTGCTGCTGATTTCGTAAACAAAGAAGATTAATTAAAAAGGCGAATTTCAAACAAATGAACTAATTTCTTTAGGGAGAGCCGCAAATTTATATTAAAAGAGCCGCACAGGTTGCCGACCCTTGCACTAGCCGTCACATTTTCTTGCTGTACTGTCTGTACAGTACAGTACACACACTTATTATGGAAACAGTGTATCTAATCAAGGAAGTGTAATTATCTAACCAACAAGTTCAAAATTATTTTGCACTCCTTATCACAATTCCTATCTATAAATAGCAGGTTCTCAACCCATGCAATCTTTGAGGAATAAACAAGATTGTTACTGTAAACAAAAAAAAAATTGTTTATAATTTTTAATTTTTTTCTCAATTGAAAAATCGGAGGGACAGATAAACTCACCTCGCCATCAATTTTGCTTCTCATCACCTCCCTGGCGAGCCGCTTGAGCACCACCTCGAAACTGGTGAACGTCTCGTTCGGCTTGCCCAAGGGCGTACGCAGTTTGGAATTGACGCACAGCTGCGCCGCCTCGAACGTGACCCAATTATTCAGAACCGCCCTCGAATTCAACGCCAAACTGCGAAAAAACTCCATATTCGCGTTGCTCGCGTTCGGCTCGGTCTCGATCGGCCAGCAGCACGTGAAGACGTCCTCGAGTAAATTGCCCGGTCGCTCCTCACCGTTCAGCAGGTACCGCATGAACGTGGTGAAGTGAAACGGTAGCATTTCGCCGTAGACCGCGCCGGAAAGGTGCAGATGTTGGGCCAGAATTACTGTGTTGTTACTGTAACGGGCGAGGTCGGTGCATTTTAGCTTGGCCTGCTCGACGGAGTACGGCTTGTTGAAGTGGGTCAAGGTCAGGTCCCACGGTAGGTTTTCGGAGAGTGTCGTGTACATGTCCCGGATCGGTTTGCTCGTGGAGTTCATGTGGAGGATGCAGAGGTCGCTGACTGACTTTAGAAAGAGGTTGTTCCACGACAGCTCCTTTTTGTTCAGCAGCTTCTGGAGGTTGTTGCAAACGGCTTGGACCACGCTGTTGTTGTAGCTGTAGCCGGATTTCACCAGGATCTTGGCGACTTTGCTGAATTCGGGCGAGTTGTAGAGTATGAGGAGGTACGGTTCGGAATGCATGAGGACGTCGCCTAGCCATTGTAGCACTAGGAGAGTTATTTCGAAGTTTATCACGCTACCGAGGGTTTTGTGGAGGACGTCGAGGATCAGTGCGAAGTTTCCGGAGTTGGGGGATTTGCCGGCGACGTCGCCAGTTAGTCCTAGAAGTGCTTGGGTGTTGCTTACCAGACTGCTGCTCGCGATGAAGTGGTTGTAGCTCTTGCAGTGCGAGTACAGGAGGTAGAGGAGGCTGTACTGTAACGTCGGTGCCTTCTGGCCGAGCTCGGAACTGTACGGCATTAGGAGGATCGCGAAGAGATCCAGCATGCTCGGTTTGAGCGCCCACAGGCCGATGATGGAGCTGCTGGAGTTGGCCAGCTGCGAGAGGCAGCGGAGCAAAAACAAAACCGACAATTCCGGATCTTTGGTTACAGGTTCCGTGAACGGGTTACTTTGGCACAATGGAGAAATGTTCGGCACAATCTGTCGGTACATAACCTCCAAATCGCCCAAAACGCATCGGTACGCCTCTTGGAGTAGGGGAATGTTTTTCAGGTTGAGAAGAGCTTGGTACATGCAGATCGTCGCTTCTTGTACCTCGACGAAATGCGAGCTGCGCAATTTAATTACCGTGGAATCCGGTCCTACCAAGTTGTAGACGAGCTCGATCGGTAGATTCACCGACAACTCCTTGATCACTTTTGACGTCATAAACAGCATCGAAATCACGGTTGCATTCGAGAACCGATCGACCATCGACAGCTCCAAGTCGACCAAACCGAAAATTGTGTTATACAGAGAACTCGACTTCGTGCCTAAAACAGTCAGGAGCAGGGAAATATTCTCATTGGTCGCTATGATCAAGTTGTCCGGGCAGCAGGTTTTCAGCGCGTTCGATAACGTGACGATTATCTGAATCATGCAGTCGGTTATAAACTTGACGTTCACTATTTCGTTAGTCGCCGGCTTCAGATCGTCCCCCAGACACTTGAGAACGGTGTTCAAGGCCAAAATCGACACGGTCAGGTAATCCAACGAGTTGCTCTCGCCGTCCTTGGCCCCGTCGTCCAAATCTTTCGCGTAAACCTCGATATCCTCGAAGAAATTATAAACTAAACTCGACGAAAACTCGACGTTAGTCTGAAAGTGATGCCTGATTCTTTGCAGACTTTTTGAAATGAACTCGATGGTAGTCAGCGGCTGGGCGAGATCGACGTGCCACCCCAACAATATATCCATAGCGTCGCGAAATTGCGAATAAAACTGCACGGGATAAATCTCGACGAGCGTGATCAACACGTCCAAGGTCACCTTAAATAATCCCCCGTTCTCTAACACTTCGATCATCGACACTAAATCCTGCATAAGCCCCTCGGCGTGATCCCGCAGCACCGGCTTGCCAACGTCGAACCGCAAGGTCTCCTTAAGCGACTTCATAAACAAGTACTTGGTGTCGTCTTTAACGTTCAGCATCTTGTGAAAGATCCAATCTTGGAAACGCGGAAAGTCGTTCTCCTGTCCCATTATGTAACCCATGCGGCCGAGAGCGCGCGCCGCCTCCTCCTTCGCCGGCAAGCCGGGCGCGCCGTGCAAAATATCCAACATCGACTCCCCCAAAATGTGAAAGGCCTTGCGAACGTAACTCGCGTTGTCGGGTATGAGTAGCACTTCGAGCAGCTTCTTCGAGATCGTAAGCGAATTCTCCTGATCGTTCTCCATGCTCAGCCGTCTCAGCAGTTTGGAAATTCGCGTGTCTTCGGGTAGGTTAAACTTCACCTCGGTCTTCTTTTCGGGCTCGTAGCACTTGGATCGAAAATACATGCTTCCCGGGTCGCGACTGTTTAAAGAATCGTTGTACTTCTTGCTGTACGAGTCGGCATCTCGACGCGACCCTCCCCTACCTCGTCCGTAGCCTCGGCGTTCGGCTGCGCCCACCCTGGTGTGGCGAAATTCGGCCTGGCGCGGCCTCGCGCCCTTGTACCTGCCATCGCGCGAGGTATAAACCGTTTGTCTGCGTTCATTTAGGAACGTCCCGTCGACGCTATCGCTTTCGAAATTATCTTCATTTTGGTTATCAAAATTGAGGCAATCCTTGGAGCTTTTTAAAGCCTTAAGCTTGTAGGATGTTGTGTTTGATATCATTACTTATCTCACATGCCGACGATGTAAATATAGCATTACGTTCTTATGAAAGTGACGATGGATTTCTGAAACGAGTTTTTATTAAACAATCTTGCACAAACTGAGGAAACATCAAGTTTTTCATGCAGAAACGACATAACACAGCGAAAATATTACGCACGAACATAAAATGTCAATCCGACATGACTACCACTACACAAAAAATTAACAAACAAACAACGGCAATTGAAAAATGATTACCAACCTATTTTTGTTTATACAGTGGCGTAACAGACAAACGGAAACGTACCTTTTAAATTTATAATTCGTTTTAACCTTTATTTCATTTGGGGCCGGTTGCACAAAGGCAGTTTTCAGAGCTATAAATATCATTACCTAAAAGCATTGATTATACACACAGTATAATCAATATTAAAAGATTGGAAATCAATTGGGGAGAAAGCATTTGGAGACTAAAATTTTAAATGTTCTTAAAAACCAAGAATAAAAGTTAAATATCTTTTAATACACAAAAGGAACTATAAAAGTTTTGTATTAGGTACTCTTAAAAGAGTGAATATTAGAAGACGATTCGACACAAGTTTCCAGAAGGAAAGGAGGTGAAGATGATTCAATGTGGACAAAACCGCCAAAGGGAGATTGAACATGGGTTTGCACACAATGAGCGAATTTCACAACTGTAGAAAGACGACTAAGCTTACAGGTGGTTGATGGACGTGGAACAGACTATTTGTATAAGAAACTCTCTCGAGTATGACAATTGACTCCCGCTTATGTCAGTCATGTGATTAAAATTGAGGTTAAATCCAAAATCTCAAATATTCCATGACAAATTAATGAAACAAAACATTTTCTTTACAAACCACAACCAAAAGGCATAATGAAACCAGCGAAAAATGTTTGTGTGGTAGTTTTAGGTGATATCGGAAGGAGTCCACGTATGCAGTACCATGCGCTATCGTTGGCCGAACATGGTTGCAAAGTTGATATTGTCGGTTACGGTGACAGCGAACCATCGAAAACTGTGAAACTAACCCCTCTTATACGATACCATTACCTTATACCATACCCTGCACTCCCGCTTCCTCGTCTGTTAAACTATATCTTCAAAACCCTCTGGCAATCGCTCACATTACTGTTTGTATTATTGATGAACAACACTCCAGACTCGATCATTGTACAAAACCCGCCTGCTGTACCGTCCCTACTTGTGTGCTGGCTGTACGCGTGCCTCACCAAAGCTCGCCTAGTAATTGACTGGCATAACTACGCACACACAATAATGGCATTAAGTGTCGGCCCACAAAACTTACTAGTAAAATTGACTAAACAAATCGAACGCTTAATTGGCAAACGTGCCGGTACAAATTTCTGTGTAACAAACGCCATGAGAAAGGATCTCGACGAAAATTGGTCGATTAAGTAACTATCGGCAAAATTTAATTTGTGATCACTTACTGTTTAATTTCAGAGCGGTAACGCTCTACGATCGACCACCTGAAAAATTTCGCACACTTTCGCTTGAAGAAAAACACGACATTTGGTGTAAACTAGGTGCGACGTACAAAGAGTTGTTAGGTGAGGATGGCAACACAGTTTTTACAACGAGTGACGAAAGCGGTAACATTAAGTGGAGAAGTAAGCGACCGGGATTGCTACTGTCGAGCACTAGTTGGACTGAGGACGAAGACTTTTCAATACTCTTCCAAGCGTTACAAGGTAGTACATCCGAAGCATTTTTGTACAATACTCTCTATTTGTGTAGAGTACGAGGATACGGTTGACACAGAGCCTGGTTTGTCACCACTCATTTGCATTATAACAGGAAAAGGTCCTCTAAAGGAGTATTACTGTAAAAAAATTGAATTGTGCAAGTGGAAGCATGTGCAAGTAATTACACCGTGGCTGGACAGCGAGGACTACCCCAAGGTGTTGGGCTCGGCAGATTTAGGCGTCTCCCTACACACAAGCTCCAGCGGCTTAGATTTACCAATGAAAGTTGTCGACATGTTCGGCTGTGGACTTCCCGTATGCGCTTACGATTTCAACTGGTCAGTTTACCACTGAAACTACTTCTTTCTAAATTTTTAGTTACAGCTTAAACGAGCTGGTCAGACACGGAGAAAATGGATTTACATTCAAGAACTCGACTGAACTGAGCAGGCAGCTTATTGACTGGTTTAGAGACGATACAAAACGTAAAACCTTCACAAAAGAGTTGGAAAAATTTCAGGCAGTTCGATGGAAGCAGAACTGGGACAATGTAGCTTTACCTTATTTTAATTATCAATAAGTATCTTGATATACAGTAAAAAATTCTTAAACTAGTAAGCGTTCGATTTCTTGTTGAATCGTTAATATTAACGGTTTCAATTGTGACCCTTCATTTATGGTAACACTACACGCGATTATAGGACGAGAAACGCCACATGCACGACCTAAAGCTTGCTTGGAACGCACAAAAACGTACGGTACATTCTTGTCCTCGCAGAGTAACGGCAAGTGAAGCAGAATTTCTATGGGTTCAGCATCGGCAGCCATAACAATGAACTCAGCTATTCCTCGGTTTAGCGTTTTCGTAACTTCGTTAGCTCCTTTCCTTAGCTGTTTGTAATTCATAGCTTGTTGCACTAAATTTAGAATCTTAGATGTTAAATTGGCCTCGGCCAAAGGATATGCTTTTGGATTAACTTCGTTCGCCTGTAATGAAGGAAGCTTTAACAGATTTAATCGTAAATGGATTTAATTTACCATGGTATCCTCTCGGCTTTCGCTTCACGGAGGTAAATTACAAACACGTGGTATTTCAAAACAAACGTTTGGAAACGTACGCGCGAATTTGAGGTTATAAACATCTGTGTCTCTAAAGCAGTATTGCCAGTCGTTAGTGGCTAAGAATCACAACAAATATAGGGTGATTCAAAAGGTTTTGTAATTTCATTAGAGATTTAAATTCGTTACTTCAACAATTAAAAGTGATAAAGAAAATTTTGAAAATAGACGGTCGTTCCTTTGTTTGTCCTTTCCCGTTGTGTATGAAGGTAAAATGGGAGTTGGTATGCTAGATAATTAGATATAATAAGGGGTACGTGACGCTAATAAGCCTCCCCCATCAGTTACGATCATGAAATTAATAAAAATGGCTAGAGGGGACCTTAATTAAGCGTTTTCAACAACAAAATTGCGAAAGAAGCCCAGTTCAGCTCGTAAACGCACCAATGAGCTTGGTAGATGGTGGTGGATGTCTTATGAGTGACTTTACTTACTTGTAGACTAATGTATAAAATGGTGTAATCGGAGTAGTTATGTTAAGGGCCATTTAATGTGCTTCAAAGGTGGATATGTGATTGGCAAATAATTCCAAACTTTAAGATTTCTTGATACTTAATTGATAAACGCATTATAAAGCTTGTTAGGGGTAGTTTCACAAGTTGAGTGCAAAGTAATAGTAGAAAAATCTTGCTATAGAGCTAAACTGGAGACAGAAACCTAGTTTAGCTCTAACCAATTTAGAAAAAAAGTTAATAATCGCCTGTAATTTGGAGGTCGTTTGCAGCTCTAAAAGGATTGGAATAATCTGGGGGATCTTAAAAGGCTCAGACAAAACTGAAAACGCTTCTGAAACAATTTAAAAAGCGCTGGTAATGCATTTAATCACTGAAAACCCCTCAAAAATCTCTGAAAAGCGGGTACAACACGATTCTCAGTGCCAAATTGCGCTTTAGACACTTTCTTAGTGCTTCGTAGAAAAGTTTAGGTTGTTTCTTAAAGGCAAGGAGTCCGGTTTTATGTATAGTATTTAAAATAGCCAATTTTTTAATTTGTTATTTCGAATCGTAAATTACCAATTAACCCCTGATAAATGTTAAATGAACTCCACCACTGGGGTGGTAGCCTAGCTATCTTCACGTTGATGACGTTATATTTGTTTTGACAAATTATAGGTTATAATGTCATCAGCGACAGTAAGCCAAATTTTTTAAATTATTACAACATATAGCCATTTATCACTTTCAGGTACCATTGCTAGACGATACGATACCCTTCGGCGATGAAGAGCTCCATAGCAGTGCTTCAGGAAAACTAACGTAAGCCCAACCGACCGTCTCCTATTCCCGCAACAATTACTTCTCATTGCAGCCATCCCTACGTTACATTTTTCCATTTATTCTTTCGACTGTCTTCGGTAGTGGTGTATATATTATGCGGGTGGTTCAGCGAAAGTTTCATCACCAGCTTCGTAGTACTAATTTTATTATTATCTATGGACTTCTGGACGGTGAAAAACATCACGGGACGGTTAATGGTCGGGTTGAGATGGTGGAATTATGTGGACGACGAGGGGAAGTCGCACTGGGTGTACGAAGCGAGAAAGGTTTACTTTTGCTTTTTATTTTGATCTTGTCTTTTTTTTTCGTTATCGTTACTCATATTTCATTGGGCCCTTTTCTAGGGTCCGTCACAGAACCGGGTGAACGAGCGCGAATCTAGAATATTTTGGATCGCCTTAATACTGATACCGCTGCTGTGGTGCGTCTTCTTTCTCATTGCACTGTTTCGGCTAAACCTCAAGTGGTTGGTACGTATGCGTTTTAACGTCGGACTGAGCTAATTGCTGGCTTTTAGTTGCTGGTTACAATTGCGCTAATTTTGAACGGTGCAAATTTGCACGGGTATATCAAGTGTAAGGTGGGAGGTTCTGAAAGTCTGAGTACCGTTACTTCGAATTTCTTCCGTCAGCAAGTCTTACAAAATGCAATAGCGATGGTGACGAGGCAAGCAACAGTACCAACTACAAATCCGATGGGATCTACAGTGAATACAATTTAATGAAATTGATTTTTTTTAACTTCCTCTTGCTTGTGATCTTAATTTAATTCGTTTAAGTTAACATTAAGTTTATATTTTTATGTTCAAAATATATAGTGTCTTTTGTTATTTGTGTCCCTGTCCGTCTGTCCATCATTTCCCAATTTAAATATACGAGTTGGTTGTACCAGAACTTTCAAAAAGCATATAAATTTATTTTGAAAAATAAGAATGCAATGAGATTCTTCTAAAAAAAATGCTCTAGGTGAGGCTCGAACTCACAACCCCGGCATTGCTCACGACTACTGTCTTATAAGTACCGTGCGCTAACCAATTGCGCCACTAGAGCGATACGTTTTAACACGATAGTGTAACATTTCACCCAATAATATATTTATCTTAATTTTTGTATTATTATATTTAAATTTATTTATAATTGTCACATGAATAATTAATAACTATTGGAAAAACTGATAATCGATTAATAATAATAAATTTTATCTGCAAATCGCAATACCTACCATTGCATACACGGTATTTAGCACAATATGCTTCATATAATGTTACAGGAGGAAAGAAAAGTGAAAGTGAGCGTTAATTCTTATTTTTGTAGGCAAAATCCAAAAGTAGGGAATTCGATTGTATGGGGGAGACAGCGTGTAAACCTTTTGCGACAAAGGCCCATTAGGTACACCTTCAGCTCAACTGAACTTCATCTATCAAATTCAGGTCAAAATTGCAAACGCTGCTTCGATTGGTCATAGCCAAGGCTTTATTTTGTAGTTATTTGTACCCCAGGGTCAAAGGAGCGAGCCCTCAAGGCTTCATACAAATCGCTCACGAAGGCTCGCCCTTAGACTATTCACCCTCTCCAGAAAACTGGTTACATACTATAATAGATATACCTACTGTGTGTCCCAGAGGGAAAACACACCATTATAGGTATGTATTTTTTCACAAAGGATCCACGATGCCTTTGATTTGTACCTTTGAAGTTAATGTTCGACGTACGTTATTGCGCTTGTTTGATGCTAGAAAGAGATTGGAGCAATACGTTGAACTCTAATTTTAAAGGTCTAGTGGATCCTTCGCGAAAAAACCACCCTACCGGTCAAGTTTAGCGGTCGCCCCCACCGCGCCATCAGAATCTTTTAGGCGCCATCAGGGATGAACGTAATCGTGGTGCGCACGCAGAATGTAAACAATAAATTATTGTAATTTTTCGATTAGAAATGGTCGTTTTTGTTTCTTTCATTCATCACAACTTCCAAGCACAGTGATAAAATAAATAACAAATAAATAATATACGGAGGCTTTTGCAGAAAATATTCGCAAAACAAATCAATCGATTCTTGATTATTTTCAAGTGACAGGATAACGTAATATTGAAGCACCCTATACATAAGTTGTGGCTACTACAGCCTGCATGAGACGTCCCGCGCCCGCCCATTTTTTAATTTTGTTTGGTTATAAGTTTTGTTGTTTTTAGTTATGATCCTTCTAATAAACTATATGTATTTTCTTTTTAATATTTTGCATCAAAAGGAAAGGTTCTAATTGGCCCCTTTGCAAATCCAACGATGGTTAAAACGCAAGAGCAAAGTATAACCCGTCCACTTCGACTACCCAGTTTCATACAAAAAATGTTGCAGAACTGATCAGACGTAAACACAAAGCGCTAGAGAATGGACATCAAACGACCCTAGCGTCGATATGCATAGATTTGGGAGAGTTTTACGATCAGGAAGAGAGATACGAGGATGCCATCGCCGAATTTCAAATTGTCGCCGACATTTACAAGGAGATGGGGAAGCTGTTGGACTACGGACGTGTGTGTAGAGGAATCGGCGAGGCGTACATCAACTTACAGGACTACGAGAAGGCTTTGGAGTACCAACAGACCTATTTGGGTATATCATGTAGACTGTAGATTTTATTTCGCGTAATCTTCAGAGCAGTAATGAAATTGTGATCTGCCACATTAAGACCACAAGTTAAATGTTTATAAAATTAAAAGTATAGATGAGTGTTTTGTAATTCTAGTTAGTTCACTATAATCCAAAGACATCGAATTAAGCAGTAGAATTATTACCGTAGTGAAGGTAGCAGCCGAATTAATATGTGGCAACAGTGTGTAGTCACTGCAAACAGGCCACTCCCCTGAAAACCATGCCCTATTTTGAATAGAAACTATTAAATCGGCTGCTACTTTTTGGCTGCTAGCTTCACTACATCCCTAAAGTGTAGAAATTCAATTAAATCGGCTGTCAGATTCACTATATTCCTATATATATATATATAGTACCTACAAATTCCTAAAGGTCCCTAAAGGTACAGGAGCGACTTATTATACGAAAACACCTATTCGAAATTGCTCTCAAAACGGCCTTAAACGAGAGTGTTCCGCGATGCAATTGATACACAATTTTGATAATGTAATGCCCTTTTAGAAAAAACAAAAAAATTGGAATGTCTATGTTGGGAAGGTGATTTCAAATGACCCTAAGGTCGGTAACTGATTATTTGACGAGAACGTTGCGTTCTCAAGAGGAACTAACAAATCATAGTGCCCGATAAAAAATTCGATAATTCGACGATAATGATTTAATAGCATTATAGCAAATCGCTACCGCTATAACGCCCACCTATACGCACAAATAATTACTATTGTACTCTATTCCACACCACCATTGAGGTTGAGTATTAGGCGCGTTTTTTTAAAGTGGTATCCCCAGTAGGCCTAATCCACTATACAAATTTGTTCTAAACAGTGAAGATATTTACCCTAAAAATGCGGACCCTCTCAATGGGCATGGGCAACAGCCCTCGCATTTGTCCTACAATTTCGAATAGGTGTTTTCGTATAATAAGTCGCTCCTGTACCTTTAGCGCCATTTTGGTATGAATTTGTAGGTACTATATATATATATATATATATAGGAATATAGTGAATTTGACAGCCGATTTAATTGAATTTCTACACTTTAGGGATGTAGTAAAGCTAGCAGCCAAAAAGTAGCAGCCGATTTAATAGTTTCTATTCAAAATAGGGCGTGGTTTTCAGGGGAGTGGCCTGTTTGCAGTGTCTACACACTGTTGCCACATATTAATTCGGCTGCTACCTTCACTACGGTGAATGATTGTATTTAAAAAGATCAATCTTAAAATCACCAATACAGATAATTTTATTTGAAAGGTTGATTTAATTTTAATCCAAATTTTCAGAAATCGCCAAGGAGCAAGGTAATAAATTGGAAGAGCAACGTGCACTCGCCACCATTGGCCACATACACCTAACGCGGTATTTGAACGAAGTCGACAATCCCAACCAACACACTCTACATTCGGCGTCGAAAGCGTTTAAGAAAAGCTTGACCATCTGCGAAAGGTGAAATTTCAGTCGTACTTTGCCCTTTTTGAACGCGTGTTTAGCTTGACAGACGTGAAAAAGCACGAGCACAAGGACATGATCACGCGACTTCTCGCCAATTTGGGCGTGGTATACGAGTGCGAGGGGAAGTACGAGAAGGCGGAGGAGTTGCTGAGAAAATCCATCGATATTTGCAAGACTCACGATTTGTTCGAGCAGTTGCAGCGCGGTTACACGTGCCTGGGTACGTTGTACGTGCGCAAGAAGCAGTACGATGAGGCGATTCGACAGTATAATTTGGCAATGGAGGTTGCAGGTAGCTTTACGGCTTAGGGACAGGATTTCTATGCAATTTTTTTTTGGGCCAAAATGTGCATATTTGAAAGTGCATACAAACGCATATTTTGAAGAATCTTTCAGAAAATTTTTAGTTTTTAAAGCATTTCATGTCAATACAGAGGCGGATTTAACACAGTTGTGGCCTAAATTATTATTATCTAAATTATTATTATTAAAGTGCAGTTTTGTAGTGAGGCCCTAAGTAAATAGGGTGTCTATCTCACCCCCTCTTTCTAAGCTTTATTAAGGTGCTTTCACAGTTTTCTATGCCCTATCAAATCTTCCTAGGTTTTTTTAGAACTTTCTAGGCTCTTTCAGACCTAGAAAGTTGTAGTATAATTTGCATGGTAAATTAGGGCGTATTCTGTAGTGCATAGGAATCCAGTCTCTAATTGTGGTCACTATTACACTGCAGTAATTGCAAAGTTTGTAGGAAGACTGAAAAATAAAGCTCAATTAGTCAGCGCTGCATTACAATCCAAGGCAGATATTCTAATAAAAATGGCGGATTTTTACGGCGCACGAACTCAGCTGCTTAAGGCCTACAAACTGGAACAATCGAATGCAGATGATAGGCGCGTGATCGAGCAAAATCTGAAGATTGGTAGGTTTTCCGTGGGTAATTTCACGCACATATAATTGCTCTGTCATAGTTGCGGCGATGTGCAAGGTTGAAGAGTCGCTCCTAACAACCGACAATCGCGATTACGTCACAAAGAAGAATCTCTACGAAAAGCTAGGCGATGGAGCTTCGCATTTAAAAAACTTTTCGTACGCCATAGACTGCTATCAGAAAATGTTGGAGGCGGCGACGAATAATAAAGACACGGGCTCACAGCTTAGCCCGTGCTACATCAGCCTGGCCGAGACATATCGGGACGACAAGCAGTACGAGAACGCGGTCAAGTACTTTCGAGAGGACTACAACAACAGTGACGTTCCGCGGGAGCAAGTCGCGACATTGCTTAGTATCGCCGACTGTATGGACGCGGGAGAATACGATTCAAACGAAATTGTCGGCGTTTACGATGAGGCGCACGGCATGTGCAGAGTAATCGGCGACGGGCGCCTAAGTTTTAAAGTGTTAGCGAGTTACGCGGCGTTCCTAAAGAGGCATCGCATGCACGAAAATGCTGTTAAAATTGAACAACATCTCAACGCGATTAATGGGGCGGATGTCGATACTGATTCCGAAGCCGCAGATGCGGTGTTAACACCCAACTTAGGTGACGACATATCAATTAAAGATATCACGGGTAAGTCGTGGACTAATGGTAGTGAGAAAGAGAAAAAATAAGGTTTCTAATGACATATCACTTGCCTATGTTGCCATTTAAAAAAATTCAAGATGGCGGTCGCACTCAAAAACCATGTGTCAAAAATTTTTTAACCTCAAAATATGTGTATATTTCAAACAGTTTGACGGTGAGAGCTTTGGTATTACTCGGATTATTACAATGAACAATTGAACAATGGGTCAGGTAGGAGCAGGTACCTAAATTCTGAGAAAGGGTTAAGAGTACAGGATGTGACTCATCTTTGGTGTAATAAAGTCGTTTTGTTAAAAGCAAGATGGAAAATTACATGGCCTATCCGTAAAAACATGTGGAAATTACGAATCGCACATAGATTTTATACTGAAAAGCTTTGATTAGCGTAATCCCGCTCCTGCAAGATAGGTAACCCGCCTCTGGTTTCCGGGTTTCGAGCTTACAGTTGAATGTCAAAGACAATCGCGGAATTAGGTGTCATAGCTCAATTTTGACTACCGTCTTTACCACCCCAGTGACTGCTTTATTCACGGAGAAAATGGTTAGTAACAAACAACAAGTCAGTATATACAGGGTGTCCCATTAATAATGGTCACAGGCCATATCTATGGAACCGTTAATTGCACAGCTTCGGGGAAAAAATTTTGTTAACAAAAGGGACGAAGAGAAATCGCTGGAAATTATTTTCAAGTTTGTAACTTCGCCGCTAGAGGGCGTACGATTCATGGTTAAGTAGACAAATGACTTTTTTCCTAAAATATACCCAACAAACATGCATAAAAAATACATGCATAGTAATCTTGTATCAATTTTGCATCAATTTGATGCAGCGCAAATTGCTCTACCTCATAAAATATGAGGAGTGGGGGAAGGGGAACATCTCTTTAAGGAATTGATTGTAACTTCGGATTAGGTTAACAGATTTTCACATAATAGGTCTTGTTGGAAAGAGCTCTCTTCGTGGAATCAGATTTTACATGAAGAGAGTCTATTTAGTAAACGTGATGAGTGGTAGAGGGCGCGACGTGACATTAACATAAACTTTGCAAGTTTTTTTAAAAATTTCAAATGGAACGATATAATTATTATATTATATTATCAAATAAGATGAAAAAGTGAGAATATCAGCGAAAACCGCATTTTGATATCTGTTTTCTAAGCAGAGATATGGGGAAAATACGAACATTCACAAATTTTAATTGCAACTTTAAATCAGAGAAATATGAATTAAGTAAATAATAAAAGAAATAATAATTATAATTAACGTAAATGTTCAATGTCTGCCATTATTTTCGACACAAAGACGAGTCTCTGCTGTGTAGAGAGAACAGCTGCTTTAACTTCAGCCGTGACTATGAATTACATTTCTAATTCTCGTCACCATATCGTTTCTTGTAGTTGGCCTTGTTAGAAAGACTGTGCGTCTTTTATCCCTTCAAACAAATTTAAGTCTAAGCAAGTTAAGTCGAGTGACCTAGCTGGTCATGAAAAAATACTTCCTCTTTCTATCCATTTGCCAGGATAACTCAAATTCAAACACTCTCGCCTCGACTCTCGCTTACCAAGAAATGTGCCGGGCACCCATCGTGGTGATAGTTCGCACGAATACGTTTAATGAAAGGACTGATAAACTTTCTTTTGTTCTGTTTTCTTTTGTTTCAAAGCCAACTTGAATGAGCATCAATATTGCAATTAAAATTTGTGAATGTATTCGTACTTTCGCCAGATCTATGGTTAGAAAACAGATATCAAAATCCGGTTTTCACTGATATTCTCACTATTTCACCGTATTTGATAATATCATTCCATTTGAAATTACCAAAAAAACCTGCAAAGTTTATGTTAATGTCACATCGCGCCCTCTACCACTCATCACATTTACTAAAAAGACTCTATTTAATAAAATCTGATTCCGCGAAGAGAGCTCCTTCCAACAAGACCTATTTTGTGAAAATCTGTTAACCTAATCCGAAGTTACAATCAATTCGTTAAAGAGATGTTCCCCTTCCCCCACTCCTCATATTTTATTTGCTAGAGCAATTTGTGCTCCATCAAAATGATGCAAAATTGATACAAGATTACTATGCATGTATTTTTTATGGGTATATTTTAGGAAAAAAGTCATTTGTCTACTTAACCATGAATCGTACGCCCTCTAGCGGCGAAGTTACAAACTTGAAAATAATTTCCAGCGATTTCTCTTGGCCTCTTTTGTTAACAAATTTTTTTTCCCGAAGCTGTGCAATTAACGGTTCCATAGATATAGCCTGTGACCATTATTAATGGGGCATCAAACGAATCGGTGATTTCCACATATTAAAATAAAATGATCAAAACTTATATGAATGTTACTTCAGGGACAAGTAATCAACATCAATAAACATAAATTAAGCAAGCATTACACCAAAAACGTAAACAATTACAAACAATAGCATAACGGTATCTCATATGTGATTCTGCATTGCGGTTAAACCAAGTAAATTTACCGTGGCTAGCACAGATATCACCAGCGCATGCGCGATTCTGCCCAAACGCTTTTCAGTTGTTTCTAAGAATATGTGTAGCAAATTTGGTTCAGCATAAATTCACTTTTCAGACATATCTGATGATAGCGACACAGAAAACCGCACCACCCGAAGGCGAACAAAAGGTTATGTGGTTAAACGTAACAATAAGGGCGAAACTCAACTGCACACCGCTTGCATCCACGGCAATTTTGAGCTGGTAAAGAGACTGATAACCCAACGCCATCCCGTGAATATCCGAGACAACTGCGGCTGGCTACCCATTCACGAGGCCTGCATTTGCGGCCAGCTGGAAATTGTGCGGTTGTTAATTGACAACGGCGCCTCGATCAACGATCGGGGAGGTACTCTCTGTGAAGGTGAGCACGATTCCCCGAGCTATTGAGGGGAGCTAATGAGGCAATTGTTCAGGAACATCGCCGCTTCACGACGCCGCACTCAACGGACATCTCGAAGTGGTCCAGTTGCTACTGGACAGTGGCGCGTCGTCCATTGCGAAGAACGACAGCGGACAAATTCCTTTACAGGTCCTGAAAGCGTGGCGAGCCGGTCGCCAATTGGACGATACCCAAGAGGCCTTATACAACGGTCTGGTGAGACGGCTTTCGGGCGAGGCCGGAAAGCTGGGGCTGCCGGAGGAGTCTGTCGATTTGAGCGAAAGCTCCGCGTTTGTCGCGAACTGTAGCGACGAAGAGGAAGGGGTCGTTCCCGCGCAACGAAAGCTGAGAGATCGGCGTTGTTCACAGGTTGGCAATTTGCGCAGAAACGTGGGCTGTGACGAGGATTTGGATCGAGCGAGAAAAAAGCGGCACTCGACGGAGAGCTCGACATCCGCCAAGGATGAGTATAGAAAGGTTATGGAACAAATGAGGCATCCTACCAGAGAGAAGTCTGGGGATAGGAAACGAAAGTCGACTGAGAATATCAAACAGTCGGTGTACGTGGAGGGCGATGATGATAATTGGTTGGAAAATGATGTGGCATCCACGAGTAAAAAGCGTAAAACTACGAGCGCCACCTTTCGTCGACACAGCAGCGCCAGCGCCACGAACTTATAAATTAAGATGGACTGCTATTGCTGAATTGACAAATGACACCTACATGGGGGCAGCCATGATGTGCACTCACTTGGCGCGAAATTCAAATCAACTAATAACCCAACATTAACCTCACGTTTTCTAAATAAATTACTGTGACACATGTCATTTTCCAAGGCTACCGGTACCCGCATCCGAAATTCACACACGAACAATCAAATGGTTGGCGGATGAGGCCTCTTTAAGATTTAGCAGGTGAGTACCGTGAGCGCTGTGACGAGAGATATGGGTACAGGTAGGTGTTTCACTCACGTTGCGTTTATGCGTTTTACAAAACAAAGATAACATAAAATCCTACTTTATTAGAGTATTGTAGTAGAGCTTGGACCCTCGTCTTGTAATAATGACACTAAAAAATAAGCTTAGGTTCCTGAAAGTTATTTGCCTACAGGCTCAGATGTTCACAATCAACTAATAACCCAACATTAACCTCACGTTTTCTAAATAAATTACTGTGACACATGTCATTTTCCAAGGCTGCAATAGTTTCAAAACTTGAGCACTAGGAAAATTCCCCTATAGAAAATAACTAGAATGTGCACATCATGCCGGCGCCCATGCTAGGGCCATTTCTACCTCTATGCAACTGTTTGATCAGCAGTCCATCTTAATTTATAAGTTCGTGGTTTGCGCGCACGTCTCCATATATTATGACGTTTCGCGGCACTTTGGAGTCTGGGTAGCAGTCACTGTTTTAAAACTGGCGGTTCTTTTGATACACAAATGAGAAAGGAAATTGAATAAGCTCATAATTTTGTGTTTAAGAAGGACGAGAAATATATTACAACCAGGCGATGTCAGGGAAACCTTCTTTTGGACAAAAACCCTGACATAGCCGTCACAAATACACGAAGTAAAACAAAGATAACATAAAATCCTACTTTATTAGAGTATTGTAGTAGAGCTTGGACCCTCGTCTTGTAATAATGACACTAAAAAATAAGCTTAGGTTCCTGAAAGTTATTTGCCTACAGGCTCAGATGTTCACATTACTGTATAAATTGTTAACATGAGGGAGCTACAGACTGTTCTAAATACAACCTTCTAAACATTGCAGGAAAGAATGCATGAAACCCGACCTAGAATTAGAAACAAAAAATGGAGCAGTGCTCGCCGACGATGACTTTATAAGCGTCTTATTCTCCGCCGGCTTGTCACACGCCGAAGAAGTCGAAGCACGCATTACCAAGTGGAACTTACTGCCCCTTTCGGAGAGATACGCCGAAGCCTGCGCCGTCGAGACCATCGGTATGCGTCGTATTATTCGCACACCGGTCACGCAGTTTAATTTTAGCCCCCTCGGACGAGCTGATGAAGATCTTGGAAACCGTGTCGATATCACTGAGTTTGGCCAACTTAAACTTGGGCGACCGAAAGATCAGTCCCTTGTGCAGGGTGATTAATCGACAGCTAAACTTGCACTCGCTAAATTTATCGGGCAACTTCATACACGACGACTGCTTTCAAGTGCTGTGCACGTCGTTGCCCACCCTTGAAAACTTATGCGACCTGAATTTAAGCCTGAACCAGCTGACGTGCGTCAGCCTGCGATATCTCACCGAGGTGTTCACGCAAACGCCCACCCCAGTTTTGGCGAATCTCACCAAGCTCGACCTGAGCCACAATCCGCTCGGAAACGAAAGCCTCAACTTTCTGAGCGTAATCACTCGACACTTGAAGCTTAAAACGTTAAACCTGGCGGACGTCGACTTTACCGGCGGGTTATTCGCGAGCGAGCAGCAAGCCGATTTAAACTTGGACTCGGTGTCCAATTTCGATGTCGGCTACAACCGATTGGGAAATGACGAAATCGCGACGTTTCTCTCCTGGCTCAAACCGCAAAACATCGAATCGTTAAACTTAGGGGATTGTTCCGAAATCGGTGAGGGTTTGGTCAAGTCGGTCGTCGAATGGATGCAAACGCGCGGTAACACCGGGCTACCGTTGAAGGTGTTAAATCTGTCGAGGACTTGTGCAACCGACAACGAAATTTTTGAGCTGTTAAGGTTAAGAACCTTTTTTTTGAAAATTCACCGACTTATTCTTTCAGGTACTTGACTATCGCGAGTCAACTCTTCTCGATTAATTTGAGTTACAACGCGAGTTTAACTACTCCATCCCTGAGGCGCGTGTTGGAAAGCTGTCCGACAGTGACACACTTGAATTTGACAGGATGTGATAATATAGTTAAAAATTTGGAATGCTGCACGGAAGAATTTTGGAATGGTGTTCGTCTAAGAGAACTAAAGCTCTCGGGGGATTTTGAGAAATATGCCAGAGCGAAAGAGACTGTTGTGAATATGTGGAAAAGTATTCATAATGGCGGCGCGCGAGTGCTGCAATTACGAAACTTTCTCCATTTTTCACTTGTGAAATAGTAAATATTTTTTTATTTCTGTATTATAAATAATAAAGTTTGTCTATTTTGCCTTCTCCTTGTTACACGACTCAAGATCTGAACTAGCCTGGAAGAGAAAAATTCGAAAAGCTCTGAAAACTTTAAAGATGATGATGGGTCTCAAAACTGGGTCACTTGTGTGACTTTTTCTCAATAACCAATAAAGCACAATTGAGCGCCCATCAAAGTGCGCCAACGAAATAAAGTCGCGCGAACAAATGACGATCGTCTAAAGGTCCTATCTATTGCATACACTGAGCTTGTCCGAAGCATTTTTGTATGTTTGCTTTTCAAAAAAATGTTGGAAGAAAATCAAACCTACAAATAGCCTAATGATGACAGTTGGCTCCACTGAATTTGTAAAAAAAAATTTTTTCGTACCCAAGCCACTAGGCCATTGTGACACATTAAATTGTGAGTTCGCTAAAGAGTCAAATATGGCGCTTTCTTGCGCATGAGCAGTGTATGAAACGGACAGGACCATATACAGTTATACATACATATTTAGTAGGAAAGTAGACATAGGGATTTATACCGGGTGAATACTTTCAAACCCAACATAGGGAATTAACATGGGAAAACAGTTTTTCGCAGATTGTTGCTCCCCAAATTAACTTGGAGCGTTCATAATTCCACCATTGGAAAGAAGATTTTTTTCCGCGTTTTATGATATGCAAATTATTAACGTCTAGTTGCACGTTTAATTATTATTTGTGTACTTGGTTTAAAAAATCAGGGTAGTCATGAAAACAAGGTACGATAACTGTCAATAATTTTAATGACGTCACTTAAAAAAATTAAGAGCGTTGAATGTAAATTTATACAGAGTGTTACATATTAAGTATGTAAAATTTTGCAAAATCGTAAAGGGCATCCGAAAATCAGCAGTATTTCAAACTCATATGGTTGCTGAGAAAAAAAAGAAACGTAAATTTCACCACTTTTTGGGGGTAGCTCCCAAACAAAACACGTTGGACCCTCGGTTTATTTGGAAAAAATGCTTGTTTTTATCCCCAATTTGGTTTTTGGTCACTTATTGCATACTTCTATGTAACACCCCCTGTATTTTATTAGCACGTAATTACTAATGGGGATGTTTTAATTCATAATATACATATACGAATCTCTGTAAACCAATTGTGTTTTTGGCGTGTAACCATAAACGTAAAAGTCGAAAATAGGTAATAAGGGTACACAACTCAATCTAGATTTTGCGATAGTACTATAGGTACGTTATTTGGGCTTACCCCGACACCGCTTTTGAACAAATTCCCTCCTAGGGGTGGAATTCCATGCCAACCCGGCCGCACTTCCATCCCGTTTAGAATCGCACAACCAACTAATATCAAAATAAATTTAAATATGAAAAGAAATTACTTTCTTATCAGCCTTGCAGGTTGAATCACTGTATTCAACAAATCAATGACTAATGGTATCCAACGTGGAAATAGCGCATGATGTATCTTGGACACTCTCCCAACTGAAAAACAGTTCGACGAAATTTATTTGTTATAGTTAATTATTGTTTGCTTTGTTACACAATCTTAAACATTTCGTTTAAATAAAGTTTTATATTATAAAAAAAAGAATTATTTTGAAAAAAATGCGAAACTCAAGTACAAGCCGTTTATTATTTCTGATTTTCCTTTTTAATTTCATGGTAAACTAATCCTACTACACATTTCTAATTAACACATTTTTTAATGGAGATTTCGAATATGACATCCCTTTAAGGTGATGGAGAAAACGTGGCAATTTTAGTTTTTCTTATGGGTGCCATTTTGAGATTACGTGTTTTTTTCTCTTTACAACGATATATCACACAATGGAGGTTCACATTATTGCTAAAAATACAATTTTTAGTTTTTTGGGAAGAGTGCTTTGGAAAAACAAAACGTTCATTTATTGTGAACAAAGGTTTGACATTTTGATCCATTTGTCTGGTTGCAGTGCTGACGGGAACTAGTTGTGTTGAGAAAATTCGACTTTCATCTGAACAGAATTGAACCATCGTTTTGCAAGACAATTCTAATTAAAATTAGAACAAAATACATAAGAATAAATAATATTTTAGCAATAAAACTAGCACAAACGTAAATGACACTGCTTGAAATAAGTCAACATTTTGTTCACAACAAAAAGAACGTTTCGATTTTGCATAGCACTCTTCGCAGAAAATGAAAATTGTATTTTTAGAAAAAATGTGATACTCAACCACCATGTGTGATATATCGTTGTAAAGAGAAAAAAAGACCTAATCTCAAAATGTCAAAATCCAAAACGGTGCCCATTAAAAAATTAAAGTTGCCACGTGTGCTTCTCTGTCATCTAAAAAGTTATTAAAAACGGGATTCGAAATCTCCATTAAAAAGTATGGAACGCCGTTTTAGTATTTATATACCAACATTTTATCATGTATCATTTTAAATAACAGTCAATCTTATGTCTCTAAATTTTTCGTTTGTTGTTTTTATCTTACGTATTAAGAGATTGATTAAAAAAATGTTGATTAATAAAGATGATACATGAATTAAAATGTTGATAATTTTAATTAGGCGCTAGTATACACGTAGTCAAATAGACTAAACTGTAGTTCCTGAAACTTCCGCACAATCAGAGATGCGAATTAAAATTATCAACAATCATTTTAATTAATGTAACATTTTAATTCAACAATCACTTTAAATAATTCTTGCCGATTTTAACAGCATGAATTCATATGATTGTTGAATTAAAATGTTCTCTGAAAATATTTGTACAATTTTATTCCAAAATTTTACAATGTGCCATTTTAAATAACAGTCAATCGTATGCCTCTACTTTTTACGTTTGTTGTTATTGTCTTACCTATTAAATATGATTGTTTAAAAAATGTTACTTAATAAAATGTGAAATGAATTATATTGTTATATTGAATGAGTGTATATAAACTGTATTTCAACAAACAATTAATAACAAACAATTAAATTGAATTGCAAGAAATACTTCGATTAATAAAACGATTTTGTCCAACAAACATAAAAATTCATTCATTTTAAATGTGGAATTAAAATTTTGAACAAACATTTTAATTCATCAGTCATATAAATTCGACGATTTGAAAATTGAAGCCGAATATTTTCAACAATGACTTTAATTCAACAAACAAATAAATTTTTATTGTTAGACGTAGTAAAAGAATCTTTTAAAATGATTGTTGAATTAATATGATTGTTGAATTAAAATGTTACATGAATTAAAATGTTTGTTGATAATTTTAATTAGGCGCTAGTATACACGTACCCAAATACACTAAAGGATAGTTCCTGAAACTTCCGCACAATCACAGATACGAATTAAAATTATCAACAAACATTTTAATTCATGAAACATTTTAATTCAACAATCATTTTAAATAATGCTTTCCGATTTTAACAGCACGAATTAATATGATTGTTGAATTAAAATGATTGTTGGGAATATTTGTACAACACTTCAATAATTGAATTAATATGATTGTTGAATTAAAATGTTTGTTCATAATTTTAATCCCACATTTAATATGAATAAATTTTTATGTTTATTGAATTAGTTCTAGTTAGTTATATTACTGTTCGTTTATGTATTCGTTTGTTGATTTGTATTGTTAAACTTTCGTTATACATATTGCTATATAATTCATACATCATTTCAATTAAGTGAAGTTTTTTAAACAAACATATTTAATGTTTCACATAAAAACAACAAACATAATAAATCGGGAAATAAAATTAAAAGTTGTTTATAATGTTACATTGTAAACTTTCGTAATAAAAAGTAAAACGGCGTTCCATAAAAAAGTCTCTGAATAATGTGTTATTTAGAAATGTCTAGTACCATTAGTTTACTATGGAAAAATTCAAAACGAAAATCAGTAAATTTGATATTTTCAGAACTATTCCGAAAATGTGCAACTTTGCCCTAATTTAACTAAATTTCTATCTCTTAAGATAAGCGAGATCCCCATAGTGGCCTCGAAAAATGGACACCGTGTATATTCCAATTAATTAATATGACAGCAAAACGTTCATTTGTTTTAAGAAGCTATTTTGGTTGTATAAAATTAGGCGCCCTTCAGAAAAATTTTGTCATTGCTAATATAATACATATAGTTTTTGTTTGTATAGATGCAATTCATTTTTTCTTTAAAGTTTTGTTAATATAACGGAGACCACAGCAACTTTAATTTCTTAATTTCAATGTGCAGACAAGCGTTTGCTTACGCATCTTGGGCATGATGTATTTCACTCATATGTAAATATTTATGTACTTATATTTTCAATATATATTTCAATTTAAAAACAACACATGTAAATCTCTATACCGGGTGGTGCACGATAAGTAGGAACATAGGGATTTAACATGGGAAATTAGTTTTATGCAATATTCTGCCCTCCTGTACATTTTACAGAAAAAACTGTAGAGTTTAAAGTTGTTCAGAACTAAAAGGTGCATACAAAACTGTTTTTACATGTTTTATTAAGCTTTTGGTATACCCGCAAATTTAAAAATAAATTTCAACATTTCTGTTATTAGTAGCAATAGTCATGACTTTCGTTGTTTTATGAATTTGCCAATATACCTAGGTAGTAAACGAAAAGCATCTAGAGAAACGTCATATTTGCTTTCATCTCTTATCGCCTAAAGGGCCAAGAATAAAATCTTGCCTTCTAAATTACGTTCAAAGTTGTAGAATTTGTAACTTTTACTTGAAAATGAATCAAAAATAGTAAGAGGGTTGAAAAGTGTATGAGGAAAACAATAGTTGAAAACTACACACATGCTAGTGTTACAAGTCTATAGTGCCAATGCCGAAAGAAGGAAATTGCAATTTGAATTCAACACTGCTGGATGTATCACCCCACATGTAAAAAATTATAGAAGAAACAAAGAGAACTCCGTTTGTTAAATGCATGTTAGGTGCCATATATTAAAAATGTGCTGCCATAAAAAGTAGGCTTCCAACACCCGGTGGATCAATAACGATTTTTGTAATAGTTATTTATTATACAAGAAAATATAAGGATATTTTAACCATTAAGTGAGATGGTTAGTTTCCTTTTATAGTCATACCAAAACTGTATTTAATAGCAGAAATCATTGCAAACCTTCCGACAGTTCTGAATTTTAATTTAGACGTCAAAAATAGCAAGCTTAGGTTCTGCGATCGCGATCGTTTCCATAGGAACAGCATTGTCATATGCTCTGAACTTCATTTTATATCGTGGTCCGCGTCCCATTTGACCATCTGCTGTAAAACAAAACAATTTAGTGTAATTTTTGAATTGGCACACCTGCTTTACATAAATAGAAAATTATTAGATTTGCTATTGAAGTGTTATCCTGATTTTCTACTTAAGTCAATTGATGTGAACACCGCAAAAAGGTTGGCCCTTTTTATAATGGGCAAATATAATTAAATAAAACTTTCGTAACATTTAATGAAATTGCGAATGTTTACATCATAGTAATAGGTACAAAATGTAAAATTATACAGAGTAAGATGACACTTATATAAAAACTACATCAAAAAGTACATAGAATGCTTCATAAGGACACAAAACGGTTTTTTTTTGTCAATTATTTACATACAACATGTAGAATTTCAACAATATTAGTACATTATTTTCTTAATAAAAATAGTAATTATTTAAACGAGAGCGAAATACAATTACCTACCTATCTAATTATTTCCAATACATTACGCTTAAAATTATTTATTTATGACACGTAAATGATATATCTAAGACGAGCACCGATATTATCACAAATAACATTATTGATAAAACATTTATTTCTTTACTTAGAAGTAGTTATTTAGTTCCGAACTGAAGGGGAATATTGCTTAAAATACGTTAATTAGATTAACGGAATTCGTATGATATCTGGCTTTGGGTGAAAGACGAAACAGAGGCGGCTCCACAAACTGCGACATTAAGTACAAGTATTTAGAATTTAATTATTCTGTTATGAGCAGTCGACTAAAGTGTCGGGAATTAAAACGAAGACGCCCAGCTGATAACAAAATAACTCCACTCTAAGACTACCTTTGATGTATGGTATGGGGTAAGCAATTAGGGAAATCGCACTACACTTTATTCATTTTAAGAAGGTAGCGGAAGAAAGCATAGGGAAGTTTTGACCTATACTGTGAAGATTGGTTAAAACACAAGTCAGTATTAAGCTGAAAAATAAAAATTTTGTAGGGTGGTTGGTTGTTTCTGTTGCCAACTAAACGGTCAAACTGCCATTAGCTGTTAATGCCATTTTATATTTTTCCTGTGTGCGCTTATCTTCAAAGACAGCGCCATCTACTATCTTGTTGTGTAATGAATGCAGTATAGTTTTACCATATAAAATAATTACTGCTACCGTAAAAACATGGACTTTAAATTTATACAGGTGGATCAGTCAACTAAAGTCCCTAGGTATACAAAGTGTCGCAATCTGCCTGTTCACTCGAAATCAGCTGCCAATTTTGAAAAAATTCCAAACGCACCTTCGTGTGGTCGATTTACAAACTAGTTTTAGTATCAGGCTCATTTCGATTTCGGTCACTAGGCGCCGCCACTGTGTATAAAAAAAATAAATAAAAATCGCCAACCTTTAAAGATTGTTTAGAGAGCTCTTAGGATCGGGAGCAAAACTGCTCCAGTTAGTCTTACCGCATTCGTCGAAACTCCTCGTACACACCGTACTCCGATCACTCGCGCAACTACTCCCTATACTAAAAAATTTATTAACTAACGAGTCGATCCAGTCGCGCAAGTCGGCGCCGAACCGTTTCGAATCGGCGATCGACTTGCTGAGGAGAGTCTCGCGATCGAAACCGTTAGGCAGAAACCGACCCCACTGGACGTCGAATTCCTTTATAATCTCGGAGCCGGAGTGAACGAAGCCGACCTGTTTCTGCGTCACGACGTTTCCCGAAAAGAATTCGAGCGGCGCAATTAGAAACTTCATTTCGGCCAGTACCTGCTTGTGAATTAGCTTGACCGTCCACGCGCCGGGGAGGAGCGGCTGTTTGAGCGCCGGCTTGATGTGCCCGAGGGCGTAGTTGTCGTCGATCGAAACGTCGTGCACGTCTGCCAGTCGTCCGACCGGATCGATCCACAAGAACGTGATATTGGTGGATTTGGCGGCGAGTTCGGGACTGGAGTTGAATTCGAAGACGAGCGTCGGCTCGGAGTACGGTCCCATGATGTGCGCGAAATTGCGGAACGTTTGCTCCTTGGGATCGTACTCGGTACTCACGGTTAGCGATTTGAGTCTGTGAAGAAACGGCGAGGATTTTAATAGTACGAACGTGGTCTTATATTTAAAATTCGTTTCGACGGTCACTTTTTGAGCCGCACCAGTGTCATTAGCTACATATAGTATGAGAGTCTTCTGGTAGATGTCGTCGGCGTGGAACGACGTCATTTCGAGAATTTTCTCTGGAATTAGCCTACATTTATCGGAAATTAATTTAGAGTTAATGCGAATGATACTTTGAGCCACTGTCAACAGACTATCATCGGGTGATGGAGTTAGATCTAGGTGATGGTAGACGCTCTGCCAGTATGAGTTTATGTTAGGGATGTCTTTGTTAAAATTGACGTTGTACAGCCACTGCTCCAGTTGCAAGACGACCGCCTGATTGATCACCGGTTCAAATTTTCGCGCAAAAAATATCTGGCGCGTTTCAGTGTTCTGTATGCGCAGCCAATCCTCTGGTAGAAAGTCATTCGGGCTGCATCCGCACCAGTCGACTATGTGCTTGTATTGACACTTGCAGCCCAGTCGTCGCTTCCAATTCGTCACGTGCAAATTATTATCAATGTAGCTATTGCAGAATTTGGAGTTCTTCAAAACGGTGTGGAAAAACGATTCGGCCGGCAGCAGTGTGTAGTTGAAGACAATCCGTAAACCCTTAACCAATTCGTCCGGTTCATCACTGGCGGCGTACGTCACGAATTCGCGCGATAACGCGATCCAGTCGCTACCGCCGTCAATTTGTATGCCCCACGGCAATTTTCTATCGCCGATCCGCCACATGTGCGTGTCGCACTCGACGAAGGTCTTATCAAGCCCTTGCTTCTGTATGAACCTTTGAACCTCGCGACCGTGCGATTTGACGAAATTCTTTCCCTTATTCGCCGTGAGGAACTCCACCAGTTTGTCCCCAGTTTTGACCGGGTAATCCGATTCGCTGAGATTAATGACGAAGTCCCACTCCCAACGTGATAATAACAGCTCGTGCATCGATGACAATAACATTTGTAGAAGCGAGGCGCCTCCCCAAATTGTGCAGAAACGCTTGCGCGTCAGACGTATGTTGGGAAATTGTGTTTCCAAGCTGAGAAGTTCGCGAAAGAGATAGTCTTGGCGCTGAAAAACAAAAGAAGTTGTAATATTCAGACGAAGCGCCCTTTTAATTATTACGGAACCGCCACAAGAATTTGTTACAGTTTAAACTGTACACCAAACGTCGCCATGATTGACTGATTGCATCACTAAAAAGTAATGGGCGATGGGGTCGTCACATCCCGACGCCATTATTCTAATTGTGCTGAAAAGTAAAGTCGCAGAACAAAATTAGTTCAAATGTTTCCATGAATTTCAATTGTCAGAGACGAGAGACCAACGCTAAGGACAGATACTTTTGCAAGTCAGACCTTTCTCCGTTTGCACCGACAAATCTCCTGAGCTTAGCTTAAAATCCATGGCAACCAATGTCTCAATAATCGTTTCTATGGATTCCGCTTAAATTTGTCGGTGCAAACGGCCATAAGTTGGATGACAATATGAAGAAGAGGATGAACATAATAAGTAGATAAGCAATACAGACTGTAAGCTACTTTGACCTTGATATCTGCGCATGGGCCCAGTTCAGAGCAATTAACGGTTAACAGAATTGCGTCCGTTTAATAACCAACCTTTTCACAAACAGAACTCAATCGAATGACCTTGAACTTGGCGCATGCGCAGATCTTATCTACTAAAATAGAACAAAGGGAGAACTTGATGACATGACTGTTAAAATATACAGGATGTTTTTTTGGGAGCTTTAGTTAAAAGTTTCTGGGAAAGTGAAATAGGTAGGTTTTTGAAAATTTGTACTTAGGAGTTACTCTGAAGGCCGAATCGATGTAAAATATTTTCAAAATGGCCGCACTTCCGGAAACACCGGAAATAGATAGTAACTTCGTTATTTTAAATGGCAACCCCTATTTTTTATTGCATTTTTGGATTCTACGTGAAATTTCACTTCTTTTGATACCCATATGTCGATATCTACCATTTATGGTTTTTAAGTTATTTTGACTTTAAGAAAAAAAATGGCGGATGCAGATGGTACCTTGATAATTGATTACTTGCAAACGGTTGTAGTCATGGCAACCTATTTTTAACAGTGCATAGAGAATGAATAGGGCTTTCTTTTAGTGCACTTAAAAAAAAGTTAAGTTGCGTACGACCGCCCCTATGGATATCCAAATTTATGAAACTTCAAAGACTAAAAACTCAGTTTTTTTAAATGGAATGACCATGTTCTTACTATTCCATGAGATAGAGAATCGAAATGGGCATATTTTGACAATACATGTTCCTAAAGCTATCTTTAACAGTTTCTGACTTATTCCCATTTTATTGAATTGACACTATTTTTTTAGGATTTTCTTTTTAGTAGTCGGCCATGATTCTATAACAATTGAATTTTAAACAAATCTAGTGACACTAATCCATCACCCACTGTTATAGGTTAACATAAGTTTTTCAAAAATCGAAAAATGACTAGCAGTGGTTTCACCTCGGGTTTCACCTATGTTTGACTTTAATTGTTATTTATGGTGAAATGGACAGAATAGCGGCACATGCTTGCCGTACATTCATTCGAACACTGGAACGAAATTGTATGAATTTTGGAAATGTTGTATCCCTAAAATCGTTGAAGCACAAGTGATACAAAGCTCTACAAGAGAATATTTAAGAAAATGAATTGAATTGCAAATGCAAGATTAACAAAATAAAATCAATGTAAAATATAAAAAACTTCGTTGAAACATTTTTTGTATGGAATTGTTGCTAGAACAGATATCGCATTACCTCTCTGAATTTCCAAACTTGTACGTTGTTTAAGAAATTCAGTTGAACTAGATTTCTCAAAAATTTTCCGTCCTATATCCTTAATAAATGACTTATTTATTAATGAATTATTTAGACTAGAATCAATGATATTAAAGAATCCTTTTCTTGATTTGTTTAAAATTCGATTGTTATAAAATCACGGCCAACTACTAAAATGAAAATGCAAAAAAATGGCATCAATTCAATGAAATGGGAATAAATCAGAAAATGTTAAAGATAGCTATAGGAACATGTAATATCAAAATATTCCAATTTCGATTCTCTATCTCATGCAATAGGAAGAACATGGTCATTCCATTTAAAAAAACTGAGTTTTTGGACTTTCTTAAATTTGGATTTCCATAGGTGCGGTTGTACGTAACTTAATTATTTTTTAAGTACACTAAAAGAAAGCCCTATTCATTCTCTATGCACTGATAAAAATGGGTTGCCATGATTATAACCGTTTTCAAGTAATCAATTATCAAGGTACCATCTGCATCCGCCATTTTTTTTCATAAAGTCAAAATAACTTAAAAACCATAAATGGCAGATATGGATATGTGGGTATCAAAAGAACTGAAATTTTATGTAGCATCCAAAAATGCAATAAAAAATAGGGGTTGCCATTTAATATAACGAAGTTACTATCTACTTCCGGTGTTTCCGGAAGTGTGGCCATTTTGAAATATTTTACATCGATTCGGTCTTCAGAATAACTCCTAACTACAAACTTTCAAAAACCTACCTATTTTACTTTCCCAGAAACGTTTAACTAAAGCTCCCAAAAAAACACCCTGTATATATAAGGTGAATAGTGTGCTGAAAAAAAAAAAGAAGAGTGAAAATCGCGCGTGGGTGTACGTGATGATGTAAAAATTAGAGAGACGATTTTACGTTTAATCTTTGAATTGAGTTATATTTATTTAAGTGCGTTTTATGTTAAATAAAGGACCGTTAATAAAGTGTTCATCAAACATTTACAATAACAATGACAGAAAAGTAACAAAAAAGAGCTAATCGAAAAACAATACTAAAAAAAGAGAGGGTAATAGAAGGAGAAGAAAAGATTAATGAGCGGGATGGGAAAAGAAATCAAAAAGTGTTAAGGACAATCAGAATGCCAACAAAATGAGTAAGAAGAAATCTTAAAGAAGAATAAAACTAGAACAAAGAGTTAGGTTAGATAGATATAGGACTGCAAACCGAAGAGAGATATAACATGAAAGAAAAATAATAAGATAAAAGAACAGAAATATGCAAAAATAACAACTTCAGGAAAATATTGTTGTGTAAACTACGCCATGCGGACGTTTTTAAGAAAACATAGGTGCAGATTATTTATTCCAAAACGGCGCTTTATTTTGTAAATGGAGGAGGAAGGATATAAATGGAAAGGGAAAGGTTTTAAATAAGCGAATCGGATCTTAATCGAGGCTTTTTGTTTGGCGGACGTTATTTGTTGCAAAACAGTCGGTTTTGCCGATATCGCAGCTTTTTCTAAGACAGTTCGCCTATTATACAGTTTTGTAGAAGAAAATCTAGCAGAGTTAAGCAACGTTACATGGAGAAAAGTGTATTTTATGTCACTTACGCGAAAGCGTGTATTAAGTTTAAGAAGTTTTCCAATATCCTTCGAGAAGTGGAGAAATTGTTGCGTAAACGTCTTGTAGACGTTATTGCGATCTAAACCCCAAAAATAATGACGAGACACCCTGTATGTGACAATATTTCAATTTATTAAGTGTAACTCTGGTGGACTAGTTATGCATAAACACAGTTATTTCGAGTTTGTTATCATCGTCTATTTTCCTTTTAGAATTGTTTGTAATTGCGTATTATTTTCTTTTTTAAAGTTTATCGCTTTTGTAAATTGTTTATTTAATTGAGAAATTTCTTGTTAAAATTTAAGATTTAATTAATGCACATGTTCTTATCGCTGTTAGAAGAGATAATGGAGATGCAGATATTACTATGTGCGTGTTAGTTCGGCGTCAGTGGGGACGTGTTCCTTCGAAGTTGGCGATATCACGTCTAATTATGGTTGACGATGTTTCTGAAAGAAGTGGTGTTTCCTTTAAATATTGTAATGAAGAAAAAAATGAGGATCGCTGGTTCGCGACGGTTGAAAAGCGTGTACGCTTTTTTTATGCTATTTTTACTCGTGCGGCCCGCCCGATTTGATTAGTTGAAGACATAATAAATGTAAATGGACTACACGTGTCATTAACTGTACTATAAAGGCTTTCTTAGAAACCTACTAAATTTTTTGTAAATTACCTAAAAAATTTCATTAAAAAAATCCTATTTCTTGACCAAAAGGCGTGTTCAGTTTAAATACTTACAACGTCAACGTGAATGTAAAAGTAATGATCCCGATGGTACAAAATACGTATTAGTCGCCTCACTTGCCGTAACGCCCTCCCGTTCAGTGTCAAAAGAAAAACAATACGCGCCGGCCTCACGCTGGGCGACACCGTCGTCTCGGCCACTTGCGGGGAGAACTCTGCAATTTTACAATGACATCGGGTTTTCTATTAATAACACGAACGCACGCACTCGCAATTCCCGTCTGGTAGACGTTTACGGTGTAATAACCTCCGCACGCCAGATGCGGATCCGCCGGACACTTCATGTTGCACGAGGAGTCCGGCAATCTGGAGGTAGGCGACGGTTCCTCGTTCCCACAGAAACACTCAGACCTAGGAGTAGATGTTTAGATTAGTAACATCTGGCCTTGATTGTTATGAATAGTTGTTTTGCGCAAGTAGAAATGAATACTTGTAATCAGTGCTGTTGTTACCGATTGCCAAAAGTACTGAAATGCCGAACTAAAATGAATCATTTGACACCATACGTATTATAGAAGTTAATAGAATATTTGTATGCATTATTGGCAAACTTGTAGACACTTTCAAAATTTTACCTCTGCCTTGTATACAGAGTGTTCATTTTATTTGGTCGACTATTGCTATCTGCGTTTATAAAAGCTACAAGTTCGGTTAAATTCGCAAACAATTTCTAAACAAGACACGAAAAAATTCTTTTCAACCAGTGTTTCACAAACTGTGAGTACCAACTTTGATATTTAATTTCTTTCCTTATTTGGTAGAGAATTTTATTCTGAAGTCTGTGATATATTTCTGTACCTCAGAGGTAAACTGTCCATTTTTCCCCAAAAATTGCTTTTTTGTACTAAGTCACATAAGTTTTGTTGTTCTACATGAAATATATGGATTTAGTATTGTTTGAGTTAGCGAATTTTAAACAGTACTAATTCAAAGGGCTGTAACTTTTGAACTAGTAGCCCAATCTTCAAACTGTTTGAAATTATGAATTCTACAGGGCACATTCTATAAGAAAATTTTTTTCCGGGTCCATCTGAGACAATTTTTTTTTCGCGCCTCAGAAAAAGGCAGTGTATAACCTTCCTTGTTTTACCAAAAATCGACTACACCAAAATTTCTCGGGAAAACACTTTTTCTTATTAATTTTGGTGCGTAGAATCCAAAACAATTCGTACTTTCTTTTTCGATTAGACTTCTCAATCAAAAGTTATGGACTAGAAACCAATTTCGAAAGAAAATTCAAAGGGCTGTAACTTTTGAACTAGTAGCTCAATCTTCAAACTGTTTGAAATTATGGATTCTACAGGGCACAGTCTATAAGAAAATGTTTTTTCCCGGTCGATCTGAGACAATTTTTTTTCGGGGTTCAAAAAAAGGCAGTAACCTTCCTTTTTTTTTACCAAAAATCGACTACACCAAAATTTCTCGGGAAAACACTTTTTCTTATTAATTTTGGTGCAAATCCTACATTCTATTTACTTAGGCGATTCTGACCAAAAAACGTTCACTTTTTTAGAAAATCTAGACAAAAGCTGTTTTTTATTGTAATTGTTTTTAGCATTTTCAAATATTAAGTTTGGATTATTTTCACTTTGCTTAAATCAAAATCTTGCGGTAGAAATTTCGGATTGTTTTACAATATTTGAAAGGGTCAAGGGTGTTACCTTCAATCTTTTATGGTTTCTGGAAAAAAAATTGATAAACACAAATATTGGGGCTTGGTTTATTTGTTGACTTTGTCGTCTCTACCACCCATTATTTGGTTGTACTCTGTATCATATACTTGTATCCACTTAGGGTACTGTTTAGATAAGACAAGCCTTTAAAAAAATTGGTGTAAGCACCAACACTGATTATATTGGGAAATTCGGGAATATCGTATCATTTGTATCGTACAAAAATTAAATTTTGGAATAACTACACAGCAACAATAAATAAAACTCAAAAAAACATGAAACAATTACTTTTTATTTAATATACCATATCACTTGAATGAATTTCGTAGATAAAAACAGTCACTCCCTGATGAGTGGCTATAAATAGAACCTAACAGCTATGAAATCTGTATGGAACTCTCTGGTTTGGTTGGGTTCCTAAGGAAATCTGGAAAGGCTCTTTGGTGGCACTTTTTGGAGGTGTTAATATGTCTGATACCTGTGGACATTGCAGTTTCTCGAAATAACACAAAGTGCCTAGAAATTTTTGCAAGGGTAAGAAAGCACTTAAGTGTTCAAAAAGCACCAAAAGACCTATTCCGGTTTTCGTTGCTTCTTAAGTGTTGTTATTTCAAGGCCATCTATTGTCACTTGTCAGTGAAGTGATTTGCAGAGCCTTCTAGTGTGTTATAAGCCATTTCTTGGATGTACCTTAAAGGTGCCTTTACTGTACAATTGTTTTGATATTATTTAATCAAATACTGTAAATATGAAACATTTAAACTGCTTTATACTGGTTTCTATTTTTTGTAAATAGTGGTACTTACTACTTCAGTACATTTTTGTGGTACTTACAACAGCCTGATCTTTAGAAACTAAAGTTATTTTGCACATTGACTTACGAGTACTGCACTCCCGCGTAGAGAAATCCGGACTGAAGGCACAGGTGCATACAAAATTCGGGCGAATTCGCATTCTTGTAATTTCCGTAGTGTCCGTTGAGCAATCGAAAACTCTTCTCGTCCTTAAAGCAGCCCAAAGACTTGCCGGCGACGAAACCGTCATTCGGACAGTAATTCGGCAACTCCTTGGGGTATAGCAGGTCGGCGGAAATAAGGCACGTAATATTTGATATAGTCTGCTTGCATTTTTGCGTTTTTGCTCTGTGTATTGCCGAGATTGCTTCTTTCGTAGTTATCTTGCATGCCGGAACGAAATCTAACTCCTCCAGACGGAGATGTAACTGATTCTTGTTCTGCGTCTTGTTTATTACGGTATCGCGCTTCGGTTTCGCTTGAAAGCTATTACTGATGTCCTCGTCGTCTATTGAAAAGCTATCCTTACTTCGTCTCGCGGAATTTACGCTGTTTTCGACGTCGTTTATTTCAAAATTTGATAGACGGAACGAGTTGTAATCGCCGGAGGTGTCCGCGTTGTCGACATTAATCCGAAAGAAACGTACGGCCAGATATATTTGGAAGGATAGAATTAGTACGCCTATAAAAAAACAGATTCTGTATCTTCTTAGCCATCGGTTCTCCGAAGTTTTTGTCACAACCATCGCAAATTTGGAACTTTATTGTTGTAAGCAAACATTTTTGATTCGGTAATGAGCTCCTATTATTAGATACTCTTACAGTGGCCTTGCCATTTACAGGCCGAAGCCTTTATTATTGATTTGTGTAATAATAAACTACAATTATACATTTTTTAAAGAATTGCAATTGTCAATGTTATTTTGGCATTTCATTCTCAAAAAACTGCAACACTGCACCAACAAAACAAATGCGATATTGCACTGTTGCCAACATTCGCATTTGAAGTTTGGCAAACAATTTTTTTTTAATTTTGGATTATGAATAAACTGTTTTTACCCCCTACGTACATAAAATCTATAACAAAAGTTGTAACTTTATATCATTGTTTATAAATGAATAATTCCTATATTTGTTTTGTACACCATCTGCCAGTAGCAGCTCTACTTCCTCAAGCCTGATTTATACAGGGTTGAAGACCAGCAAATGCTTAAATGGCAAAAGTTGTACGCGTCGATAATGGAGGGAAACGGATTGATCTGTATCATTTTCTAAAGAAAAAAGAAGTTCTACTAGCAACGGCGGTCGTTAGAGTTATATGAAGTGTATGGACAACTATCTACAGCTGGCACCCATGAAACTATATAGTCACCAATCCAAGGGAAAACAGGGTATACATTCCACACCAGGCAATCACGAAGGGGACCAGTACAACAGTCAAGCGGAAAGGAGCATCATCTAAAGGCACTGATTGGAAGAGCTTGTACAATATTATTGCATAGATTAGGATTATAGGAAAAATATAGGGCCACGCCACTGAACTATTTGCTTATAGTGAGAAGGCATTTGACATACTCCAATGGCATTTGTTACACAGATTTGTTATTCTGGGCTGTTAACAATTGTATCTATTTGTTATATTATTAATTGTTGTTATCTCTCCCATCGAGTTATGTTACTGATTTTCACTAAATTATATCAGGTTTTATTTATATTGAGAAATAAAAATAATTTACTTTTTACAATTTTTAAGAATGTATAGAAAATGCTACCCTATGGCGGGAAATTAAAAATTAAATAAAAAGTGTATCGTTTTACAAATTCATTCCAAAATTTTAAAAATAATAGTTTACAACATATTTAGACATAACTATTTTTAGAATTGTATCGCGATTTTACATTTGAGCTGTTAGAAAAAAGTGTGGTTATAATGACATATCACTTTTTCTACTTTTTGCAATAAAATGGAAAAGGCAGTGACTGTTTTAGCACCAAACGGTAGAAGACAAACGGTTAAAGTGAATGTAAATGCCACAGTGTTACAGGTGAGGCACTCATGAGTAGAACGGTTAAAAGTAACTCCAAAATAGATTCTGGAAGAGGTATGCAAGAAGCAAGGTCTACAACCGGAGAAGTACGACATAAAACATCACAATAAATGTCTCGACACGAGCACGATCATTCGATTTTCCGGCCTACCGAATAACGCACAACTTGAGCTGTCGGAGGCCGTCACCGAAAGAGCGGACGGAATTGTTACATTAGGGATACAATGCGAGAACGGAGACAGATTGACTGGCGATTTCGACCCCGGTTGTAATCTCCATGATGTTTTGTGTAAAATGTGCCCTGAACAAGTCGATCCAGAAACAAACCCAGTAGTTGTTTATATGAGACGAATGATTTACGGTGAAACCTCATTTAAAGAGACCACGTTAAGGAGTTTGGGTCTTACGCATGGAAGAGCTATGTTGCGACTTATACATAAGTAAGTAGCACGACACTTTCTTCATTTTCTACAAGCTCAAAAGAATTTTGTGTTTTACTGTGTAGGTGTGTTATATTATCAACATCTGCAGGTCTCCCGAGGAACTGGGTGAGCAAGCTAACATATCGGCACCTCTACCACCACGAGCTGTCGAAGAAAAATTGCCAGAAAGACCTAGGGAAAAACCATCTGTGCCCAAGTATCAAAAAGTGGAGTTGCCACCACCACAACAACCACCTCCTGCAGTCGATAAACCTAAAGCAGCTTCACCACCGAGACAATTACCAAAGACCCTCGCTGATGATCCTCCTCATCAAACGGTGCCAGTACTCAAGGAGAAAACTGTAGCAGAAGAAGACTTCATTTTTGTAAGTGACAACCCTCAATATTGCAATCCATCAGTTTGTGTTTAAAGGTCGGTCCGAGAAACGCGATGATCTTCTCTCAAGACACCGCCGAGGCGGTACCTTCGGAAGATCTACCCGACGACTTCTTTGAACTGACAATAACCGACGCGAAGAAGCTCCTAAAAGATCTTAAAAAACGCAGAGTGGAATTGGATAATCTTCCACTGCAAACGTCAACCTGGCGCAGTCTTCTCAAGTCCACGGACGAGTTGACCCGCATGAACCGCTACAAGAAGTCGATAATTCGCATCCACTTCCCCGACCAGATGATTCTGCAAGGCGTCTTTAAGCCCCTGGATACTCTTCAGATGGTTTTCGATTTTGTACGCGATTATTTGGAAAATCGAGACCTGGACTTTTATCTTTGTAAGCGTACTCGCAAATTAAAACGCCAATTACCCGACTTAATTTTTCAGACACAACTCCGCCGATAAACATCCTGGATCGAAATAGTAAGTTGATCGAAATCGATTGCGTACCCAACGCTGTTTTACACTTCGGCGTCAAAGGCGCGTGTGCTACCGGAAGATACCTGAAGACGGAGTTTCTCACTAAATGCACGACTGCATCGCTCGCGAGTTTGTCGGCGGCGCGAACGAGGTTAATGTTTCTATTGTGAGATTGTGCATTTTTAACTGTAGTTATAGGCAGGAATCGACGAGGCCACCTGCGCATACCTTCAATGATGACGAGATGTCGTTGAGTGATTTTCCTGCGGATGATGTTAACGTCGGAGCTAGTACGAGTACTGGGCAATACGGGTATGAAAGTCATCCACCAAAGGTTAGCCGTCCCACGGATGCTAAGTTTCCCAAGTGGTTTAAACCACCAAAATAATTGTGAAAGTTGTACATTTTTTTTTATTAAATGCAATTTTAAAGATGAATTGAAGTGAATTTTGGGGGGATACACCAACTCACAAGCAATTTGCCAGTAGTACGGTTTATTTATTAATTTCCAGATGTGGTAATTGACACAGCTCTCTCAGAATTCTAAAGAGTTGCCCTGAGGACTTATAGTAACATCGGGGCGAAGGTAAGTATTGGTCTATGTAGACCAAGCTAGGGTTTTTATTTTCTTTTTGTTTACAAACAAAGCAGTGAGTAGCAAATGTGCTAGTAAACGGCCCAGGCACGTAGTACCCACTGTAAATAATATGTGCCTTTTCTAGTGCCCAAGTGCCTATCAAGATTTCATTGTGTGTTTCTAATGGAAACGAAAGAAACAAGTGCTTTGGTTTTATTTTCGTGCCGTTCAAAGTAGTAGGCAATGGAAACAATTATGAAGCATGAAAAAACCAAGGTGTCGAATTCTTGACAGAACGGCCTCCCATCTTAAAGCAGATATGAAAAAAAAAGTTTTTGACAGTCTTACATCCCTTATGCCTAATTTTTAAGTGAGAAATAGTATGACCATTTAAAAATTAAATGAGGCCTACTGTACAGGGTGGTCCAAATTGGACATTTTCATATGGAAACACCCTTTACTCTAAGAGGTAGAAAATATGGACCTAGGTCCAATTTTAAAGAGAAAATCACTGGCACAAACAGAATTCAGCTATCTCTAATCGCTTGACCCCCTAGGGCAGGGGTTCCCAAAGTCGGGGTCGTGGGCTGATTTTTTAGGATCGCGTTTTTAATGGTTATAGAAATTGAATTATAGAAAAAAAACCTAAATAAATAGGAACGGATAAGCAATAATACAGACAAGTGCAATTTGGAGGATGATGCGGGAGGAGATTCGTGATTCCTTTGCTTTCATGGACCATTCCATTTTAGTGAAAGAACATATTTATGTGAACAAGGTTTCGCAATCTTAGTTGTGGTCGAAACCAAGGCATCGATTAGATCCGCAGCATGATTTACGATGTGCCTTGACTAAAAACTTTCGCCCGAGAATTGCTAAATGGCCGATTCACGACAGTTTTGCCAGAAACACTCGAATTATCTAACGTTTACCCGCCCTTGCATTTAACATTTTTGGGGTGAAATTCATTCCCTCACAACTAAAATTGACTTATTCGAGCGTTTTTGGGAAAACTGTCGTTAAGCGGCCAAAATTGGCAATTGAGTGTTTCAGTGGGCCACCCTGTATAATAATAGAAACAGGTTATTTGTTTATACATTGTGCGAAAAATGTTTTAGGGTCGCGAAGGCTTTTACAACTTTAAATCAGGGTCAGGATCAAGAAAGTTTGGGAACCCCTGCCCTAGAGGGTAGGCATCTAGGTTTCCATGGCGAACAAAAGATGGTAGAATTTGTTTTTTGAGTGTTATTTGAAATTAGAAATATTTGGAAACTAATAAACATTCCCAAATAATCAAGAAATTGTCTTTTTACACAATCCTGCCATCTTTTGTTCGCCATGGAAACCTAGATGCCTACATTAAAAACATAAAATGCAATATTGCAAATAATATTTAACATGAAGTATAATAAATGATACATAAACATTCAGGAAATTTCACGCTCTTTTCAAGAACTCCAAAATATACCGGGTGGTGACTTGAACAACGCACCATAGGAATGTCAATAGTAATTTTTTCATTTCTGATTATTGGCCTCCCTAATAATTTTAGAGATAAAGATAAGGTTTTTTGTAGAGAAAAAAATTGTGAATCCATGCACACTATAGCTTTTAATTTTTGGAACTTTGAAACCAAGAAATTGGATGACTAAAACTGGCGTTTTTAAGAAAATCAGTGGTGCCATGGCAGTTTGAGATCAAACTAATGGCAAATGCAGGCGCTTTTGTTTGATTTCGTAATTCCATAGCATTACTGCGACTTTACAAACGCGACAGTTTTTAATTTTTTGTTGTTTCTGAATTTATAAAATAGGAAACAATAGTATGTAGAGATTCGTAATTTTTGTCCCTACAAAAAACCTAAATAGACTATTTCTAACAAAATTAGGGAAGTCGGAAATAAAAAATTGCCGTCCCGTATACGGTGGTCCATATGAAAATATACAGTTTGGGTTGTATAAGAAAAACCAAACACCCTGTATACAAGCTGTGTATCGCAATGGATTCTACATAAAAAGTACTCTTAAGAAATATTTTGCCAACAGTGGCGAGTCGTCCGTTGGCGATTTGCACATTGGCGAGTTATCGCGTTGGTGAGTCAATCAGTGGCAAGTGGTCTACCGATGAGTCAACCGTGTCCCTCGCCAAAATATAAAGTGTGGCACGTCATCATTTTTCTTTTCTTTGTACTCATTCCGTAAAAATCAAATACGGCGCCCATAAGAAATAAGAGAGTAGAGAGTAGTAGCGCCTGTACGATCTACATCTAGTGTGTTATGGAAATTCTGATATAGTCTGTAAAATGAGTAAAGCTGAATTACTCTAATGTCTCTAATTACATATTTAAAAATAGAGACCATTTAGAGACCTTCGAGAACCAATTTCCATACAAAATTAAGCAAAAAATATTTATTTTGTAATAAATGAGATACATAAACGGCAATATATCTAAACAAGTATAAATTGTGCACAACTCTTGTGAGGGTAAAACGCATTTTTTTAACCCAAATAGCTTTTTTTTGACATCACCAATGGATATATTCCTTGCAGACGTCCCAATGGCCCTTTGTGAGTACCCTCTTCCGACAATCCGTTCTCGAGGTATAAGGGAATATACCCGATCGCGATAAGAGGTCGAGGAGGAGGGCTATGGTTGGTAGAAATTAATTCCTTTCGTCGAGACCTTTCATTAGAGTACCATGAAGGATAAAACTAGTTCCACCCCCCCCCTTCCCCTCCTCACCGTACTTTGATAAGAGGACAGAAAAAAGAGCAGTAGTTGGTAGAAAACGGTTCCTTTCGTTGAGATCAATTGGTTGTCGTATGTAAAAGTTATGCACGTTTTACTTTCAAAAACAGCATCTCAGGAAATAATTCGTGGAGGGGGGGGGGCCTTTTAGACAGCGAAATTTGGTGGCCGTCTGGCACACCTTCAAAGTATAGGCTACCTACGGCAAAGAATTCCAGGATTACCTACCATTCTCCTAGAAGTAGTTCGAAATGGCAGAAGTGGGTCCGGACGGACAAAACGCATTTTTTTTAATTCTTAAAAAATACGCTAAAAATGTAAAATTTCTGCGGTTTATCAATTATGAATTATACTTTTTTAACATGCAAAATTTAGAGACTTTAGAGACCAAATATGAAAAATAGAGACTTTTAGAGACCAGCATTGAAAAAAGAGACCAATGTCTAAGAAAGAGACCATTTGCGAACCCTGTAAATGGAAATGCATGCACCAAAAAGAGATATCAATAGGTAAGTCATGCTTTGGCGCTGCTTGTGATACGTCTATTTAAAAGCGCAATGCAGTGACACTTAAATGGGCGTTTCCCGAACCGCGCCAAAGCATGACTTACCTATTGATATCTCTTTTTATTACCTATAGTAATATTGTTGTTTTTTTATTAGTTCAGCGTGGGCAAAACACCTTCTCTGAAAAACGCGCTCTATTCGCTCCAGCGCTGGACTGGCACGAAAAAATTTTCACAAATCACACGATGCCAGGTCAGTGAGACTGGCGCCAGCTACTTGATATGTCTAAACGCGCCCTACTTTTGCTCGAGGTACCTAGATACAAAATTTTTTTTAAATATCTTAAAAAAATTGATTGCGCAGACACAAGTCGGAATGGGCATGCGCAATAGTTTTTTTTTACATCTGCATAGTTACCTGAGTTTTAAGGAATATTTACCGACACAAAAAACTGGGCATTCATATGTTCTTTGTAACAAGAATCGGGCAGTTTTTGGGCTGTAATTTCTGGCCCGTTAGTCTACATAACTGAAAAACAATTGCAAACTTTCTTATATCCTTAAGTACATGTGTACCAATTTTCAAAGCGACCGGACGGTTCTAAACTAAGTTATCATGCACACGGACACAGACAGAAGTGCAACATTATAAACGATCTCGAGAATCGTTGTTAATAAATTCGGTATCATAGATATAAGGTTTATTTAATGTATAAAATGTTCGATACAAAAAATTAATTCAAAACTATGGAACAAATCACAGTTAATCGATACTAAACCGGAAAATTAAACTTAGGAAATTCGCTTACAATAATTAAACTCTTCTATTTTACGAACTGGCAGTACTTAATAACGTTGTTTATAAAAGTATAAAGCGTGCGAGGCTGCTATCTACTTTCTTTAGGACTCGAATATTGGAACATCTACATAAATAGCTATTAAAATTACTGTAATCTCAAACGGTAACTAACGCCTTGGTGTTAGTAACTTTACCCTGCTAGACAACTTCCAATTGGATACATAACAGCGACCTCTCTGGGTGGCAAATTTAATTAAATACACACTGTAGTGGAAGACCTTAAAAAAGTCAGATGAACTTACACTGCAGGCTTTTTAAGCCCGTCCCGACTTGTACCAGGTTCCAAATGAATACCCATAGGTCCCAACATGGTACTGGCCGGCCCGGCTTCGCCCATCTGCGACTGGTAGCTTTCCAACACATTCTTTAAAGCGTTCATATCAATATCGACCGGCCGAAAACTTTCAACATCGTCGAACCCCTCGGTTTTCTCCACCTTGTGGAAGCTCTCCCCAATGGTCGTCTTTTGCAACTCGAGATCCATTTGCGCCATGTACTCCTTCATCTTATTCTTACCGTCGTCGTCCCCCTCGAAGTTCACTTCCCGATCTTCGCCGTACGCGCTCATATCCGAATCGGAATCCAAGTCCCAATTGTCGTCGTCCGGGATCATGAAATCCAGAATGTTCTGCAGGGCACACGTGAAGGCGGCCGGATCGAAACTCACCTTGTTCGAGTTCGGTTTTTCGTCGAGCTTCGTATCGCTGGAGAACGAGACCTTAGTTTTGCTACCCCTTTTGAGACCGCGCGGAGGACGCGAGGGGGGCGACTCCTCGGGGAACTCGACGCCTTGAACGTCGGACATGTGGTCGAGGAACGTCGTGAGTTTCTCCGTGAAATTGGTGGCGTCCGCGTTTCCGTTGAGTTGTGTGAAATCTTTTCGACCGTAGTTCGCCTGGAGCAGTTCGTCTAGGTCTTTCGGTGCGATGTCTAGCCAGGAGTCGTCGTCGTCCTCGGGTTGAGCGGTGTCCTTGCGAAACTCGTCTGCATTGTAGTCTAAGTTTTTGGTCAGGTCGAGGATTTCTTGACCAATTACAGGTGTCGACTGCATGGAGTCACGATAATTGATGTAGTATTCTTTGGCTTTATTTAAAAGGTCGTTATAATCGCGTGAGTGCTCCAGGAGATCTCTGAAGAAGCCCTTCTCTTTCAAGGTTTTTAAGTACGCATGCCACCCTTTGTCGTTTTCAACATCGGCACTGGGTTTCGCTTGGGAGACTAAAATTTCAAAGCCACATGCGAGTTTCACGCCTAAAGTATGCGATTTGTGTTGAGGACTGTTAAGCACTGGCAAATTCCAGCCGGTACGTTTATCCGGAACATACTTGCTATGGTTTAACATAGCATACAAACACTTTGTAAACGTAGTTCGGCAATACACACGATTTTCCGGGGGAAAATATTTCATGGCACGACAGGCTTTGCTGTCCACCAAATCCCGATTACAAAATGCCTGCACAGCAGGTGCCACAAGCCCGGGTTTGTGTTTAAGAATTGCCGCAACTCCAAGTGGTACATACAATGTCGTCGAATGTAAATTCTCGACGATACGGTTAGGGTACCCTTTAATTCTATTCAAAATTGAATTCTGAATGTTAGTAGAGGCGTAACTAGTTTGCGGCGACCGGGAAAGTTGTGACAATGCTTCACTTACCGAAACACCGCTGCCACTTTTCACTGGTGGAATAATATGCAAGTTCCCTTGATAGATATAGACACGATTTTCGCAAGTATCCGGATTAGCCCACTTGGGTAAATAATTAGCTGCCTCAATTAGTAAAAATTCACCGTCCGCGTCGACGACCCTCGCGACAATACCATTAATTTCCTTAGTAATCTGAAAGAGTAAGTACACTATGAACCATTCGTCCTCGATGTTGTCACCGTAATGCGAGATGCCGTACAAGTGCGGCTGCAATTCACTTCGATCCTCCACCGAAAAGTAGGGTTTTTAAGAATTTTTCAGAATCGTTAAAACCCTTTACGTGCTATTTAAGAGTATCCAAATGTGTTTAAGGGTCTCTAATGGCCATTTGCACCGACAAATTTAAGCTGAGCTCCGATTAAGTAGTGGCGTACGTAGAAATGTGTTCTGGGGGGGATTAAACAAGTTCGTGGCACATACAGTCACCCAGTGATTTTTTCATGCAAAACCAACCGTTTTGATTGATAGTGAATCAAAAATGACGTTTAAAAAAGAGTGAGGTTAGGAAAAAGTAAATTGTGAAGTTAGCAACGAATTGTACACTTCATATAGCTAGCGGCACAAGTTTAGATTGCGAAAATCTGACAGCATCCAACCCTGTATATATCTCGGCCCTAAAGTAATTGTGCCTATATTTGTTGCACACAATTTTGTTGCATCTTCCATGCACTTCCAAATTTGGCTAAGCTAATTTAAATGCTTTTAGGAGAACCGAATATTTAAATCTTCGTGAGTCACAAAAAGGATGTCCATAGTCTTTCAGTTAGAGTCTCTAATATACAGTCTAGAAAAGTAGGGTTTTTAAGAATTTTTCAGAATCGTTAAAACCCTTTACGTGCTATTTAAGAGTATCCAAATGTGTTTAAGGGTCTCTAATGGCCATTTGCACCGACAAATTTAAGCTGAGCTCCGATTAAGTAGTGGCGTACGTAGAAATGTGTTCTGGGGGGGATTAAACAAGTTCGTGGCACATACAGTCACCCAGTGCGTACTAGAAGGGGGGGGGGGTAAGAAATAGAAATTGGGTTGCAGGTTGCTGATGCTGGTAGTCATTTATCTATTTATTATTGTACAGGCGAAAAAGATTAGATTAGAACGGTATTTTATTTCTTACTGCTGACAGGCTTTTGCTTTAATTAGTCAACGAAAACTTTGAATAATAGGTATATTTATGGGCAAAAAACCAATTTCGACAAAAAATTCAAAGGGCTGTAACTTTTGATCTAGTAGCCCGATATCTTGGAACTGTTTGAAATTATGGATTCTACAGGCCACATTCTATAAGAAAATATTTTTTCCGGGTCGATCTGAGACAATTTTTTCTTCGGGCTTCAAAAAAAGGCAGGTTATAACCTTCCTTTTTTCCCAAAAATCGACTGCACCAAAATTTCTCGGGAAAAAACTCTTTCTTATTAATTTTGGTGCGTAGAATCCAAAACGATTCGTACTTTTTCGATTAGACGTCTCAATCAAAAGTTATGGGCAAAAAAATTCCAGTTTTTAAAATTTAATATTCTTATTTTCGTCATTTCCTGAAAGGCAGGACGCAGGTACCTACCTCAGTAGCAGTACTAAGTACCTGATACTTATTTGTTATTTTGGGCATCAATGTAGCGAATTGCCGATCGATGCCGAATAGCCAAATCGTTGACTGCCAACACTGATCACTCACTGAATAGTGAATACTGAATACTCAGAATATTTAGATTTTAGTGACTTTAGACTTTAACCAAAACCAAAATTGCTCTCTATATATACCTATATATTATTGCCTTTATTTTAAAGTGGGCGGAGCGGATAGCGGAGTATTACCTAAATACCTAATAGCTATGATGATAACTCAATTCTTCTGGGGGGGGGGGGATATATCCCCTTCCTCCCCCCCCCCCCGTAAATACGCAACTGAGATTAAACATAGCTTAAAATCTACGACAACAATTATTGTAACAATGGTTGTCTTGGATTTAAGCTAAGCTCAATTTGTCGGTGCTAGTTTATATGATAAAATTAGATAAATCATAGTTTCATTTATACGTGAATAATATCTAAGTATATACTCCTTCCATTACATTTTATGAGTACGCCACTGTTAAGTTCTTGACACTTCACCACTAGGGCGCGCCACTATCGTTTAAGAAAATAGTTTGAAATTTTCCAAGAAAAGTTTTATTTAAGTTTTTCACAATGGAAACTGTAGCTCTCGACTTAATTGAGCAAGCAAAAAGTACCCCCAGCTCGGAGGGAAACTTAGGCGATCTAGAAGATGAGGAGTGCTTCTTCCAAGATATCGCTCTGCTTCTGGAACACGGCGTTAGCATCGAAGATGTAAGACGGCTACAAGACGCCGGAATTAACACCATAAAAGGTGTACAAATGGTAATTCCGAAGAAGATGCTCGAAATTGAGGGACTCGACGTTAAGAAGATCGAAAAGATTAAAGAGGCCTGCACGAAGCTTTCGTTCGTTAACGGTTTTACGACCGCCTTAGACGTGGACCAACGCAATCAAATTTTTAAGTTAAGCACGGGAAGCAAGAAGTTTGAGTACGTGCAAATTTCGTTGTTAAGTTGCTAACGTATATTTTTAGCAAGTTACTCTATGGTGGAATCGAGTCCATGGCAATAACCGAGGTATTCGGAGAGGCCGGCTGTGGGAAGACTCAGCTGTCGCACACGCTGTGTGTGACCGCACAAATGTCCGGGCCCAACGGGTACATGGGCGGCAAAGTGATATTTATCGATACTGAACGTACCTTGTATCCTTTTCATATTTCGTTTACATTAGTTAGAGTGTTATTATCCTTAACTACTTTAGTCGTACCGATCGATTACGTTCAATAGCCGAACGTTTTCATTTGGACGGAAATACAGTTTTAGAAAATATTTTATGCGCACGTGCCTATACTAGCGATCACCAGTACGACTTACTCAAGAGCGTTACGGGCATGTTGCACAAAGAAGCCGGAGTTTTTAAGCTATTAATCGTCGATTCCATAATAGCACATTTCCGCGTAGATTACTACGGACGAAAGGAAATGGCCCACCGTCAGCACAAACTCGGCCAACTGATGGCCTGCTTGCAAAAAATCAGCGAGGAGTACAACATCGCCGTTTTTATTACCAATCAAATAACGTCCGATCTTACCAATTTAGAGCAAGGCGACGCTCAACGACCTGTCGGCGGGAACATTTTGGCACATGCCTCCACCTGTCGCATTTCGCTTCATAAAGATGTCAACGAGAGACGAATGGCTAAAGTGTACGACAGTCCGTACTTGGCTTCAAACGAAGTCTTATTTACTATAACGAATGGAGGCATTGATGATGTTGACTGAAAAAATTTTTTCTTACGGTGTAGTTTTAAGTTTAAATTATTTCCTAAATTATATGTGCGTTAAATAGATTTATAAGTTACAGAATATATAATTTGTTCAATTTTTGGATTGTAACATTGCAATATCTCTGATTTTTTTTGTGTTGAGGATGTAAGAATAATATGGCCGTTTGCACCTATAAAGCTCCACTTAAATTTGCCCAAGCAAACGGTCATAAAACTGCTAGGAGAGAATTAAAATTTAACTAATATAGGAAACGGTATTTTTTCTGCTGATCTCAAACTCAACTGAGATTATTGGTTGGTTTTCCCAACTTTTAGTTGGTAGGAGAGGCTAAGGTGACTATATAAATGTAGACTTGTTAGACAAGACACTGAGGAAATTAGTAGAGCTAGGGATTCAAGAAAGAGAAAGACCATCAATAGGAACACAAATAAATTAAAAAGCAAAGACTATCGCCGCTGTAGTGGAGACTCTAGTACCCGAAGCAGTCAAGAGTGTCTAAAAAACAAAAGAAATTAGAATATGTTTTTCAAAAGATTTAAATTAACAGTATTTTCACGTAAATTTAATTACGTGCTCTACTTAGTACAACTATTTAACAATAAATTAATAACAGTTTTGCAACGAATTTGAAGCTATATATTATTTAGCACTCACATTTACACAATTTATAACAGCGCGAACTATTTATGACTTCGGTGTTGAAATTAGAACTGACCTGAAACGCAAAGATTTCGAGCGTTTCCGAATTCTTGTATTCTTTGCATTTGGTGTAGCCGTTTTCGAATCGAAAGGTAGGTCCTTTCGGCTGTAGCTTCTTCCCGAAAAAGACTGGACGCCTCAGATTTTTTTGTGGAGAACTGGACCTTCGCTTCTTGCGCCCAAACTCGGAGTCCGTCTAGTGCCTCGTAAACCTCGTTCGCCCTCGCCTGTAGCGTCTTGTACTGCCGCGCACGTACCTACTCCCAGAAGCGTGTCGTCTGCATATCCATATTATTTCAACACCCTCGGGCGGCCTAGTTCTGACGGTGCCCTCGTAGAGCAATTTCCACATTACAGAATATGAACAGCATCCCTGCGGATAGCCCTTTTTCGGGCGTCCCGTTACAGCCGTTCCAGCGCCTAGCGGTTTTTCGACCGCCTGATTTAAAACCGCCGCGCACTCTTCGACGTTATACCTTCCGCGATTTCTAGTTCGCTTCCTCCGCGTAGGTATACACGATCAAAGATTGTCCTGTCTGTCTTCTCGTTACAATATTGGTATACCATATGTCTATATATCTCATAGGTTTGGTCCTCGAACCCTTTAGTATATCTGTAAACTGTCGGAATAGGTAAGGCCTCGGACAGACAGACGGACGGAGAAAGTAGTCATAATATCGCCAGATCGCCTTCCAACATGAGTTGGAAAATGCGCTAAAAATAATGGCAACCGAAGTATTCACCGCGCGGGTAATTTATTAAAGAAGAGCAACTACAACTATAGCATTTGCATACAGTGATATTCATGTAGAAGTAGACTGAAGTAGACATAGGAATTCTGAAAGACGCCTAATTTTATGCAACCAAAATAACTTCTTGAAGCAAATAATGATTTAAATATTGTTGCTTTGGCTTCAGAAAAATTAACTGTTACCGGCACTATACCAATTGGAAATATTAACTTTTTCTTTAGTTGATGCATCGCACACAAACGAAAATTAGAATACGAAAGTAAACTGTAAACTGTATAGTTATTTTGGCTGCATAAAGCTAGGCGTCCTTTAAAAGACTTTATCACGTAAAAGTAGACATAGGAAATACCTATAAGAAATCCCTATTAGTCCAGTCAAATTAGACAAAATAAGGGCCAAACCCGGAAATTTGAAAAAACAAGCTGCAAATTGGTGGACATGTACAGGCGGATAGTGCCAGAATCAATTTCCGAAAAGTCCCAAAAGATCCCGGTTGGGGAACGGACGCCATCTTGAAAAAAGCTACCCCTAAACTCGATTTCTCGAGTTTTGAGCAAAACTAATGAACCAATGGTCTGATTCTCGTTGCTAAGGTGTCAAAATGTTTGTTTTAATGTGTATTTGGAGTAAATACATAATTCGGCACATAAAGAAGCCCTTGGAAATTCGAACTTTTTAGGAAAATCACCCCCAACCTGGATTTTTCACGTTTTCGGCATTTGTTGTTTTGTTTGCGCAATCCTAGGATTGGTTGGACGAAGTCCTCCACCTTTTCCTATCCTGCGCTAATCTTTTCAGTTCTACATAACTACCCTCTTGCCTACGTCAATAACTATTTGGTCTATGTGTTTAATGCCCGTTTGCACCGACAAATTTAAGCGACGCTTAGCTTAAACGTAGCTTAAAATCAATGGCAACGATTATTGAGACAATGGTTGCCATGGATTTTAAGCTACGCTTAAGCTAAGTTTCGCTTGAATTTGTCGGTGCACACGGCCATAAGTCTCTGTGGTCCTACCCCTCTCTTGCCCTCTGCCCTACCTTCTATAGCTAGTAGTGCTATTCCTCCGTGTCTTAGCACGTTCGCTATCATTGTATCTCGTCTTCTCTGTACGGTTTTCAACATTTCCCTACTTCCTGTACTAGCTCCAAGACTGCTTCGTTTGTTACATTGTCCATCCAGCTAATCCTCATTCATCTATCCTACTTTTGCCTGCCTATCGTCCAGGTTTCGCACCTGTATGACCTACACTCCATTTGTACGTTTTTAGCAATCTTTTCCTAATTCCTATATTTATCTCGGATCTTAGCAGGTCCCACTTTTATTCCAATGCTTTTTTACCCTGCGCTATCCTGGATTTTATATCTTCCTTGCAACGATTATCTTGTGTAACCTTACTACCTAAATAGCAAAAGGAACGGTTATCTTAGAAAGTGTTCATTTATGTAATACGGAAACTGGTTTCCTCATCGGCAGCTAAAGGGGCGCTAGAAATTAAATCACCTTATGTTTCCAATTCCTAAAAGAAATAAATAAATCTGGAAGCTACGGTTTCTTAGTAACGAAACACCCAAATTTATATCACGTTTCGATACCGTGCGTTCAGGTGTAACGGTTACTTTTGTAAGAGTAGATCGGTGTCTGATTTTTACTCATAGTATAGATTTTCGCCATTGTATTTGTCGTTCGGTCTCAGAATGTTTCAAGTTTAAAACCTGTGTATGGATTGATTATTTTCACGCCGTTTTTTTAGTTATAATAATAATAATAATAATACAGACACTAATCGTTACTTGATTTTAATCCGTGCGATTAGTTAACCAGGCTTAGACCTGAGTTCTCACAAGAAACACCGACAACAATAATAATAAATGCCTTTATTGCCCAATAACCCCAATTGCCCAATTATATGTGCGAATAGTTGAAAGGATTCCGCTTATTTACATTAATTGTAAAATGCATTTAAATATTTTTTACGTGCAACTTAACCTGACTGCAAATAATAATGAAAAATATAATGAATAAAATAGTGTTCATTTAGTTAGTACTCTCAATCTTGTTTTGAACTCTGAAGGTTTTTTTTTAAATTTTGACATTCAGATAGAAAACGTCAAGAAGAACGATTAGAAACATCAATACTTACTAATTATCCGAAGCTTTACTTAACAATTAATAGCCGGAAAAGAGAGAAACCCATGATGGGGGTGTTTTTTTTAAAGGTCGCATTTGCAAAGGCATCGTGTATTATACGAAATAATTATTTCACTCAAAACAAACATCAAAACAACCATTTTGACACCTTGACGACGAAATTTGGACCATCCGTTCATTTCTATGCTCAAAAATCGGAAAATCAAATTTAGGGGTAGTTTTTTCAAGATGGCGTCCGTTCCCCAACCGGGATTTTTTGGGACTTTTAAAGATTTAGTTCTAGCACCATCCTCACCAAGTATACCAATTTTCAGCTTGTTTTTTCAAATTTCTGGGTCAATACTTTTACTGGACAACTATGTCTACTTCTACATGAATATCATTGTATATAGCATCGAATACAATTGAAGATGCTGCAAAATGAAGCGATCGCTATACTCTTTGGTTGGTTCCAATAATATCCAGAAGTTATTTACCTATATGAAACTGCTGCAGCTATTTTGAAAAAAACGATTTTTTGTACGTTAAAGGTTGTACAAATCCAAGAGTACTCCTCCAAGGTTTACTGTACTTTACTTAAGACTTGTTTTAGAGTTAGGTACCTAATCTCTTCGTAAATGCGCTGTTCTAGAGACGATGTAAATAATATGGGTACCTATATATAGGTAGGTACATACATAGACTAAAATTAGTCCATGCCATGGTACATGTAGTCTAAGTATCTGGGTACCTTGAGCTTGAAGAATTCTACTATTGGTATTTGTTATTTAAATGTAATCGCATTTGTTGAGGCAGAGCAGAGTATAAACTCTTTGGTCAGAGACGGTACTTAGACCCCCATTTATTCGCCCTCTGCCCTAATGATCTGATCACCCTATTGTTTGATTCTACACCTTCACCTTTCAGAATTTAAAGTAGAATCATTGCATGAAAGCATTGAATAATTTTTATTCAATGATGAAAGTGATTGTTTATTCTTGGTAGCAGGACGCGGCAGTTATCGCTTCCTCAAAAACTGATACCTAAGTAAGTGAGATAATTTCATTGGAATTTGCTCACTGACGAGCAAAACCGGAATCCTACCAATTGCGCTCTATTACATAAAGACGTGAGTAATCAATAAATTATTATGAAATTCGTGTGAAAGTGGCGGGGAAGAGTAAAAACGTGGAAAATCTTGAGGTGGTGTGATCAGTTCAATGGGGGCGTATTTATTACAACGTTGCCATTTTCGAAACGTCAATAGTGAAAATATCAGTAGTTGCCGTGGCGTATCTATTTTTTAGGCCGTAAAAACGTGTGGAAATGGGAACAGTTGGCGATAATTTCCATTATCAAAACTTGTAAGTGGGGCGCCCGGTTGAAGGTTGTGCAGGAGGGACGTGTGGCAATGTTGCAATCTCAGAACTCTATTATCATGTGTGACGATTTTGTTTAAATTTTGGTTTTGAGCACGTCTCGCTACAGTCGGATCAAGTAGGTTTAAACAAATGCACAATTTGTAAACAACTTTTTCACAATTACAACAGCGTAAAAATGGAAAACGGCGATAAAAGAGAAGTTCGGGTTTGGTGCGATGGATGGTGAATATTTTTGGTTTTTTAGTCTTTAGTTGTCTTCATTAAAGAATGTTACAGTTACGATATGGTGCACTTTGGACATGCCAATTCGTTACGACAGGCCAAGGCGTTGGGCGATAAGTTGGTGGTCGGGGTTCACAATGACGAAGAAATCACAAAACACAAGGGGCCCCCCGTGTTTACGGAGGAGGAACGGTACAAAATGGTCGCGGGTATCAAATGGGTGGACGAAGTCGTCAAGGCGGTGCCTTACGTTACAACCTTAGAGATTCTCGACAAGTACGATTGCGATTTCTGTGTTCACGGTGACGATATTACCATGACTGCTGACGGTGTCGACACTTACTCAATTGTAAAAGCGGCGGGACGTTACAAGTAAGTGTTATCAGCTGATAACCTTTCGATGTTTAGACTGCTCTATTTATAGGGAAGTGCAAAGAACTGCGGGTGTGTCGACAACCGATTTAGTGGGACGGATGCTGCTTCTTACCCGGCAGCATTTTCGAAGGGGAGAATTCGAATATGATGTTGCGAAAGAGCACTCATCCACCATGGGTCAGGATTCGTCGGCGAAATCGCCGTGGACCGGCTGCTCGCAATTCCTACCGACAACCCAGAAGATTATACAATTTTCCGACGGCAAACCACCCAAACCGGGTGATAGAATTATTTATGCCGCCGGTTCCTTCGACTTATTCCACGTGGGCCACTTGGATTTCCTCGAAAAGGCCCGAGCACAAGGTGACTATCTCATCATCGGCTTACACACGGATCCCGTAGTCAACCGCTACCAAGGCTCTAACTATCCCATCATGAACTTGCACGAACGCGTTTTAAGCGTCCTTGCCTGTAAATACGTGTCCGAGGTCGTTATTGGGGCACCTTATAACGTTACCAACGATCTGATGGATCATTTCAAGGTCGACCTCGTCGTACACGGTAAGACCCCCATACTCAACGATGAAAACGACGCAGATCCGTTTGCGGTACCAAAACAGTTGGGCAAATTTATGATTCTCGACTCCGGCAATGATATGACGACGGAAAAAATTGTCGAGAGAATAATTACAAATCGACTAAAATTCGAACAGCGCAACATAGAGAAGGAGAAGAAGGAGCTGAAGGTGTGGCAGTATCTGCAGGACAACGTGAAATCCACAAACCAAATCATTGTTGAACATTAAAGAAGTTTTAAGATCGTTAAATGTTTGCTATGCAACAGTATTGTTCAGTATTTCCATCTACTTAAGTCGTTTCACGATTTTTATTCAAAATGTTGTGCCCAGTACGCGTTACTCCTAACCGTTTTGTGCTCTAAAAATTTGTACATAGAAAGCCTCTTTGATCGTTGGCCTCTGTAGCTGCCACCATCATTTGGAGATGTTGCTGACAGCTGCAAGGGTCTCACATCCGACGTGACTTTCTATTTACACTTTTTGGTTACGACGTAATTGTGTACTTTGTACTTTTGCTAGTCATAATGTTTGTTACCATATTTTTTGAGAGTATACTAATTTGTATTATATTTGCTGTCGATCAATATTTTTCTACATTTATATTTATCCACGCCATTATTTTTTGATGCGAATATTGGCCTAATTAATTATCTTTTATCGTGGCACGAATTTTACTGTACACCTACTTAATTATGACTATTTTAAATTATGTATGTATATGTATCTATGTACTTGTTATTTATTTCTTATATACAAATTTGAAGCTTTTTAAATCTTTGTTTTGGAATTGGCACGTGATTTTCAAAGCATAAAGACTATGGTTCGATGCTGCTGCTGTGCAAGTTCAAGTTCAAACACCCAAAGCTCCCCCCAATTTTTGTAAGCGGAGGGAAAAGTATAATTCCACTAAAAAACCTACTGGATACAAAAGCAGCAATACTTACCACCTAAAAGTACTAAGCAATAACCAAGTAAACATACAACCATTGTACAATGCGATCAAAAATGAGTTGCTGTCGAGTCGTCTTTGAAATTTTTGTTTACATGGAAAATCATATTTAACTTGAACTTCCAAAGGCGACTCGACAGCAACTCATTTTTGATCGCCCGTTATATACAATGATACAAATAACAGTGACAAAAAATATGTAGTAGTCATGGAGCTAAAGAAAAAGGCACAACAGACCTACTATCAGTTGAACGAAAAGAGAAGCTTCAAAGTAGTATTAAAGGGCTTTGAATATATAATAATAATCAAAGCTAAAGGGACCACATTCAACTACAGATATATACGAAATTACAGAAGAAATTGGAATTAATAATATACTAAGAACACAGCACGAAAAGAACGCAATAACCAAAATAAAAATACTAACATCATCCTTCTTTAATTGAACAAAATGAACGACAAAAGACATTTATAAAATCCAGTACCTACTTGCAATATATACAAGCCTTCGATTCGAACAATCATATAAAAAGAGAAATATGCTCCAGTGTACAAAATGCCGAACCTTTGGACATACAAACAACTACTGCTATAGGCAACCTAAATGTGGTGATGGCGACCACCCAATGGTAAACTGCACATGGACTGAAAAACGAAAAAAAGGCAGTGTATAACCTTCTTTTTTTACCAAAAATCGACTGCACCAAAATTTCTCTCCGAAAAACACTTTTTCTTATTAATTTTGGTGCGTAGAATCCAAAACAATTCGTACTTTTTGGATCAGACTTCTCAATCAAAAGTTATGGACTAGAAACCAATTTCGAAAGAAAATTCAAAGGGCTGTAACTTTTGAACTAGTAGGCCAATCTTGGAACTGTTTGAAATTATGGATTCTACAGGCCACATTCTATAAGAAAATTTTTTTCCGGGTCGATCTGAGACAATTTTTTTTTCGGGCCTCAAAAAAAGGCAGTGTATAACCTTCTTTTTTTACCAAAAATCGACTACACCAAAATTTCTCGGGAAAACACTTTTTCTTATTAATTTTGGTGCGTAGAATCCAAAACAATTCGTACTTTTTCGATTAGATTTCTCAATCAAAAGTTATAGACTAGAAACCAATTTCGAAAAAAAATTCAAAGGGCTGTAACTTTTGAACTAGTAGCCCAATCTTGGAACTGTTTGAAATTATGGATTTTACAGGCCACGTTCTATAGGAAAATTTTTTTTCCGGGACGACCTGAGACAATTTTCTTTTCGGGGCAAAAAAAAGCAGTGTATTACCATTGAATAGTATAAATTCAATGGTATTACCTTCCTTTTTTGCAAAAAACGACTGCACCAAAATTTCTCGGAAAAACACTTTTTCTTATTAATTTTGGTGCGTAGAATCCAAAACAATTCGTACTTTTTCGATTAGACTTCTCAATCAAAAGTTATAGACTAGAAACCAATTTTGAACAAAAATTCAAAGAGCTGTAACTTTTGAAATAGTAGCCCAATCTTGGAACTGTTTGAAATTATGGACTCTACAGGCCACAGACAGACTCTTAATGTAGAAATTCGGCCAAGCCAAGCCAAGCCAGTGACCAATTTTAGGTTTTCATTTCAAAAGTCACGAAATTTCACACTTTCCTTTATAGCTATTGAATAGTGATTCGCACAAGAAGTTCTTGCTTCTTGTCTTGTCTTGTGCTGTCTTGCCCAAGACAACAAGTGATTTATGTTCTTGCATCCGAAACGAATCAATAGAATTTAAAAAGCAAAGCAGATTAGTAATCGCGATTAAATTGGCTTTCAAATAATGTGCCATTTGCTATAGGATTCCATTTAAAATTTTAGGGCTTAAACTCCCTACGTAGAGGGGTGAAAACTTGGGTTCGTGATTTGTATTCCAAAAGTTGTCCCCCTCGAATACAAAATTGACGTGTTCGAGGATTTTTCGAAATGTCTAAATTTAATACCCTAAAAGCCCTCTGTATACTTCTCGTTGGCCACTCTGTATTCAGTAGGCATATAGTCCAGTTAACTTTGTTCCTAAAAATGGGGGGTACCAAGCGTCAAATCCGGTAGTTCTGATTTTTTGTGGGATTGCTTATGTTGTTAACCCAATGTATACCTAATTCAAGTTTTCGACCTCGAGCGGCGAACGCAACATAGTCAAATATTTTCGTTTTCTTTTCCGATCTTGACGATTTTAATCCTGAAGGACCAGTTTTTCGCCAATAACGGTTCAATAAGTTTTCAAAGCAGACCAAATTTGCTATAATTTAAGCCCACATCTGTTTGTATAGGTGTAATAGATTCCGAGATAATGCTTTTCAAAGATTGTCAATTTTTCGAATTCAAAAATCTTTCACAATACTTTATGGGTGACGTTTCTATTCTGTTTTACACAGATGCCAAGAATGGGCGGTATTACGCTGAAAAATAAAACGAATAAAGAATTGTGTGAGGTGGTAGTTTCTGTTGCCAACTAAACTGTCGAACAATCATTAGCTGTTAATGTCAAAGATCCAAGAGTGTAATCGTTTGATTTAGTTCTGTTCAGTTCAGTGCTGGATATTTTTACTTTACAATAATTTTGATGCCGTTTTTTATTTTCCCTGATTTTTTTCTGATCTAGAAATGGTGGAGGATGTATTGTGGAGAGATGTTACACAAGATATTGACAATCCAGCCACAAACCTTTCAAGTGAGGAAATGGACGATGCTCAACCGTGCTCGTCCAAGAAGGGAAAATATGCTTAGATGGAAGTCAAACAAAATTTCTTTTTATAAAATTACTGTTTTGAAGTTTAATTAAGAATATCATTTACACCTCTCGTTTTCTTTTATAAAATTACAGAACAACAAAATAGTGCTAACAATTTTCGACTTTGAAAAAATCGATAAACTTTGAAAAGCATTATCTCGTAAACTGTTACGTCTATAGAAACGGTTGTAGCCTCAAATTGTTGTAAACAATTTAGTCTACTTTCAAAGCGTATTCATTAGTAGTTATTTTCGACAAACTGGTCCTTCAGGGTTAAAATCGTCAAAATCTGAAAAGAAAACGAAAATTCCTCGGTTTTTAGTATATTTGACTATTATGTTGCGTTCGCCGCTCGAGTTCGAAAACTTGAATTATACATTGGGTTAATAACATAAGCAATCCCACAAAAAATCAGAACTACCGGATTTGACGCATGGTCTGATGTATATAGTTACTGGACTAATAGAGGATTTACTGTGAGAATTTGCATGACAACCTAAAAGTGGTCACTGGCTCTTCGTCTAATAGCACATAAGGATACAGAACGCACCAGTTTTGATTTTAGCCCTTAAGGCGAATTTCTCATTTTGGAATTTTCCTTGGACAGGGACTGAAAAAGTGTTTTGAAATATAGCTCCTATATCCATAAGTCACTAGGATTACGCAAATCTGCTGCTCTCCCTGGCCTGGCATGCCTTCTATATGGTTCTGAGGTAACTAATAAAGGCAAAACATTCAATGCCGTCAATGGTGACTTACTATAAAGAGGCCTCAGCAAAGTTTGGCACAACACCCATTCCTCCAAAGTCCAAACGAAGTCAGAAACGCTATAAGTATCTGTTTTCCAATTAGGTATTTGTTCCTAAAACTACAATGACTGAGATCGGAGGTGTGAGTTTTTAATAAAAAGCCAAAATCAAGATGAAAATCTTCAGGCATTTGAGTGGAATCAAGATATCAACCAAACTCGAATCTGTGCTTATTAGAATTGTTACAAAATTTGTCAGCTTTTATAATTAGTAATGGGAAAGTCCTTATTGACGCCTTTTACAGAAACCTTACAATATTAATCGTATTATAATGTGTGTGTACCTACTTAATGATATTAAAACTGTTTACACTATGATCTATCAGTGTAAACAGTATAATCAAATGTAATGATAATAGAGAGGGACGATTATAATAAATAGGACTTTGTAACTAAATCCGCACAATAGATTCGCGCGCCAGGAAGTGGGGTATACGCATTGCTAGTGTTAGTTTGAGAGTTGAAACTGTGCAGCAAACACAATGGAAGGAATCGCAATTTTTATATTTGTATTATTCTATCTAGGTAAGACTTCACATTGAATGCTAATTTTTTAATTTTTCGATTACGTCAATATTTTGCCAAACCCATGGTACCGAGGTCAGCATTTTAATCTACAATTCTAGCCATTTAAAATTTGTTGTGGCCGTTGTGGGTATACGTACTGCGTAAATAAAAATTAAAAAAATGAGTAAATACCATCAAAAGTTGTTGCTCGGTGATACTTTACTCATTTTTATAATATTCAGCTACGTAGTAACGGAACCAGCAAGATTAAAATATTTTGAACCTGCACATCATGCGGGTCTCAGTTTGACCATTGTTCGGGATATGCAGTAACTGTGGCGTTAAAGTTCTCAAATCTTTAAACGCTTAGTGAAATAACCCAGTTAAACCATAAACTCATTCTTCTGCTTTTAGCAAATGCATCAGAAGAGGAATCGGTCGTCGTGCGGACAGATTTGGGAATTGTCAAGGGCCACTACAGGTACTCGTACGACAATCGCAAATTTTTGGCGTTCGAGGGCATTCCCTACGCGAAACCTCCCGTTGGTAACTTAAGATTTGAACCACCGCAACCCGCGGAGCCGTGGTCGGGGACTTTGGAGGCGACGACTGCACGCGGATGCGCGCAGCATCTCCAACCGGGCCTGGCAAACGAAGAGGAAGACTGCCTGTACCTAAACGTATACGTGCCTATCTTGGAAAATAGATCCACGCAACATTTGGCCGTCATGGTGCACATTCACGGCGGAGGCTTTATGGTGGGCGACCCCAGTAGTGCCGGACCCGATTTCGTGATGGACAGGGATGTTATGTACGTAAGTTTAAGCTACAGGCTAGGAGTCTTCGGCTTCTTGAGCACGGGTGATGGTGTTGTGCCTGGCAACAACGGAATGAAGGACCAGGTTCTTGCGCTGAAGTGGGTGAATTCCAACATTGGACATTTTGGAGGGAATACAAAATCTATCACGCTAACTGGTGTCTCTGCAGGAGCCGCATCGGTGCATCTCCACTACTTTTCGCCTCAATCTCGTGGACTGTTCCATAGAGGTATATCGCACAGTGGAACGGCGCTGGCTCCTTGGGCTATCCACAACGACCCTCTGAGAGTGACGAAAAAATTGGCGAAACTAGTGGGGTGTAGCCTTACGTCGACAAGAGTGATGGTGGACTGCCTGAAAACTAAATCGGCGCAAACTTTGTGCGAAAATACGATCCCCCTTTACGAGTATTGCGGTTTTCCGGTCACCCCATTTTCGCCAGTAATTGAAAAATCTTCAGGCTCGGAAACGGCATTCTTAAATGAACATCCCTACACGTTACTAGAAAGGGGAGATGTGAGCGACATTCCTTGGTTTACGTCAATTACGGCCGATGAAGGCCTGATATTTTCTTACTTCTGCAATAATATGGACAGCGTGATTACCGACTGGCACAAATACATGCCGTATATTTTGAACTATTGTGATACCGTAGCAGAGCAAGATAGAATCAAAATCGCGGAGAAAATTACATCATTTTACTTCGCCGAATCGACGGTTACAGATAGCGGCGTACTAAAAGCGATTGGGGACAGGCTATTCCAAGTTCCAATGGAGAAATCTATACAAATGCAAGCCCAGGTTACAAAGTCGCCCATTTACCTTTACATTTACGATTACGAAGGTGACTTACTATGGAACAAGGTGTTCAATATCACTTACAAGGGCGCAAACCATGGCGCTGATGGGTTACTGATGTACGATTCGTTTTTCTTAAGGCATGTGGTATATAAGGGTGCTAAATTATCTGCGAATGACGAATGGATGAAATCATGTCTTGTAGACATCGTCACCAACTTTGCTAAGGACGGAGTACCTAAATATGAGGACAACAATTTTCAACCAACAAATGATCAGTATAGTTACACACTCGTTAGGCACAAAGACGTTACTGTGAAGCATGAGAAAGACAACAATGTAATTCAGTTTTGGGACTCTTTGCATTGTGACTCCTGGAATTACATTAATACAGTAAAAGATGAACTTTAACGTTTCATATGTGAGCCTCTTTTTTAACAAATCTCATGTGATACCCAACAAGCAGGGTGAAAATATCGGTGAAATGATGTACATACAAAAATAAAGTTTTTTTTAAAGAATAGATTTCAGTGTGATTATTTTAAATAATTCCAAATCCAATGCCCAATGTAATAAATTTCCCAGTTGTTCGCAGAAAAGAACGCAATACATAAGAGAGAATTTCCTAAATAAGTCTCTCTTCTATCACCCACAAGTTAGTAAGGGAACTATTGCATTGAGGTAAAAAATAACCCTCCACTTTTTTGACGGAAATACACCCGAAATTGATGATGTCGGTCTGTCTACCTGTATTCTCATTTTCGGTTAAAGGGCTGAACCGATTGAAACCAAATGTGGTAGGTACACATAATATTGTCATGTCAGACATAAGAAAAAAATCTAAGTTATATAAGTGAAAGCAAAGAATACTTAATAATTACTCTTTGGTGAAAGGTATTTAAATATAATTACAAAACAAGTATGTTTTTTTTTGGACCATCTCTTTTTGTGATAGACTAACAAGGAATTCCTAAATATACCCCTGGTGAGAATAGAGAGAGTTTCAAAATTCCTTATTAGCTTTCACAACAGATTGGTGGTAACGAGTTTTACGTTGAATGCTAATATCTTGTACTACGTACTAACTAATCTCCTTGCCCAAGACCGAATGGATCCCAAAAATCACCCAGTAAGGATCCTTACTACACTTTCTCAATAATTACCACCAACAAAATTGCTTCTTATCAATGAAATACTGCAACTGTTGATGCGTTTTCTTCATTCGCCCCCTACCATTTAAATAAAAACTAAAATAAGTAATCTAATCCCACGTATGAGCAATATACACCATGTTTAATAAATAAATACATAAATACGAGTACATAAATAAAAAGCTCGATAAAAGTACGTGACTCAAAGAGAGGGACAGGTTTGCTGCTTCAAAATCGCCACTGGAACTTCTGCCTGCGTGACTGCTTACATCACCAAATGGACATGGGCGGTGGGGTCGTCACATCCCTACGCCTTATATCTTACAGTAATTTTTAGGAAGAATTTGAGTAGGAAAACAGCTTTTAGAAGTTGTCCTCCAATAAACATTGCAATTTTTCGACTTCCTATAGTTCTCTTCAGAGCCCCCCCCCCCCCCCGTGTTACGCTGATCCCAAAAAAACGCGTAGTGTTAACATACTCTACAGGAAATAAAGATTCATCTGTCCTTTTCTAAAAACCAATTATGACAGTCTGAGCGCTTTTGTGGGAAATAGTACCGAGGGGTGTCCTTCCAGCATACGAACATTTGATTACATTTCCTCAAAAACTAAAATAAGGTTGTTGGGAGCAATAGAGAAAACATTATCGAGTCCTCATTAGCTCAAGGTAATGCTGGGGAGTATTTGTTTTAGATAATATGCGAGAGAAATGCAACTTCGAGGCTTTTCGAGTTCTATTAAGGCGGAAGTTAATCCCTCCAGTGGCGTGCATGTGATTAGGGGTTCTGGCATATAACTCATATGCGTCAAAACGTGCCTGAATTCATAATCTTGCACGAACTTGTCAACGATTATTATTGGTAGGTACACGTAACAGGACTCATACAGTATCTTGAAAGTTTCAAATAATAACTTGTGGGAATTAATAGGGGTCGATTTTTAGACCTCGTCGACCATCAAAATCTGCTTTCGTTTATCTCGACGCTCGACCCCTGGGAAACTGATTTGAACTCCTCTACCACCTTGGGAATCGCCGATTTCGAGAGACGGGCCTCCTTTTAGCTCGATTGCTTTTGGAGTAAAGTATTGTCTTAACGCGAATTGATTTTGAGAAGCGAACATCCGAAAGGCGCGATTTTTTCAGCAAATTTCTACTCTTCTCCTTGTATACGAATATCCTGAGAGCGAATACCTAATCGATGGCGAACACTTCGCGGGCGAATATTCCTAAGTTAGAGGATTATGGAGACAATGATTATTCCGAGATTCCGTACCGAGTGAATTTGACGGGGAGAATATTTTTTGCACGAGTACCTATACCAGAGCCGAAATTCTAGAGGGTGAATATACCGGAGAAAAATTGGAGCAAGTTTCTCTTGACGGGCATGTGAAATTTAGCGGAGCGACGGAGACCTAGTAGCTTCCATAAATAGATTTCACGCGACCGCTTGCTTTGCAAGTATGTGGTATATGGTTCAGTGGCGGATTTGACTTTTGCCGCCCAGGGGCTTTGGAAAACTTGCCGCCCCTAGATCATTCTTACCACAAAAATAGCCCACAACTTCATAAATCCTATGGCTAAAAAATAAAATCGCAATCTAAGGGAGTTTATTGGTTCGTGGACATTTCGACTACAGAACAAAATGCTTATAAGTAATAAGTATTTTTATTTGATTATTCAACAATTTATTGGATTAATCAAAACAATTTTCCGCCCCCCCAAAATTTGCCGCCCTGGGCCCGTGCCCCCCTCTAAATCCGCCTCTGATATGGTTCATTAAGTTGCTGGAAGTAGATGGCTTTTGGTTATCATACATTCCTCTTAAAGGGACGTTTCTAGCTGCTGACAGATCGGGAATCTGGGTTAGTTCGTTCTACTAACAAAAGGGAAAGTTCTCATTGTAGCTTTCACGCTTGGCTTTGGGAGAAAATCCATTTGGCAATTTAAAAATCAAATTAGGAGGTTTTTAAATAAGTTCATTCTATCTGGATTTCTTTTGCAGAGAGACATTATTCTCAACATCAAATTTTAGTGGAGAAAACCGAATCGCAATTGTCAAAAACCTTCAAAGTTTAAACATTTTGTGTTAGAAATCGGCGGGATCATTTTTATTCCAATTATAGTCGATTTTTTTATCTTATTATAAACAACCCTCAAATGAATAGGTACATTTGTTTCCACGAGAGCTGACTGTCAGATAGAGTTAACAGCAAACGTTAAAAAAGGGCATTAATCAATTTCATTAGTAAACTTCCCATATTGTTTATACCCTCTTTGACTTCAGTGTAGTAACAATGCGAAGAAGAATTACAGTAGCCTTCTTAGGATCTGTTATAATTTAACTTAACAATGGCATAAATACAATAAATAAATAATATCTGCCTAAGATGGATATAAAATATATAAATAAATCATGAGAACTATCTTCCCATCGCTTTATGTGGCAAGTTATTTCCAAGGTTTAGTTATTGTTAACACTAAAACCTGCTGTATTGTTACAAAAAGTAAAACCGCGGGTAGGACGAAATTTTTCGCTACTCCGCATTTCAGCCCCCAGAAAAAGGGGACATTTCGCGCACCAAGAAGTGGGGTATATGCATTTTAACAAAGTGCTAGCTGCAGCAAACGTAATGGAAAGAATTGTAATTTTCATACTTGTGTTATTCTATGTAGGTAAGATTTCACATTTAATGCTAATTTTTTTTAATTTTACCATTACGTCAATACTTTGCAAAACCCATGGTACCTGTTTGGGCGAGGTCAGCATGTTACTTTACAGTTTTAAGCATTTAAAATTTGTTGTACGTACTGTCATTTTGGATTGGGATATCATAAGTACACTGAAATTCTTATAAAATGAGTAAATACGATCAAAGGTTGTTGCTCAGTGATCCTTTAAATTCATTTTTTAATATTCAGCTACGTAGTTAAACGTAAACTGCAAGATTAAAATACTTTGTAAACTTACACATATACAAAGTTTCCATGGGACCAAGAAGAGTTGGCCGACAGACAGACGGGTAGAAAACATAAGCGTCTCGGTTTTACCATTTTCGCTAAAAATAGATTGATTATTTAGGGTATGCAGTAGCTGTGGCGTCAGAATTTATTTAAACAACCCACTTAAAGTATAAGTTCATCCTTCTGCTTTTAGGCAATGCAGCAGAAGAGGAATCGGCCGTTGTGCGGACAGAATTGGGAACGGTCAAGGGCTCGTACAGGTACTCGTACGACAATCGCAAATTTTTGGCGTTCGAGGGCATTCCCTACGCGAAACCTCCCGTCGGTAACTTAAGATTTGAACCACCGCAACCCGCGGAGCCATGGTCGGGAACCTTGGAGGCGACGACCGTACGTGGATGCGCGCAGCATCTCAAACTGGACCTGGCAAACGAAGAGGAAGACTGCCTGTACCTAAACGTATACGTACCCATCTTAGAAAATAGATCCACTCAAAATTTGGCCGTCATGGTGCATATTCACGGCGGAGGCTTTATGATGGGCGACCCCGATATTGCCGGCCCCGATTTTGTAATGGACAGGGACATTGTGTACGTAAGTTTAAGCTACAGGTTAGGGGTTTTCGGCTTCTTGAGCACAGGGGATGGTGTTGTGCCTGGTAACAACGGGATGAAGGACCAGGTTCTTGCGCTGAAGTGGGTGAATTCCAACATTGGACATTTTGGAGGGAATACAAAGTCTATCACGCTAACTGGTGCCTCTGCAGGGGCCGCGTCGGTGCATCTCCACTACTTTTCGCCCCAGTCTCGTGGACTGTTCCATAGAGGTATTTCGCACAGTGGAACGGCGCTGTCTCCTTGGGCTATCAACAACGACCCTCTAAGAGTGGCGAAAAAATTGGCGAAATTACTGGGGTGTAGCCTTACGTCGACAAGAGTGATGGTGGACTGCCTGAAAACTAAATCGGCGCAAACCTTGTGCGAAAATATAATCCACCTGTACGAGCATTGCGGTTTTCCAGTCACTCCATTTTCGCCAGTAATTGAAAAATCTTCAGGCTCGGAAACGGCATTCTTAAATGAACATCCCTACACATTACTAGAAAGGGGATATGTGAGCGACATTCCTTGGTTTACGTCAATTACGGCCGATGAAGGACTGATATTCTTTTACGCCTGTAGTGATATGGACAGCGTGATTACCGACTGGCACAAATACATGCCATATATTCTGAACTATTGTGATACCGTAGCAGAGCAAGATACAATCAAAATCGCGGAGAAAATTACATCATTTTACTTCGCCGAATCGGCGGTTACAGATAGCGGCGTACTAAAAGCGATTGGGGATAGGCTATTCCAAGTTCCAATGGAGAAATCTATACAAATGCAAGCTCAGGTTACAAAGTCGCCCATTTACATTTACATTTACGATTACGAAGGTGACTTACTATGGAACAAGGTGTTCAATATTACTTACAAAGGCGTAAACCATGGCGCTGATGTGTTACTGATGTACGATTCATTTTTCTTAAGGCATGTGGTATATAACGGTGCTAAATTATCTGCAAATGACGAATGGATGAAATCATGTCTTGTAGACATCGTCACCAACTTTGCTAAGGACGGAGTACCTAAATATCAGGACATCAATTTTCAACCAACAAATGATCAGTATAGTTACACACTCGTTAGACACAAAGACGTTACTGTGAAGCATGAGAAAGACAACAATGTAACTCAATTTTGGGATTCTTTGCATTGTGACTCCTGGAATGTCATTAATACAGTAAAAAATGAACTTTAATGCTTGAGCCCCTTTTTTAACAAATCTCATGTGATACCCAACAAGTAGGGTTAAAAGTATGGTGAAATGATGCGCAAAAATATAGTTTTTTTAAAGAATGGATTTTAGTGTGATTATTTTAAGTAATTCCAAATCCAAACCCAAGTGCGTCCAGCACACTAGCTAAGCCTTTTCCTTTCTAGATAAAAACACCCTTTGAATTGATTTGCGCAATGCAATGAATATTAAAAAAAAATTTACCTCAAAAATATCACGAAGCACCTTCTTGCATCTCAATTTGCTAAACTGCGTTAGAACTGCAGCGAACTGCATCATTCTCCATTTAGGCAATTTCCTAATTAAATCTCTTTTTTACCACCCGCAAGTTAGTAAGAGAACTGTTGCATTGAGGTAAAACAGGAGAGCTCTTCACCATGTAACAATTTTGCACTTCTTACAAGTTCAGTCTTCCCTTTGATTTCACGGACAGCAAGCAACTGAATTGAATTTTTAACATTACGTATTTAAGGTAACGAAAATATACCGGCGCGCGTAATTGGTTTGTCCTTGACCACGTATAGCCGTTTAAATCTCTTAACGGAATGCGTTATACTCGACGTTAACTGATTATTACTCCCTCGCGATAATCCGTATTTTTTTGCGTGGATAAATTAGACACGTTAGAATTAATCATTTCAAAGTTTTTTGTCTTTTAACTTTTCCACAATTTTTAAATGATCTCTGATCGCCAAATCGGAGATATTCAGAAGCTGTAAGCGTAAAGACCCGAAACTTTTACAAATAAGTTGAGAAAGTATGTGACTCAAAAAGAGGGGCTCCGGTTTGCAGACTCAAAAAAAGCATAGGAAATTCTGCCGGTGTGACTGATTGCATCACCAAATGGAGATGGGCGGTGGGGTCGTCACATCCCTACGCCTTATATCAGCAATTTTTTTAGAGAAATTTGAGCAAGAAAACAGTGTTAGATGTCGGTCGATAAAAATTACACTTTTTTGCATTCTGATATAACAATTTTTGAAAAACATTAAAAATCACGAGAATATCTCGGTCAATAAATGTTCTTGCCCTTGTGCAATCCTGATACAATAGTGTTTAGAAGAGAATTCATATTGCTGGTGCTTTAAAAACGTGTATTTCCTTAAAAAAAGTGGGGAGTCATTTTTTACCCCAATGCAAAACCTCCCTTACTAACGTACGGTGGTAAAAATCGTTTTATTTAGAATAACTTTAGATGAAGCTTTTAGATTGTCACAAATTTAATTTTAGTTTCTTTAGGACTCCAGAATCTACCAATGAAATTCGTTTTCCAGTCGATATAAGAGATGTAGATTTTTGAATAAAGGCCTATACATTTTGTTAAATTAAAAAATACCACCCCTCGGTGTTAAGGTACCTTTACACTATATCTCACATGATTTTTTATATGGTATGTTGTATGATATTTACTACCAACATATTTTTCGTATAAGTTTTAATGTTTTACTTTACACTTGACAGGTTTTTCATATGACTCTAATACAAGAAGTTACGAAACCTATATAACTTCTCTAAATTAAAATGTTCCAAGTTCCAAGATTGGGCTACTAGTTCAAAAGTTACAGCCCTTTGAATTTTCTTTCGAAATTGGTTTCTAGCCTATAACTTTTGATTGAGAAGTCTGATCGAAAAAGTACGAATTGTTTTGGATTCTACGCACCAAAATTAATAAGAAAAAGTGTTTTCCCGAGAAATTTGGGTGCAGTCGATTTTTGGAAAAAAGGAAGGTTATACACTGCCTTTTTTTTGCCCCGAAAAAAAAATTGTCTCAGATCGTCCCGGGAAAAATTTTTCTTATAGAACGTGGCCTGTAGAATTCATAATTTCAAACAGTTCCAAGATTGGGCTACTAGTCCAAAAGTTACAGCTAGGGAATGCAATTCCGCAGCAAAATCTCAATCTCGGTATTTGCGGGATCGTTAGATGTTAATCCCGCGGGAACCCGGTATTTGCGGGATCCCGAAAAATTTTAAATAAATTGGCAAATAAGCAATTTTCTGCGGTTAACTTCTGTATTAAAATAAATCGCTAATTATCACAATAAGTATTCAACAAAAAAGTACCTTCAGGCTAACTTAGAACTCAAAAAAATCACTTGTAAAGCACAAATAGGTGAACTTCTAAAGTGCCTCAAAGTTTAACAATTATTTTAAAAATAATTTCTCCGTTATGCGTTTCATTAACAAAGCAAACAGAGTCGTCCCCTTGGTCGACATTAAGGATCAGTGTACCCTTATTTGAAAGATTACCCCAAACATTTGAAGGGTTAATTACCAATCAAGACACTATTTGACAATGTGTGTCTGAAAACACCACTACAACCAGACAACCAAATACCAGTATACTCGTATATATTTATTGCTCGATTTATTGTTTATATAATTTATTCTTTCGTTAGTGACTAATATACCTATAATCATTCATTATACACACCTATAGTCAATGATATAATCAAAAGTTTACTGGTTTACTCAAGTATTCAGCTTTTTCAGAGTACAACAGCAAAATGCGAAAAGTAACCATAAAAGGGCGGGATCACTTGGACATTTAAAATAAGTCATGTCATTTGTCATGCAGAAATAGAAACATCCCTATTCCACGATTTACGTATTATTTCCATATTATTTCCTTATGATTTGTCTTATGACAGTCATAATACCAAAAATAGTACCTATAGTGTAAACACAAATCTAAATGCTTGTTACTTATCATATGACAAATCACATGAGAAATATGATAGTGTAAAGGTACCTTTATTACGTTGTTCCCCAAAAACGTTTAGTGTTAACATACTCTACCGGAAAGAAAGATTCATTTGTCCTTTTTCAAAAACCAATTATGACAGTCACCCTTTTGTGGAAATATGTAGTACCGGGGGTCTGGGGGGCATGGAATACCCCTGAGCACACGACAATTGGATTAAATTTTCTCAAAAGCTAAACTGAGGTTATTGGGGGTAATAGAGAAACAATTATCCTCTTTAACTGAAGCATTCAATGACTGAAGGTACTACTGCACGGGAGGGGCTTTCCATACTCCCCAGATCAGGGACGGACCTAGACAAAAAAATTGGGGGGGGGGCAGACATGACATTTTCAAAACCTTTTCGTTGTCATTCCTCATTCCTCCAATAGTCGATTTCAGTGGCGTACGTAGAAATTTATTCTGGGGGGGGGGATTAAACAAGTTCGTGGCACATACAGTCACCCAGTGCGTACTAGAAGGGGGGGGGGGGGTAAGAAATAGAAATTGGGTTGCAGGTTGCTGATGCTGGTAGTCATTTATCTATTTATTATTGTACAGGCGAAAAAGATTAGATTAGAACGGTATTTTATTTCTTACTGCTGACAGGCCCCTTTATGGCTTTTGCTTTAATTAGTCAACGAAAACTTTGAATAATAGGTATATTTATGGGCAAAAAACCAATTTCGACAAAAAATTCAAAGGGCTGTAACTTTTGATCTAGTAGTCCGATCTTGGAACTGTTTGGAATTATGGATTCTACAGGCCACATTCTATAAGAAAATATTTTTTTCCGGTCGATCTGAGACAATTTTTTTTCGGGGCAAAAAAAGGCAGTGTATAACCTTTTTTTTTCCAAAAATCGACTGCACCAAAATTTCTTGGGAAAAAACTTTTTCTGATTAATTCGGGTGCGTAGAATCCAAAACGATTCGTACTTTTTCGATTAGACGTCTCCATCAAAAGTTATGGGCAACAAAAATTCCTGTTTTTAAAATTTAAAATTCTTATTTTCGTCATTTCGTGAAAGGCAGGACGCAGGTACCTCACCCTATTTGTTATTTTGGGCATCAATGTAGCGAATTGCCGATCGATGCCGAATAGCCAAATCGTTGACTGCCAACACTGATCACTCACTGAATAGTGAATACTGAATACTACAAAATATTTAGATTTTAGTGATTTTAGACTTTAACCAAAACCAAAATTGCTCTCTATATATACCTATAATTATTGCCTCTATTTTACAGTGGGCGGAGCGGATAGCGGAGTATTACCTAAATACCTAATAGCAATGATGATAACTCAATTCTTCTGGGGGGGGGGGGCGATATATCCCCTTCATCCCTCCCCGTAAATACGCCACTGGTCGATTTATTACATTTACGATTTACTTACTTTCGCGGCATTCGCCAACTGGTAATGAAAATTACCAACTCTCAAAATTGCCAACTAGTTATAACTATTGGAGGGGCAGCCTGCCCCCTTGCCCCCCCTCCCCCATAGGTCCGTCGCTGCCCCAGACCCCCTGGTGCTATGTCGTTCTCTAAACACCCTTAGTGTTAACATACTCTACAGGAAAGTAAGATTCACCTGCCCTTTTCTAAAACCCAATTATGACAGTTTGGGCGCTTTTGTAGAAAAACGTAGTACCGGGGAGGTCAGAGAAAAAAATATATTAGTGGTACAAGTAACACCATAGAGATACTCCATGCGTAACACGACTCATACAGTACCTTCAAAGTTTCAAATGGGTACTTGTGTTAATTTTAAATAGGGGCTGATTTTTAGACCTTGTCGATCCCTAAAATCAGTTTTCGTTTATATGCGAAATGGATTACAACCCCCAGATTTAGAGCGACGAGTTTTTACGTTGATTGCTTTTAGAGCTTTTGGAGTAAAGTTTTTCTCAACGTAAGTTTTTGTCAGCAAATTTCTACACGAGTATACCAGTGTCGCTGTAGAGTTTCGAGGGGGCGATGATGCCGGAGACAACTAAAATGGGAATTTATCTTGGATCGAATTTTTCTTGACGTGCATATTCAAGGGATAACATTTAACGGAGCGACAGGAACCATAGGTATATAGATTTCAGATGGCTTTTGACCATCACTGATTCCTTCCAAATGGACGTAGGGTAATTAGAAATGCTGGAAAGTTCTCATTGGAGAAGGATAGGAGTTTCTTAAATAAGTACATTGTAGGTTTTTATCTGGATTTTTTCGTGGAGAATCAAAAACCTTCAAAGTTTAAACATTTTGTGATTAATTAAGAAATGAAATTAGAAATTGGGGGTTGATTTTTTTCTGATAAACAACCCTCAAATGAATACATTTGTTTCCATGAAAACTGACTGTCAGGTAGAAAGGTAACGTTAAAAATAATTCAGTAATCAATTTCATTAGTAAACTTCTCATATTGTTCATACCATTGCGAAGAGGATTGAAACTAGCATAACTTAGGATCTTTTATAATTTAACTTAACAGTGACATAAATACAATAAATAATATCTACCTAAAGATAGGTATAACATATAATTAAATCATTAGAACTAGCTTACCGTCGCATTATGGGGCAAGTTATTTCCAAGGTTTAATTAACATTAACATTAAAAGCTGCTGTATTGATACAAAAAGCAAAACTGCGGGTAAAACGACATCTTTCGCTACTCCGCCGCAGTTTAGCCCCCAGAAAAAGAGGGTATTTCCTAAATTTTTGGTAACCGATCACCAGTACCGCAACAATATTGAGCAACAAAATCGGCACAACCTCAACCGTATTGCAGAGTATGGTGATTTCAGTTCTCACAACAGTTTTTAGCACTTCAGTGTCTTGTCAGTCAATATTAACTTGGAGGCACAATCATTGCGTCGTCGCTCTTCCCGTGTAACCAGATTCGTAAAGTCGGCCGTCTTTGCCATAATCATTGAGACTTTTCGACACATTGAAACCACCTAAAAGAGCCGTATGAAGCCTTAACGCTAACCAGCACATAATAAACGCCGACAAGAACAGCAGGCACCCGAGTATAGCTGCAATGACTAGGAATGTGCTGCAGGAGTTTTCTAAGGTGGCGGTCTTATGGTAAAATTCACTTGGCATTAGCACGGTGTATTCGATGTTCTCTTTAAACTTGGTGTATTGCGTGGTATCGTTGTGATACGGTGATGACTGAGCCACTTCAACTATGTCACCAGTGTGCCTCCGTTTCCTGCCATGGCCCGATGGCTCGAAGAGATCCAGACAGAAGTCCGGTTGGCAGTCGACGGAGTCCATGCATGCCTTGATTTGCGAGTGTATCCAAAGCGTGGAGCGTTCTTTCATTGAGCTTAAGAGAAAAGCTTCAAAATCTAAAAAGACTTCATTGTGACGTTCTCGATAGCGTGCCGGTTGATGCGGAATAATTGAGGCGAAGTCTCGATTCCTGCAACTGAGGAAAGCTAAATCAGTTGTGGCAAAAAACGGACGACTTCTAGTGCTAGTTTACTTAAGTGGCAAATAAGATAATAGCGTAACGGGTTCAACGACAATGAACCGAAAACTTTCCATTACACTGCACTCTTCTTTTTTAAGTCTACTGTTACACAGAAGTAGGTCAAATGAGATTTGAAAATTCATCAACTTACCCATCTTTTACAAGGGCGACGCTTCCTATCATGTGCGGGTCGTCAGGATCGGGACTCACGGTTACCTCCATAAGCTTGACATACTTCCACGCAGATTCCTGACTGATGCGGGCTCTAAGCTGGAGTTTGGTCCCTATAGGCACCGCTTGGTCTACAGGAAGCTCGCTCGCGGAATGATTATTGCTGATTCGAGCTGCCGGAGCTTCTTTGTACAAGGCCACTTCGTACTCCAGCCGCCCTGGCGTCTCCTCCACAACTCCCGATACCCTCGCGCCATGCGGACTGGAAATACAATCGGGTTACCCTCAACTTTATCATCAAGCTAAAATCTTACAAACTGCCCGCAAATCCAGCCGCTTTATTCTCGATAATCGTCGGTTCCGGCGGTTTACACATGATGATCAGCTCCTGATCCGATTGCATTACGACCCCCGAAAACTGAGGGAACCAAACGCGAACGTGCACGAAACCCTGAAACATCGAAAGTTACTCGCCGAATATCGCCAAGCGGTACCAGCTATACGTTGCGCCTCAAAACTCCGCATCGGGAAAAGTCGGTGATTCGCAGGTGATACCTCAAACCGCTCGGGTCGTTCGGATCCATACGTATCTGACAGGACGGGTCCGTTTCGGGATCGGCCAAACGATCGTCGGCGAATAGGGGACTCCCTCGGAATCCGTCCGGTTTTCGTAGCCTTGCCACTATCGAATCTCTTGAACCGGGACTTCCTGTTGAGCCAAACGTGCACTGGATTTCTGTCACTGTAATGATAAAAAAATGATTACATTTAAATTCTAAAATAAATTATGGTAGGTATATTATTAGACGACGATGGCTAAGGGTGTTTGCAATATAAACAAATAGCGTTTTGGACTGCATAGTTTGCGACAGAGCAGAGGAGAAAAACTTCCTTTCGGGGGACCCTCTCGGGTCCTGCCGACTTATTGGATAAAGTAATTTTACTTACTCCATTGTGGAGTCATTTGAACAGCCATGTCCCCTGAGGATTTCCAAGACGCACTGTAACTATCCCTGGTGGTGCAGGATAGAAGTAGAAAATTCAGTTACGCAAACTGAGGAGGGGGGGGGGGCATATAAGGAAAATCTAAGGCCATAGAGGACGGATATTAGGGGCGCCAGAAAGAGGCATGGAAGATTTCTTGCAGCTTGGTTCCTACACGGACAATCTCTCCGAGACAGCCGAGGTACGGAGGTACTGAGAAACGCCTACTTTCCCGGAGACACCACAATACTCCAACTGCGCCAGAGGTAACTGAGAATGACTGGGCGATCGGCAGTCAGATGATGGATGTGCCGGGGGTGACGTGGGGGTGAAATCGTTCTCGGCACATTAATCACCAAGATTGCATGGCATAAAAAGATTAAAAATGAGATAAAAAGAGATAAAATCATGTAAATTTAACTTTAGTCTTTTATCTTCAACATAGCTTAAAATCCATGGCAACCATTTCGGCTATAGGTAATCTTTGCCATTAAGTTCAGAGTTGAGTTTAATTTTGTTTGTGGGATAATTTAACACTAAATGTGATGCTGTTCATGAACCATGGACCGAATCTCAATTGAATGTCAGTATAGTCAGAGATTGATCGTAATAAAACTCCTTGGAAAGATTTTTTGTAATTTTTTAATTTGCTTTTCCTACAGATCATTTTTTAGGTCTTCCTTGCATGTTTAGTAGTAGCATAAACCAAATTGGTCTATGGTAGTAGTAAAGAGTGGCTTCTCTATAAATATTTATAAATGTTCCCTAGAAAATGTTCTACCAATCCTAGAAATTATGTTTGGTTTGAAATTTCAAAAAATGTTTTCAAACTCATACATTTTACCAACCTTTCTAAATAATTATAAATCAACTACTACTAATTAGTACTAATTAGATAAAAACATCCTCTAAATCAGTGGTTCTCAAAGTGGGTGCTTGGGGTGCCGCGAAATTATTTATTTAATATGCTTAAAATTACATAAATTAAAAAAGGAATTAAAATAATTATAAAAAATGAATATTCGTCTTTTATTACAATTCTGTTTTTTAGTTTCTGTTTTATTTATTTCTATGGTTCGAATATGAAATAACCCTTTGGTTAAACGGGTTACATGATTCTGATATGTAAAGGGGTAAAGGGGATAATTATGATATTTCATGGTAACGTAAGGGGGGCGGCAAAATGAAGCCCCATTTTTGATCAAGATCAATAGAGGCAAATTTTCGTCCTGAAACGACTTGCATATACTAATTTATTGTACAGGGTGTCCTATTGATATAAGGGTCACATCTATGGAACCGTTAATTGCACAGCTTGAGGAAAAAGATTTTTTTAACAAAAGAGGCCAAAAGAGATCGCTAGAAAAGTTTGTAGGTTTGTAACTAGAGGGCGTACGATTCATGGTTAAGTAGAAAAATTCTTTTTTCCTCAAATGTACCCAATAAACATGCATAAAAGGTACATGCAGGGGCGGACCGAGGCCTCAGGGGACCCTGCGCTAATATTTGTAGGGGGCCCCCTACTTAATGAATTTCGGGTTATCGAAAAACATCTTCATTTCAATTTTATTATTTTTTCAGAAAATTATTATTAAAATTACAGGTCTAAAGCAAACGCACTAAGTATAAATACAATGAAAAATATTGAAATACAGTAGGGTTCAAATTTCAAAAAGCACAGATTACACAGAAACAGTGAAGCTCGATCTGTACACAGCGGCAGGCGAAAAACCACTGATTTTTTTAACCATTTTTATTACAAAACAAGTTTCCAGTGGTACTAATTGCAACAATTATATTTTTATTTATAAGTTATAAAGATAAACAAATAATAAATCAAATAAATCAAAAATTATAAGAAAACAAAAGAAAACAATAAAATAGAAAAAAAAGAAAAAGAAAAAAGAGAATAAAAAATAAAGGAAATACAAAAAAATATGGCGCCCAGATTTGTTAAATAATAAAACGTCAGCGGTGTTCTATTCAGCATTAATTATAATGCAAGCAAATTTTCAAGTTCAACAAATGAGATAACGAATGTTGGCTGTGGGAAAATATTGAATATTTAAATGTAGAATCTCGTCTGATACACGCTCCAATTACTCGTACCTTGGGGTGGGTAGCGTACAATATTGCCTGCACGGTCATTCCATGAAAATAGAATAGTAGAGTTTTCTCTCTGTATTAAAGGAATTTTTTGAAAGAAATTTCCTTTATGTGATGGTTTTGTCCGTCCGTCTGTTCCTCATCTAACTCGAGCATCAAAAGAAACAGCGCAAACCTTCACCAGTCAACGAGTTCCTACGAGTTCAAGGATCAGTGCTTTTGAATATGAGTCGCATTAAAAGTTGCGTTTCCGAATGCGAGCTAAGTATCAAACAATTCCCATACTGAAAACGTATACGATGCTTCGTATCTTGTTTTTCTTTTGGACCTCGGATTGCACGGAACGTCACATTACCCCGCGGTAGCGGGTACCCTGGGATGCAGCCCTTAAAGCCCCTGCCTAAATCCGCCCCTGGGTACATGCATCGCTATCTTGTATGAATTTAAATGAAGTTTTGAACCTCCGCCATTTTAACATATTTTTCGGAAATGGTCACCGAATTTTTCGTTGCTGGAGTTTCCTATTCTACATTCTCTACAGTATGAGGACTGTTGAACGGTTTGTGGAAAAGAGTTACCGAGGGGTACGGGGAGGGGGGGGGGTGGAATATCCCCAGCAGATGACAGTTCTATTGCCATTTTCAGAGTATCACTATAATGAGGTTTATAGGGAGTACATCGAGGTGCTTCATTTCAGGGTGGTTTTGGATCCCCGCCGTTTTATCACATTGTTTGGAATCGGCTCTTTTGTTTCTGGGGGGTATTATACACCCTCCCCCCTCCCCCCCCCCGACCCACTAGTTCTACGTCCTCTACAGTATGGAGAAGAAGAACTCACAATCATCCTCTAACAACTGCTGCAATGCGAGTCCTTAAGGCTAAATTAATTGTAGAAAAAATATTAACCGTAGGTCGGTGGTCGAGGGGGGTGTATAATACCCCCGGTAAACGAATGTTCATAAAAAATTTTTATTGAGTCTTTCCTTTCTGGGAAGTTTTCAAACCCCCGTCGTTTAAACCTGTTTTTCAGAAATGATGTCAGGGACCCTTTCGTTGATGGAGGGGGGGGTGTATTTAATATCCCCGGACCCCCGGGTTCTAGTTCCTACAGTATGGAGAAGAGGTTCTCATAATCCTTCTCCAAAAACCGTCACGCGAGTTCCGAAGGCGAAACTAAACGGTTTGCGGAAAAAAGAGTTACGGGGGGGGGGGGGGGGCCCCCCCCCCCCCCCCCCCAACTATAGGACGGTTCCATTGCCATTTCCAGAATACCAACATGAGAGTACTGGGGTTTATAAGGAAAACGTTATTGAGTTCTTCTCCCGCAAGTTTTCAACCCCCCCCGTTTTAACATATGTCTTCAGAAATTGTCATCGACTCTTTCGGTTCTACCCTCTGTAGAGGATGGAGAAGAATCCTTTATACCGTCATGCGAGTCCTGAAGGCTAAACGGTTTGTGGGTAAAAGATTAACCGGGTGGTCTGGGGGGGTATGGAATACCCTCCAGTACATTGCAGCTCTACTACGATTTTTAGAATACCACTATAACGAGGTTTATAGTTAATGGGTTATCGAACTCCTTCTTTTCTGGGTGGTTTTCAACACCCGCCGTTTTAACATATTTTTTCGGAAATAGTCGTTATCGACTTTTTTTATTCAATCATTGAAAAGATGCTTAATGCAACGTTTCGTTTCGGAGAAATCATCATCCACTTTCTTAACGAGTTCCTAACGATGTCTTCGGTGCCTGTCCGTCTGTTCGTTAGCACGATACCTCGAAAACGAATACCTGGATTACGATGAAATTTTGCAGTTGGATTCTTTATCAAATTTGTAGATCAGACTTCATGAATTGGCAATGTAGGCCAAAATAAGAAAGGCCCTTTTGACATTATAAACCGAATTGCATGAAATTTAATATGCACATAGCTTTAGCCATATAAAACGGAAAAGTTGAGTCTAATCCATTAACATCTTGGCCATTTATAAACCGAATAACTTTTTTATTTATGAAGGTACTTAAATGAATTTTGATACATATACACTTGGAATAAAAGCGAAGCTAGCATCAGATTCAAAATTTGGTTTTGCGCATGATATAGCCATACCAAGGGGCTCGTTTGCTATATTTGTTTACACGTTTAATTTTATATGGCACAGAAAAAGTACATACTGTATTGAGTATCATTTTTTATTACGAGTACAATACGGCCCAAGAAAACAAAAATTGGACTGTGTGTTTCAACAGGATGATGCACCCGCGCAGAATGCGCTAATCGTTCGAGAAAATTTATTGAATAATGGAAAATTTCTCCGTAGTTCTTATAGTTTTCGCTAGTACTTTTTCTAATAGGAACCTTTACCCAAATGTTTTTCCATTTAGACCTCTAAATGGAGAGAAAATTCAGAGCAGTGCTGCTGCTGAATTTGTAGAACCATATCCTCTCTGCTTAGTTTGTGGAAATTTTTTTAATGAAAATTTTTATATGGAAATTGATTGAATGACTTACATAAAAGCAATACCGAAAAATAGGCAATTGAAGAGTTAATTGCATACCGGTCCGATGCTCTCTTGGCGCATTTGTTGTAAATTATATCACTGCAGTTGCCATTGTATCGATTTCATTGGAGACTAATTACTTCACACTCTGG